GTTCACTTCATTCGAGAGTTTGAACCGATCTGAATATAGTCAGCGTAGTCAGGGTGTGAGTGCGAGTGGGGGTATCTGGGTATCTGGCAGATCTGTGTGGATATAGATACTTGTAGACTATATACTCTAAATGTGCGGCACACGCTGCTGCTCGAGTCTTAGCTAAGTCTGCCAATTGCTAGGATATACTCGTACAGTAAGTGACGATACTATAAAGCAACTGGAAGATGAAATCTTTTGGATTTTTTGATCTTTCTACTTTTTTTTAAACCATAAATCCATTAATTAATCTTAGAATCTTTCACTTAATATTGCATCTTACTACATATTCTGGTTAAATAGCAATATTCCGCACTGTAAAAACTTGCAAAATGTATTTATCTTTTTGCCATTTTCATTTTTTGTGAACCAAACTACAACTCAACTCTGTCAGACGACAGACTGACTTGCAAAGGCTTTGGGTTTTTGGGCTTTCGGTAGAGGGACCTCAGTCCCAGACCTGGGATCTGAGACGGGCCAGGCCAAGTCAAGTCAAGTCAAGTCGATGTCGAGGCGTGTGGGCAGCATCAGCGTGTTGGGTTCAGTTCTGCTGTTGTCTTTTTTTTTATATTTTTGCATGTTTTCTTCATTTTTTGCACCAGTTTAGGCGAAGCCTGTCGCCGGGGATGTGAGGCAACAAACATGGCAGCTTCAAAATCAACGAACGAACGAAAACTTTTAAGGCGAGAAGTGCTGGTCGAGACGACAAAGATCGTTATGGAGCAAGCCAAGAGGGGTCAGGTCGGTCGGTCGGTCGTGTGGCAACTGTACTCCAAAAGTGACACCTGCAAAGGCCCAAAGAATGGAGGTCAAATATAAATAAACGAGGCGGAAGCGGACAACCAACCAAAGTGTTTATGGTCATGACTGACGGGTTGTTTGCGTGCTGAAAAGATGGGAAAGTGGAGACCCGAAGGTTCCGAAATATCCTTATATGCATTGCCATTGTCGTTGGTAAGAGAATACATCGTTAGGTGATTGCTTTTTATTGTTAAGTTCTTAATTGCATTTGCTTTTACGGTCAGTTTGGGAGAAATTTGGGGAAATTACTTCCTATTCATCAAATTTTAAATGAAACAAAAGATTGTTATTAAATCTTGTTTACGTTTTCTGTAAAAAAAAGTTAAATATTATAACTAATATCTGTTAGAATGCGGCATTCTTTTACAAATGTAAAATTCTAAATTACCTTTTGTAATATTCACATTTTTAATAAACCAAATCTTTGCCGCTTTAGGAATTCCCACTTTCTAGAAACTGTATATTTAAGCAGTGGAACAAGCTCACACCTCACCCACTTATCTTGAGCCATCTTTCAACTCTTGACCTACCAAACACGCTTAGATTAACCAAATCCGATCTCCACCCAAAGCAAAACAAAACAAAGTCAAAACCTGTAAGCCATTAAAGATATAAAGCAGCCCTAGATATAAATATTAATGCTAAAAATCAAAACAAAATCCAAAATTATAAAAAATATATGCAAGCATTAACACGTTTCTGCTATAAACCATAAAAGAGGGGAGGAAAAAGCCACACATTTGTAATAAAATTAAGGAACAAGTATATGAACATTAAATCTTAAATGGTGTAGGCCAAGTTCGGATTGGTCAATACGATGATAATTTATGCGGCTCGAACTATAAAGCTAGACAGACAAAATGGTAACACACTGAACTCAGAAAAAGGTATAACAGGAAAGGCATTTTTGCTGAGCTAAGAAAAGCTCAACTTTCATTAAAATCTAAAACGTAGAAGGAGGTTTTAAGTCAGAATTCTGGAAAATCTTTCTGACCTTTTGGGAAGTCTCAACTTCCGTTTAGCCAACGATTTGTGAATGGAATTCGCCAGCTCATTGAAAAGTGCAAAGCCAAGACATGCCAAGGGTGAGAAGCGGTTCAGGTATCATATAATTTCAGATCATATAATCAGGCCCACATAACTGCTTACCTCACAAACGCTCTTGTCACTTGATAAAGGCCCCGAAAAGAAAATCCCCTTAGTAAATTATATATATATGTATATATGGTAAAAAATAAATGCTAATAATAACAAATTCAACAGTTTCCTGCGGCTCACATCACAATTTCGCCCCGTTCTGCCGTTTCATGTCATTAGCGGACTCCAAAGTAAATATTTGAGGAAGACAAACGAACCTCCGCCGCTCAGCAACTTCATCATCAACCCATCATAACCCGTTCCCTCCGAAACGAAGATGAAAAATAATAATAATAATAATAAAAAGCAAGTGACGATCACTTTGAGGGCATTGAAGGCGTTCTTCGCTTCATTTTTTTTTTTTTTTGCCGAAGATCGGTTCCCTCTTGTTTCACTTTGAGATGAGTTTTTCGAGCTGAGGAGTTGAGTAAACCGATCGGCTTGGGCTTTTTGTTTGGCTTTTTTTTCTTCTTTGCTGACTGTGACATTTTTGTCACATGAACTTGCCGCCGCCGCCGCGATCTCAGCAATCCTCGAACTTGGGGTAACTTGAAGTTTACTTTATGTACTCGCCATGATATTCTGTCAGCGTTTTTTCGCTGCGAAGATCAGTGCCCATAATTGAACCGATTGCCCGTGTTTTGTTATGGTCCCTGCTGATATTTTTTTTGTGTAAGTACGTTTTCATAATTTGATCTTTTGACAGATCAGAGATCGCTGCTTGAACCTAAGGTTAATCACTGACCGCAGCACCACAATATAAGTTTGAGTTTGTGTGTGTGTGTGTTAGGTTCGCTGTTTGTTTGATTCGAGCCGCCACATGAAATCATATTTCTCCATAAAGCATCCACTTTGTCTGCCCCAGCTTCCACACAGATGATCGAGTGCCGATCTGGGCGCCCACACTCGATCGCATGTGTGCCTAGATTTCTGCGGCTCTGCTGGCTGTGTGTTAATGATCGCAAATGTCGTGATTTTAGTCGAGTGGGTTGAGTGAGGTGCTGAACTTTAATTAAACGCGAACCGAAATGTGTTTTTTCACATTCTGAACTTTGAGACATCAACTGCAACCGGGCAAATGCATTGCAGTCACTAGGCGATCGGTTAATCAACAGATGGCCTGGCATGGCCTTATGCCTCCTATGGGGGTTATGAGACTTAATGAACTCAAGGAAAACCTTCACAAATTGACACACATCAAAAATTAAAAACTTTTTGTGATTTATCTAACAAAAACTTATATTATTTTTCGGTTATAAGTCAGATAAGTTGATAGTGATAATCTCCAAAAAGTTTACTATAAAAATAGCCGACAAAAATGCTCTTTTATGATAGTTATCGGTATTTTAAGTTTTTTTTTTTATTAAAAAAATAATAATTCAACCTGATGATGATGAACAACAATTTCGGTTAATGTTTAAGACTTCCAAGAACATATATTACTTGATTACTTCAAACTAAATGGAGAACTTAAAAACTTTCAATTTAAGAAAATCATTCTCTGAAAGTAATCACATTTACAAAGAACTTTACAGAAAGAGGTCTAAATCGAAATCGTTTTAAAATTAGGTGAATGTCCAAGGAATTCAATGAGGCATGGAACAAAAACAGTTGGCCATTACAGCAGCCAACAAACTCTAACTGAATCACAAAGGTTTAGAACAATTAGGCAAAAAAAGGGAAAATCGAAAAGGCAAGGCCGTCAAAAAAAGAGAAAAAGTAAAGAGCACATACAAAGAATGTTGTAATCAAAAATGCGAAATGCAAATAAAATGCAGGTAGAGTCCACACAGGCACACACGCTTACACCTTCACTTACGACAACTGTAACATTAACGGCAAGCGGAGACACAAAAACAAAAATGTGACCAAGCAGTGGAGTAGGGGGCTTTTGGGGGGTTTGAGGGTGGTGAAGGTGAGTGCGCTTATCAGGCCCAAAAGCAAAAGCAAAAATAAAATAAAAAATAAAAAACAGCAACAACCACAAACGCCGGATATGAGCGCCACTTAAAAACTGTAAAAACAATGAACAAGCAACAAGTGCTCGAGACGACTACACATAAAACAAAGAAAGGTAACTTAAAATTAACATTTCCCATTAATATTTTTAAATCCTTTTGGGACTCGGATTATTTTAATTTTATACTTTATTATCGTTCAAAAGTTTCATTTCAATAGCCTGAAACTTTTCCAAAATATTAAGTAAAATTACCAAAATAGATCGCCAAATCATATATATCTTTCTCCCTGTGTGGAGACAGGTAGAGTATACGCGGACGAGCAAAGAGAGCGTTAATTTTGCACTTACCGTTCCGCAGAGAGCCACCAGTGGACAACAACAAAATCTACAAGAGGAGACAGGTAGCCGTTTCACAGGCAGGCCAATTAATGAAAGCGACAAAATGGCAAATAATACTTTGGAAAATGTCCAAGGCATGACCATAAAAGCCAACTGAAGTACAGGTGGAACTAGCCCGTGCACATTCACAAATCAAGTGTTCAGGATAACGTATAGTTTATATGAAATCTTGTTCGTGGACATTTACAGTTTTTATATAAATTGTATTTAGTTATTACCACTTTAGGTGTAAAAGCTTCCTGCATTTAACTAAATGAAAATTGTACATATTTTACTCCTAAAACAGTTTAATTTAAAACTTTTCTCAAAAACTCCGTTTTTAATAGTATCGACCAAGTATCACTATCAAAAGGGTAAGTAAAACGTAACAAAGGGTCACTCGGTCGAGGTTTCACTGTCGAAATGCGGGGGAGTAACAAATCAAAGGGAGAATGGGAGATTGGGAGAACGGAGTAATGAAGAGAGCAGAGGTGGACCGAAACAGTTACCCGCTAATTGCGTCGCCGCAGCTTTTTGTCACCCGTCGATGTCGATGTAAAGTGTAGTTGTAATTGCGCTTGTAGTTGCGGCTCAATCAAATGTCTCGCTGCGCAGCATTTACAGTTGTTGCGGCGGACATTTGCTGAATCATTTGTTTATGGCCGAATGTGTTTGTATTAATTACCGTTTTAAGCTGCCTCCCTGTTTTCCTCTCGTTTGTGCTGCTTCTTCTCCTACTTCTTCTTGATAGGTTGCTGGAATTCGAATTCTTTGCTGTCAAAACACTTCAATGAAAAACTTTTTATGTGGAGCAATTGATAAAGCCGCTCACGCACACACTGACACTACGCGCACACACGCAAACACTGACATTTGTACGTTAAAATTAAGTACAATAATTCACTTGTTGTTGGCTTGGCTTGGCTGGGCTTGACTTCGTTGTCGCCTGGCAGGCAATTAAACAAACATTTTTGTTGTTGTGTGTATTTCTACTGCAGTTGCAATAGCGACACCAAGATATTCATCGATCGTCGCGTTTTGATTAATTGTTTAAATTACGTTTGTTATTATTATTATTGTTTGCAATAAGCTTCCGCATTCGAACCGCACTCGAGAGCTTTGGAAAAATAACTGTGCAGCAGCGACCGATCAATCGACTTTTGGGCCTCTTTTACCCAACGCCACGCTCTCTCCCTCTCTCTCGCACTCTCTCTTGCTCTCTTTTTGTGGAGCGACAAGTGGCGATTACAACAGCAACAACTGGTCGCATGAATGAATTTCATTTGGCACGCTCTGCTTTAAGAGAGCAGAAGATAGCTCCACGAGAGAGAGCCGCTCTCTTAGTATTTACTCTTTAACGTGTAGCAGGTTATTTCTGCTGCCGAGTGATTATTATCATTATGAAGTGATCTGATTTGCTGCTGATATTAAAGCAGGACCGGTCAATAATTACACTAGCCAACAAGGAGAAGGTGTTTTTTAAGGGCTCTCTTAAGATCTGTATCCTATCTCTATTGCTTACAATTCTATAAACCAAAACAAATATTCATTAAACTTAAGAAATTGACAATGAAATCTGTATTTAAAATAATAAAAAGATATTCATAGGCTTTGGTAGCCAGTGTAATTATAGTTTTTACAAGATTCATTCCAACGGAAGAAGATTAAAATGCTTTAAGTAATGATATGGTATGTGATTAAAACAAGAGCGAATCGTGTTCCCTATAAGATCATCATCAATGCAGATCCCCATTAGGGCGACAAGATGGAGATATCTCCCTGAAGAGACACAATGTATGAGGTGATAATTCACTTGTACGTCACCCGCTAGCATTTGCATTTCGCCTTTGCATTCGATTCCAGCATTTCCTCAGTCCACTAACTACGGTTATCCTCAATCAGCTAATTTATTTCCCTGGAAAATATCGCCCCCACCTAGTAGAAGGCGAACGATTTTCCCTGCCACAAGGGGCTCCACCTCCATTCAAATGGGGGAAACCAAACAATTAAGCAAACAAAACGACAGCGACCACGGTTGCAGCAAGTCTCCACCATTCTGCAGATCTAGCTCCAACTGCAGCTTCAAACTCGCCAGCTCCGACTCTTGATAGCCCCTCCAGATAGAAACTGTCAAACAAAACAAACTACACGATAGAAGCCAAACAAAGCGAGGCTTCCAAAGTGTGTTGCGTTTTAATACCCGGTACTTGACGGGGTTATACTATTACAAAAACATTTTAAACTTAACAGCCCTTTACTTCTTTAGTTTATATTTTAACTTTATAAGGTAAACGAAGTATGGGTAAGCTAAGTTGGCTGGAATACTGATCAAGATGATATATTCCAAGATAGCTAACATAAAGAAGATATTAATTATACATGTGATCCTTTAAGTGGACTAAGATACTAGATGATAAACTCCCATACTAACAGGTATCTAATAGTCGCATTTATCAGTTTCCTTGTTAGCTTGTTTATTGTTGCCCTGGGTCTGGGTCTGTCTTTTGTTTTTGCATGGCAAATGGAAGACTAAGTACAAGGAAAGGCGTCAATGACGACCGACGGACACGACTGACGTCGACCTTCGGCAACTGCCCCGCCAGCAACAACAAAGACACATCAAAAAGGAAGCTAAAAATAAGAAAGATAAAAAAAACGAAGAAAACACTAAAAAATCGAAGCCCCAAGAAAAGGAGCGAGAGATCAACATCAACAAGAGTATCATTGGCAGCAGAGAGAGAGAAATGTGGCAGGCTATTAACGGAAAATATCCCTAAATATAACTTAAGTTATAATATAATAAAGAAACTAAAAAGTCTAAAGTCTATTTATTATTTTAGTAACACTTTATAAAAGAATGAACTTTAGTTTTAAGTGCATGAGCAGCAATGAAGGCTGCACAAAAAGCCAGAAAGCAAAACGACAAAGCGGCGATGCTAGTGGGCGTGTACCGCTCCCCATCCGCCCACTGCTGCTTCACTACCCCCAACCCCCACCTCTGCTATGTGCAAGCTAAGTGCAATCTATGCCAACGATCGGCTAAGTACAAATGGTTAGGAGATGCAACAGTAACAGCGAAAACAGCAACAGCCACAATGGCTGGCGAGGTCAAACAGCAATCAATAAAGGTCAGCGACTACCGCCAGGGCACGCCTGAGTGCCTACCGTCAATGCCGGATTGCTGGATTGCCGGATCATCGGAGGAGGGGCTGTGCCAGAAGAGGTGGAGAACCAGCTCCCAGCCCACACCCAATCCTCTTGCACACTCCCTCTCTCCCAGCTTTCCAGTCACTTGCCCATTCATGCGGCCCACGATGAAGATGCTTTATGTTGCAAATTGAAAGCTGGACATCCAATCGACTGAAGAAGAACAAGACGAACATGGCGAGGCAGAGGTACTAGTGGCAGCAGGAAGGTGGAAAAGAGAAGGCAGGCCGACAAATGTAGACAGTTGCGACTGCGCAGCCGCAACAGCAGCAGCAGCAGCAGCAGGAGCTGAAGCAGCCGCGTCAGAAGCCAAGAAAAGTGGGAGCGAGAAGGAGATAAACGATTGCAGGGAGAAAAGCTAACTGATGGGAGATCGATTAACCCTCTAGTGCCGATTTGATTTATTTTCTATTTTGATTTAAATTACAAATTATAAAAGAGATTTATTTTAACATTTTAAAGAAAAAAGAAAACTTAAGTTTTCAGAATGAATTTATATTCGATTAACATAAACCGCACCCCAATGGGTTAATTAGCTAAATGGCGGATGTCGATGACTGTGGCATTAGGCGTATGTTTCTTGGCTATACCTTGGCCGCCCCCTGGCTGTCGATGATGCCCGGCAACCGACCAAGCCAGCGACCTGTCCCACCCCGTCCGCCACGTCACCGCCCCCGCTGATGGTGCTTTCATGGCTGCAGCTCCCGGAGCTAAAGTCGCGGCTAAAACCAATGATGATGATGATGATGATGCTACCAAGTGGCCTCTGCCTCTGCCTTGGATGCATCTTATGGCTGCTGCTATCTGCCCGGCCGTGGCATCCACAAGATATTTTTAATGGCCCAGCTTCCTTTTTGCAGATGCTCTGCTACTTTGCTTCTGTTCTTCTTTTTTGTTAGTCCGATTTTTGTGAATGAAGTTGTTTTAGATACTCTCACACACACACACACACACACACTCATATTGTGTCCACTTGCTGGAGGAGAAGTAGCACCATTATCGCACTGACATGTCTGGTGGATGTCGCGGCTGCCCACCACCCCCTTTCCGCCCGCCAGCCCACCACCAGCCGCCCACTTGGCGGTGTGTGTCACCTGTTGATGGATTTCGTTGTTTGATTAACATGAAATGGCATCGCATCCAATCCCAGCCTGATCTTGATGCCTTGAGTGGAGTGCAGTCGCCGACTCTAAGTGACTTCAGAAGACTTCCAAAAGAGCAGAAAAAGACCTGAGGAACCGCATGGCGGATAGTCAGATAGTTAGCCAAATGTCCGAGATTGATGAGGTGGATGGGTTAAGTGATGGCCTCGAGTGGAATGGCCAAAGATATTGTGGGTTTTGATGGATTTCGAAGTACTTACTCTGCGGGAGCGTTTATCTAAATAGCCGGCAGCCTTTAAGCCAATTCAATAAACTTGGCAATTACATAAAATTTTTTTTTACTTTAATTAAAATTACTTTTTTTATATTTTTTATTTAAAGATTTCGAAATTTATTTAACAATCTTACTTCCAGCTAAAAGGTTATATCCCAAAATCATACCTTAACAGACTTCCAGACATTTGTTGGTCATAAAATATAGGTAAAACCTGGTAAACCGAACACATGGCCTCATTATAAAATACTTAAGGCTGGTCAGCAATGTCTACCTGTGATCTATTTCCATCGCTATAAATTCACCTTGTCCAAACTTCCATCAGCACATTCCAAGCCAAATTGCCAAGCAGTCAAGATGTCGAGTTCGAGAGTTGCCCTCGTTATTCTGGTCATTGCCTGTTTGATTCTCATTGCTTTGGCACGACCTAGGTCGAGGTCTTCCAAGTACAACGAGGTCACATACTTGCCAGCGGAGAGGAGGATGAGCAACGAAATTATGGACCAGATATCACCCATCAGGAGGCCACACAAGAGGGAGTTCAACGGGAGGCGGAGTCCAAGTCCCTTCAACGATTATTTCCACAAAATGTCAATGCCAGGGATGACTTTTGGTGGGGCAAACTACTTTGGAAATGATGTCCAGCCGCTGTCCAAATACGATGTCCTGGAATCAGCATCCTTATTTTAGATTTCTCTCTGAAATCTGCTTAACTTAGACCTGCCTATGTGAAGGAATTAAATTAAATTTAATTTTTATTCTGACAATTTCTTTTTATAAAAAGCTAAAAGTTGTATTGTAAAATAAAAAAATAAAATAAGATATAAAATAAAAAATCGTAAAACTAAATTTGTTTCATATTTTATCCCACGATAGAGGGACACTTGTATTAGATTTTTTCTTCCTACGGCAGCCTCTTTCCCAGCGATCTCCACCAGATCTGCCATTCAGCTAATCGAAGCCAACAGCTTGGAGGGACGAGCCCATTTCGCTAACAACAATCAACACTCAAATCAACAACAATCTGAACAAACTACAACAACATAATCAACGGCAGCCTCCCAATCCAAAGGCCAACAACAAAACGCTTAAATACGCAGCGTGGAGAGTGGTCAAAAAAAAAGGAGAAAAAAAATATAAAGAATCGCGGAGGAGCATCCCAAATGCCATGTAGGAATCCATGTAGGAACATCGGGTTGGCGTGTGTATCTGTGAGTGGCCATATCCCCAAGGAATGAATGTTTCTGGTTGTCGTTCTGGCCGGAGGACAAATCTATAAGGCCAGAGGCAGAGTGCGGTCCGATGGATGCGGACAACATTGGAGGCAACAAGTGTTCCAAATCAAAACGGAAGCACACACAGGCCAAGTAGCCACGGCCAGGCCGCTCCTTTATGCCACATATGTACATGGCTTTTTGGTTCGACATGGCAAAAGCATTTGGAAAATGTAATTTACAACGCTCAACGCGGAGTAGCAACAACTTCACACACACTCACATCGACTATATATATATACTGGCCAGGGGAACTGGTCAACTTTGGTCGGTCTCGGTCGCATCAAGAGCCACTCAACCTCAAAGTTGAACGGCATCGGCATCACCTGCCACCGATCTCACACCGCTCTCACAGCCACCGCCGATTCGCCAGCGGATCTCGCTCGGATTGAAATCCAAGCAACTAAAAAAAAGGAAACAGAAGCCCCCAGGCAGGATGAGGTGGATCGAGTCCCCGGGCATACCCTAGAAAAGCAATGTCTTACAAAAGGTGTTAAAATGAGTAAAAATCCCATTACATTTTTTAAACGTATTTCTATATATTTCTATATTTATATTCTCCATGTAATCATTTTTAGTAACTGAAACCTTTATCTTAGCTTTAGTCCCATCACCAGTTCACCCTATCAAATCTATATTTACAGGGTATACCAAAAAAAAGTGCTTAACTAAGAAGAACAAGTGAGCGCAGATTTTAATTTTAACCTTTTTGTTCCCATTCCCTCCACTCCTCGACGATGGCTTCTGTGCACTCAACTTTTCCCGGCTGCTGCCTCAGTTTTCAGCCTTTTTTCCTTCTGTTTTTAATTTGCTGCAACGCTTCATAGAGCATTTTTCATTAAATTCCTGAATTAAGGCATTCCTCCGTGGCCTCCCATTGGACGCTGGTCATGTTCTGAAATAAGAGCAACATAGCAACATTGTCCAAGACGACATGGTGACGACGATGCCGGCGATGGCCATGGTTTAGGCCACGGCCAAGTGGCTTAGGCTACCGACTACCGGTTACGTTGGCAGTGCGCAAGGCAATGGCATAGCACGTTGGAAAACTGTATTTTAAGTTTATTATATTCTTTCAAAATTATTTGGGAACTAAAAGTATACAATTTGAATACTAAAAGCTTGGCAATTATAAAAAAATTATGATTTTTTACATAGTAGAAAAACTATAATTATGAATGTTTTTATTAAATATTAATTGAATTTATATATTATTATTTTAGCAGTTCAGCATCACATTGAATGTTAAAGTTGCCTGAAATTTCATATTTCTCTGGTTGTTACTGGCCTTTTGAGAGAAACCCCAAAAGCCTCGATTGTCCATGGATTGAATCCTCATCTAACCAAAAATTAAATCAGTGACAAAAGTGCTTTCTGATGGATGGACATATTTGGTTAGCATTTAATTTTAGACTAAGATGTATTGGAAAAAGGAGAAGCAAACTGAAGTTGGCTATAAAAAACATTTAAAAAAGTTTCTTCTCTTTAATGCTAAGCCTTCTTAAAGTCAAAAATAAATAAAATATATAAGAAATTAAATATTTTGTTTTATTAAATCTAAATTCAAAGACTTAAGGTGAGTCACCAATGATAGTCAGACATAAATTTTCAAACTTTCACTGTTGCCAACTCCAGTCAATATCCTTTACCTGCCGAGTCTCCTGACATTAAGCCAGAACAAATCCAAGTTCATATCCCCTCCCGAGATTCCATCCCAGCCCAGCTGGTATCCAGCACAATTCACTTAAGGCCCCGGACCAAAGGCCCCCTGAATCCAGAGCATTTTTCTAACTTCCTTTTACCAATAGAACAAAACCAGCACAAAGCGCCGCGGATAAAGTGGTATGACAGCGAGAGCTGGAGGAGATCAGGGGGCCTAAAGATCACCGAAGAGATGGAGAAAGAGCCAACTGGTGGCGACCCAAAGCTATGCGAGAAAGAAACGGGCGCGAGATCAAGCCAGGTGAAGTCAAGTTCGAGTCACCGGTTGCATAGTTGACCAGATCGGGACAAGCGAGAGCAAGGCGATCCCAAGACTTGCCACTCCATCGGCCAGAGATGAGAGCGTGGTTCGTGAGTGGAAGATGGCTGAAACGGATTTGGAACAAAACTTAAAAAAAATGCGGACTTTAAATTTGTATAGTTTTTCCTGAAAATTACCCCCAAAAATCTTGAAACTTTACTTTACTTTATTGAGTTTACAAATTTTAAGATCCCCCCAGGTCGTGTCACGTACTCACCTTTATTTGGAGCCACCAACTAGATACAGATATGCGCGGCAAGCGCGACGACTGCGCAGGCGCAGCCAGAGGCAACTGGACTGCTGCGCTGCTGCTGTCGCGGCTGCGACTGCGCGGTTGCAGATACACTTTAGGGGCATGACATGACTCGCATACGAATTATTATAAACGATCTGGCGCAAAAACTAACAAGCGATGGGGCCGGGACTGAACTGGAATGGAATGGACCTCGGCTTGGTGCTCTGTGGGATGTGGATGTGGATGTAGATGAATGTGGAGGCAGGCAGACAGAGGCAAAGGCTGTGGTGGATGTGAATGCGGCGGCCAAATGGGCGGCAAGGTGACGGCAACGGGCAACGGGCGACGGTCGACCGACGGACGAGTTATGGTGGCCAATTGCAAAGTTAATGGAGTTTGGCTACTCCAGCAGCGAAAGACCAGATGGGGACAGAAGGAGGAAAGGGAGGATCGGGAATGGGATCGGGATCGGTAGCGGGGCACTTGGGCGACTCGAGCGGATGCTGAGGCCGAAGAGATACAGCTACTGGTTCGCGACTCGGCCAAGATTGAACTTAATTTTGCACAAATGCAATTTATAGAAAATTGTTGCCACTTGTTTTCACGTTGATGGCACTCCGGCCGAGTAGATCAACGGGCGGGGTGGAGTTGGCCAGATAATAAATGCAGGTAGCCATTGGATTCCTGGATTCTTGCTGCTGCTGCCTGCAGCTTGGCCATTATTTAAATTTCTCCCCCTCCTCTTAACCGAAGAAACTTCGTTTTGCAAAAATTAACAATTAAAATGTCTAATGGCAGAAAAAGTGAGGCGCGATAGAGATAGATAGAAAGAGAGAGAGAGAGCGAGCTAGAGAGGTGGATCATAAACGTGCTGTCCCATCAGGTAGGTCGAGTGGTAAGTGACTCCTTCTTGGAACTTCCACTCATCATCAGTCGAGGCAATTAGTTTTCCCTTTTTGTAAAGCCTCCATTTCATCAGGGAATTGGCAAAGGATCGAGAGGTATCCGCGAAGAGGAAGTGGAAATGACCGAATGGATTAGCCAGCGGATTGGTTTATTGGCGAGTCGCGGCCATAAAACTGCGTCCTAATCCCAATCCATCAACGCTCTTGGAATCTTTTTCAGGGAACACTCTCGAAGGACAGGTAACCAATATCCCGAGGACCTCAAGCTATAAAAAGAAGCACTACAGCCGAGGACCCAAACAGTCTCGATTGCTCGAAGCATTTGTCACAATATGCTAATAGTACGCTATCTAATCGCCTTGGTCTTCTCCATTTTCATGGTGGCCACATCCCTGAAGATCGAGGAGCGCTACCGCCGCTGCCAAGGCTATAAGATATCCACTCCGGATCGACTGGTCATCAAAATGGAACGACGAGGCGGCAAGTGTCAGTCTAAATATTTGGAAAAGAGACGTTTGAAGATCTGAGAAGAAGAAACTGGAAAATGTGATATGATAAACGAGAAGGAAAACAAGCGAAAAATCAGTGATAAGAATTCAGAACTCATTCTGTGGAAAACTCGGTGGAAAAGTAAAGGATACAGCCTCAGAGGCAACATAAAAATGTAAGCTAGGATCAAAGTCATTTCCTGAAAAGTTGAAATATACTTCCTTAAGTCATTTTACTATTTTTGATAACTAAAAATAAATAAAAAAAAAATTATAAAATATAATTCAAAATACATGTTTTTAGATTTAATTTAAGAATTTACTTTAATAAAAATGTATATCAATAATTTTAAATATGTTTAAATATGAAAATAAAACTTTTTAGCAAAAAGTCGAAATTTGTTTTAGTTGCTAGAACCTTCCAGTCAAATTTTTAAATATTATAATAGATAATAAATTAAGCCATCCCTTAAAGAGTATAAAAACCTTCAATTTAACACTTGGGCGCATTTATTTATTATATATTTTATATACCAATAACTTTATTTTAGAACTGTATTTTACATGTATAGTTTTTTACGGTTATTAAACGACACCAAAATTGCATTCCTCTGGTTTTTATTCTTTATAATATTTTGTATCATACAAGAGCTGGGGGACACTTAAATTTACAAAAGCAAACATTTACTTGGAATTTATTCTGAATTTATGTGATTAGCTTTAGGAAGCATTTAACTTTATTTTACCACACCATATGCAAAGCGTAAATCAAGAAACGAAATATTAAAATTTGTGACTTTTGTGCTAACATTGAAATAAATTTATAATTTATTTTTTTGGTAACTACAATGGAACGTTTTTGCATTCATTTTTAGACATTTAAATAGATACGTTATATATATATCGGTATATATATGGATATAGTTGAGTCTTAGCTTTAGTTTAATTGCACTAAATATTTGCGTTAAATTGTTTGTTTGCTGATCCATTATGCTAAACTTCATTTTTGGCCTATTTTTTTGGTTTGTTGAAATGCTTGAATGGTTAAATTATCCAAGAGCTACGTGGGTTAGTCCTCCTCTCCGGTCAGGGACTTACTTCCTAAAGCAGGAGATGGGATTGAAGTAGCACTGCCGGTATCTAACCTGACGTTTGCTCTCCGGCAGCCTGTAAAGTTCGTTCACATTGCCATAGGTGGGACTCCTCAAATAGGCACTGTAGCTGCTATTTAAATTAAATAATTATTGTTAATTAATAACCTTCTGTAAAGCTGTTTATCCTTACTTTGGCCTGTACTGAGCAAAGAGCATCTGCAGTCGGTCCATTGGTATGTTGGGATAGATGGCCTGGGCTGGCATGTCATAGGCTCCTCCGTAGGCGCCTCGCACGTCCTCAATCTCCTGGCCATCGAGTCCATCGGAGTCCTTAAAAGACTAAGCCATTAAGCTTGGTTTTTTGTGCCTTTAATTTTTTGGTTTTACTCACCGGTCCTGTTTCACCTGCCGAGGGGCGAGCCTCGCTGAAGGCAAAAAGCAGGGTCAGGAGCAGGCCGTAGCATAACAATATCTGCACGAATTTCATCATTTTTAAGGGCTTTTGGACTGAAAATATAATTTTAAATATTTGAAGATTGCTTAAAAATAAGACTCAAGCCATTTTGCAATGCTAAAAGTCAAAAAATCGCTGTTAAAGATCACTTTTTGGTAGCTTAAAAAAACAGAATTTAATAGCAAGTCCTTTAAATCTAAGCCAATTAATATAAGTTATTCAATGGCTAGATAGTTACTCACTTTTTTATATGACAATTAATGCAAATGTTTGCGCAACTTCAAAGGAAAAGCCCCTGACGGTGTCCCCGGCTAATTCCTTGCCTCAAAGAGCTGTCAAGGGGGCAAAGCGGCAAAAAAAAGGGGGAAAAAGTGGCAGACAGTTCAGTTAGCCGCATTTTTAATTAAAGGTCAGATTTCAGTGAAACTGTTTTTATGGCCATATTTATTATTTTATTATTTGCGTCAGTGGAGAGCGGTGGACCAAGGACCCGTAACAAAGCGGCAGAGTTGGAGTGAAACAGAACACTTGTTGCCACAAACGTGACGAGCATTTCTGAGGAGCAGCAGGAGGGCAAGAGGCAGTTTCAGAGTCCGCCTCAGACTCCTGGTTTTCACCTTAGCCCGGCTTAAGTGCATTTCCGCAATTAAAAACGGATATAGAGCTGCAACAACAGCAGCAGTCACTTACATATTGCATCCGTAATACAATGTCGATGGTGCAACGTGTGGCAGCCACACAATGGCCTGGACAGATGGCCTTCCAGCCTTGTTGGCCAAACTTTAATTGATTTCATCAGAAGCTGACAAAAAACGTGATTCGAGTTGATATGGGTTCCCTTTGTATGTACTTATTGAGTAACCTTCATGGGCACTTTCGTAACGTTTGCCTAAGTGGCAAGGGTGAAAGGTTATAAAGTAAGCTGTTCAAGGGCTTAGAAGGTCACAGGTTGACAAACAAATGTGAAGAATAACATAAACTTGGTCAAAAACAAAAGTTTTTCTTTCCAACAAGTAATGTTTGATATGGAAATCGGTTTGATTTGCTTATAAGGAATCATTTTTGGTACTTTTAATCTTAATCAACATAAAAAATTACCCTTATTACGTACGAAATTAATAAACATATAAACCATATAGACATCAGTTAACTGAAATTTGTTATGTATGCAATTACAATCAGCAACTAATGGCATAAATTACATAAATTATGACATCATTGGCCATAGAAGTGGTGTGAAATCAAAAGGAAAACCTCACCCGCAGGACATGAATATAGAAACAGCAGCAGGGAACATAAATCCCCGGGATACGTTCGTTTAGACGTGGAAAATGAGGTCATCAAATGACTTTCAGTATCATCATCAGCATGCAACAGGTAAACGACGGCCAGAATCCGCTGGAGTGGCATAAAAAGGACCTCAACGATGTGGGCCGTAAATGTTAATGACTTGTCTCATTTGCTTGCTGCAGCTCATAATGCTGTCACATGTAGCTACCGCTCTAGTTTGTCCTGTAAAAAGGAGCTGCTCCTTCTTAAATTTCAAACAGCAGCTGGTAATGTGAATGCATTGGACGATGAAGGTTAGGTTGTTGTTATGATTTGAAAAATCTGAATTGCAAATTAACTGCTTGTTTTTAAAAAAATCTAAGAAATTGTCATTGAACGGGGGCAAAAATGTGCAGTTTAACCAGTTTAACATGGAATGTATATTGCTATCTCTCAAAGGGCACTTAACTTCCTGCCATAAAAACATTGATTTTGATTGGGTCAAAGTCCAACTCACATATGGGTACATTTCCCTGTTGTTATAACCGAAAGTGCATGCGAAACTCTTAAAACACTTTTAAAGGGAACATTGCCAGACAGAGATAATTATAATGCCCCGCAGCTCATAAAATATTTGTTAGATTAAGCAGCTAGCTAGCTAGTGGGTGATAAATAAAAACTAATGACTGGTAGGCTAATTTCTGCCCCACCCTCTCCTCGAGCTTTGGCTAGATCAAATGGAATAATAAAAAGACCAAGGGCAGAGAGCAGAGGGGCAACCGCCGGCGGACCCTAAAGCCGAAGCCAAAGGCAAAGCCAAACATAATCAGGACACATTTATTGCCACCGATAAATAATGCTCGAATGTTAATTGGAAATTTAATCTCGCCGCCGCAGCGCAAGAGTTGCAAGTACTGAAACAAAAAAAGGTAAAGTTGAAAGAGGGAAAAAAAAAGAAAAATGCAATTTTCAGGTGACATTTCAGACTCTGTCCCCGTATCCTGCCTAATCCGGGCGGCTTAATTCCGGTTCCACTTTGAGTTCCGTTTATTTTTTCGTCACATTTTCCGCTCGCGGCCATAACGGAACTTTAAAATTAGCCAAGACCAAATATTTGCCCGAAGGACCTGGCGTGGGCTTCATTAATGTGTGTGCGTCTGACAGGAGGCGGCAGGACGATGGCCGTGTCCTTGGCCATGTGATTTATCTGGTCATGTGATACTTTCGAGGGAGCAAATTAAAATTACGTCAGTCAGTCACCGAAAACTGGAAACTTCAGACATCTTCAAATACGTTTCAAAAAGTATTTTATATTTTCCTTCTTCTTGCTATTGGGAGAGGGTGGCTCGGGGGTGTGGGACACTTGAAGTTATATCGAGTTACTAAGGGATCTGTTTTTGTGGTTGCGTTCCGATTTGCGGAAAATGCGGTTAAGAATGGAAGAGTTATTTACCCAATTAGATTCGCCTGTTTACGGGAAAATTGTCAGACAAAACGTGGGAAGAAAGTTCTTAAATAAATACTTAATTAAGTTATAATTTGCGGTTTGTTACCAAATTTGCCTTGCCAAATTATTAAAGACATTAGACTGTAGGTCAATTTCCCTCTTCAATCTAGTTAAATATTTAAATTATATCTATTTTTGTTTATTTAACATGATTATCACAGTAGGAAGCTTTCCAAACAAACAAAAATATAGCTGCTGGCCCTTCTCCGCCAGATTCTGCCCCACGAATTTCCAGGGAAAATTATCAGCCTCATTGATGCCCTCAACCCGCTGGCAAACCATGGCCGTGTAGGCGTTTTCTAATAAATATTAAATGCAATTTGATTGCGGTTTCGGCGGGAATCGGGGAAAACCAAAACCAAAACCAAGTCAAGTGAAGTTATTTATTATCAGCAACTCGAATCGAGATTGGAGTCCAAATCAAATGAAGTGAATGTTTTGGGCGTGCGCCTGATTTTCCTACGCTTCATAAATAATTCACATAATTTTCAATGAGCAGAGGAAGCAGTTTCGTCTCTGTTTTTGGTCTGTCATTAGATGGGTCTGGAAAAGTCCCCAAGGAAATGCTCGTCTGTACTGGCATATTCAAAACAAAAACAAATGAGAAGAAAAGAAAATGGGCTGGTAATATATGGCCTATGAATTGCATATATTCGTCAAAATTGTGGGAGTTTTTCAACCTTTCGTTACCTTCCTTGATGCTGTTAAAGGCCCATCAATTTGCTGGAACTTTTATGAACTCAATTTGGGGAGAGCAGCTTTCAGTCAATTTCAAAGGCAGAGGCGTACAAATTGGCCTCAATTATTCAGAAAACAGGCTATTGTTTTAATAAACATCAAGAATTTAAGCGTAGGAAAGTAAATTTATACGAAAAAAATCTTCAAATTAGCTGGATTTCCATATAAAATCAGTATTTGCTGACTATCCCAAAAAATATTCCAAACATAAAAGCATTTTTAAACTTTACAGACAAACTAAACATATTCCTTTAATAACATTATCAAGTTAGTGGTAACTTAACTTTAGTTTTCCCTAACCAAAGCCCATATGATATGATATCACCGGCAATAATTCTTCTGCTCTGCTATAATTCACCTGTGGCACAATTTCCGCCCCCACAAATTAATTCTGGGCGACACATAACTGCTCATTTCGATTAATTACCAAAGGCCAATTGGCCAGGGTAAACACAGAATTCGATACTCACCGATACTTTGCGACTGGATGTGAATGGGAATCGCCGGCAATTGAATTGGCGTCGGTAAATTAGGAAAATCTGGCGCCAGGAACTTTGACAAACGGATAGTTTCGCGAACTAATGGCTTGATTTGCAAACAACTCTGAAGTGATCCTTTGGCTTGGGATTTACTTGTTGCTCTCTGTATCGCTCTCGATGTGAACGCCAAGAAGGGAAGTTGGTAACTCGATGTTGGCCATGCCTGCTACCGGGCTTTATATACAAAATAGCAAACAGCACCCAAGGCAGCGACGCCGGCAGCGGCAGAAGCAGCAGCAACAGCAGCAGGAAGCACGAGCTGCCGGGCAAAAAAATATATGGAGGCTGAGGGGGCGGCCTAGGGGTTTGGGGGGGCTTATACGTTAGGGGGCGTCTGCTTAGGCAAAGCTTTATGCCTCATGTCAAGCGGCACTGCAGCCAGCAGGAGTAACACTTGTTTATGGTACCTGGCATACAAAGAGGGTACATGAGGTGCATAGATCCTTGCAAAATGTAACTTTATCGGACTTTTAAAGACAACTTTTTAGTTCAAATATTAAAAGATAGAGTAAGGAATTGAAGTTTTAGGAAGAGAATGTGATGACAAGAGCCGAAACAGAGGGGTTTTTACAAATACCCTCTCATTTTAACTACCAACAAATATCGTTTTGGGCTCACAAGCACTTGAGCAAAACCATAGCCTACTTTTTTGGTCTTTAAAGTAATGATAAGATAATTCTTTATTTATCTATTAATTTGGATATCAAAATAATTCTACTTGAGATTTGTAATTGACCTTACATAATTTAGTCACCTAGAGCATCCCTCGTTCGCATACATAACCAAAAGTTCAACAGTCAAATGGTCTTTGCCCGTACAATGGGGCGTATGAACAATGTGCGACTTATTAATTCACCACACGGACATGGACACTGTTAGGCGAGTACGTGGACCACCCACCAACATGCACCCACCCACTTAGTGGCGTGGTGAGTAGCAGCGAATAACGGCACCTGTTGCCGATTAACTCGATTCGTACGAAACCTGTTGCATACTTAGAGGCACAGTATCTATGACGTAGAGATTACATACTCGTATAGAATGAGTCGAAATGCATTTGGACAGTAGGCTCAACGAAGTGGCTTTACACCCGCCATTGATTTATGGCCATTCGATAACAAAATCGCGCCATGTGCAAAGGTTAGATTGCTGCTAAGTAGACATAAAAATATATATTTATAGGTGGTAATCGAATAATATGAGGTTGTATAGCTTTCGTGGAAAATTAAGCATTTCCGGCAGTGAAAGTTATAAATAATAAGCTAACAAAGAACTTTAATGAAATCAAGTTAAGTGTAAGGTCAAAATAATCGTAAAATGAAAACTCCGCTCCAACTTCTTTCGTTTTAAAAATATAAAATATTAAAAAAATATATTTCTTTAACAATTTTCATAATTTTTTATTATAAAACCCATTGCAACGAACTGCACTTTTAATTTCTTAATTTCTTGGCTTGTAAAGCTGCTTAATAATATAAGCTTCGTCAGTTGCCGGGTATCTAATAGTCGAAAAATATAGTTATGGATTTATTATGTTTTTTATGTGGAGGCAACTTCTGCTGTTTCGTGCAGCTGAAGTCAAACCCAGCCGGGCCATCAATTAACGGAGGCAATTAGATGTACATAAAAGTCTATTAATGTGTGCTCCAACAAACTCATTAATGGCCACTATTGGCCAATAAAACTTTGCCATTCGACGTCGCAGCCAAGGTGGCCAGGCCATAAACGTGCATTGCACACTTAAACCGATCGCTTCGTTTGGTTTAACAGTTCATTATAGGAAGGCAGTTGACCCGCAGATAATGTTATGCATTAACTTTGACTTGGCAATCGACGGTGAATAGTTTGCCAGAAGTTCGAGTGGTTGATTTGCATGGAAAGGCAATAAAGTGAGGAAAATCTTACCTTGGGGGATAGAAAAAGAAAGAAAAAAACAACTTAAATCTATAAAATATCATTTAATTTAGGTATTTATGAAGCCCAATTTAATAACTTGTAATTTGCATTACAATTATCATAAAAAATTGAGTCTTAAAATATTACGTATACGCATATTTGGCAACCTATAATTAAAAGAATACCAAATCGCATAAAACATTAAACCCTTACCCTTATATTTTGGCAATGATAAGGATTCAGATATCGGCGAATATAGGTTGTACTTCCGCTTCAAGCACGCGCAGAAATTGCAACCGAAAATAGATCGCAAAATGACACGAACTGAGGGCATGCGATGGATTTTGGTTAGAATTGCGATTTATGGCTGTGTCAATCAGCATTAGGTCGGATAGGTAGGATTACCTGTCTACCTGAAATTACCCTCGAATATATAGAATTTATATTCGCCAGCGTGTTTTGAATTAATTTATTTATGAATGCCGTTGGACTTATCGTTGGTGGTTTATTTATAACGCAGATTCACAGTGAGTTACAAGTGCACAGATACAGTTACAGATACAGATACTAGATACAGATACCACTATAGATACAATAACAGAGCTCTGTGGATTTCAGTTAATGGCGCGAACAGCAGCTTTCACATCGGCAGCGAAACATTTCTTAAAACATCTCTTTCAAGATCAGTTGGAATTTTATATAATATTTTTGATTTTGATGTTAGTTTCTTTAAAAGCAGCTAACGGCATTGAAATAACAACGCCAGTAGGCTCGGCCACCGCCGGATCCGGATGGCTGGATACGCCTGGGACCAGCTGGGGAACCGGAAATGTTGGAAGTTCCAGATCGTTCGGCGCCCGCTCTTCTCTGAAAGCTCTTTGGCATTAACTGAAATTTTCTTACACATCGCGCTGCTAATTTTATGTCTTATATTGCAATTTAGGTTTTATGTTCCAACTTACTGTTTCGCCAGTGGCGCGATTGATCTGGTTCAAATCTTTGAAATCATAATCCATCATTGTTCCCGAATCATCATCACTGTACATGCCTGAAAACATATATCCTTCTTATAATCTCTCTTATTAATATATCTAATCCTTAACAACATACCATCCTCCCTCACATGATGGGGTTCCAATCCGTTGTGATATTCTCCTAGTTTACCATTCAGAAGGCTTTTCTCCCCAAAGAAGTCTCCAATTCGCTGTTCACTCCTCTCCTGCTCAAGGGCATGATGCAGTGCCACCATTAGTCGGTCGAGAAGTAGAGCTGCTCTCTTGGGAACAACCATCTGTATAAGGAAGAAATATAGGGTAATGTTAATAGAAAACGCCCACCATAAACTAGACTCCAAACATCATTTTGTAACTTAATTTTCAATTAGTTAAATGTTTTTCCAAGGACCTTATTCACACTTCCCACGCCTCAAACATGAGCCCCCTTAGAATTTTTAATTTTATGGCTTAAAGTGTTTTTGGTCAACCCACGGCCAGAGAAAGAACCCTCATTAGACCCACCACAAGCTTGCACCTGGCATAATCAAAGTGATGTGACGTCAGCTCAGTTTTCCAGGGGAAATATATAGCTTAGGGTCAAAGCACAAAAAGCAATCAAATGAAAAATATACAATTACAAATTGTGTGTAAGGTGATAGGGATTCAAAACAGCCAGTGACCAACACGGCCCACGCGATTTTTTGGTGATTTCGGCTTACCGGATACTCGTCGTAGCCCTCATCGGCTGGGGCACTGAAAATCTCCTCCGGCTGGCTGGGAGCCGACCTTCCGTTCGCCCGCTTGCCATCTGCAGCATTGTTGGCCCCCGGCAATGTCACCTCTCCGGCTGCACTGCCACCAATAGAGTTGAGCTTGTCCGGGGATCGTTTGTCGCCCGGATAACTCATTAATTGCCTGCACATGTGCAGCTCAAAGTTCTGGATGAGGACGAGCAGGATAATCAACAAAGCTGGCAGGTGATAGGTTCTGCTAGCTGGGAACCCTTTCTCTTTCCAAGCGAAACTCCTGAGACTCCTCTTCCTGGCAGTTTGGCGCCAGGCAGCCTGCACTGGTTTCGGCCCAGGTGGGTGATGCATTCTGATGACTCCTCCTGGCTGGAAACTAATTATTGTCAAGCCTGCGTTCCTGCGTTCGACACTTTTGAAAATTCAACTGAAGCGTTGCCTTTATGCGTTTGATGCTTTTATAGCAGCAAAATTCCTTGACATTTCAATAGTTTTTTTTTTTTGGTTTGTACTCCCTTTTTTACAGTAATGAAGCATTATAGACGCTTGTTAATCGGGATGGAGCTGGTCCAACAGTGAAATGCTTTTTTCATACTTTGATTTACGATTGGCTCTCCCACCCGGCGTCCTTGTTGTTGCTCCTTGATGTGGCTGTGGCTGTTGCTGTAATTATTGAACATCAAAATCCATGTCCTGCCTGCAGCCAAGTTATTAACGCACACACATCGACCATAAATGTGTGGGAGGCTAAGAGAGTGTGCGTATGTGTGTGTGTGTTGGTTGCAGCCTGTTGCGCTTTTTCGGTAGGTCGGTCTAATGAGCGGAATGTGAAAGTCCTTTGGCCCAATTCGCCTCCACTTGTTGCTCGTTAAGCCCAAAAAAATGAGTGCCTGGAATGGCCACGAACTCGGTTGACTTCTCGCTGCATGTGTCCGCCCATTTGTGTCCCTGTATGGGACTTAAGTATTTTGCATGCCAAAGGATTCTTGAAATGTGTTGCATCTTTGGAAAATGGAAGATTATTTTTGGCTTACTGCTCATTAAGATATAAATTTATATTTTTTCAATACAAACGTGGGCCTTAACGTCCTTAAAGTTTACTCTAGAACATAAGTAAGCAACAGCCTTACTTCTTTTCTAATAAGTTGCACTTTCTGCCACATACTTCATTTTGATTCGAAGAAACAGCGGGAATCAGAGTTCATTGGCCATAAAACATCTCTAAGCTTAAGGACTTCATCGATTAATTACCCATGCAAATCGTCATTAAATCCCGCATATATGTAAGCCATAAACAGGGGAAAGGCAAGTTAACAAAAAATGTTGATAAAAATATGTTTTAGTTAGCATGTGAAGAAACCCCGTTGATTAATTGAGTTAAACTTAAGTCGCAAAATAAAATGTTGGAGAGAGAATTTCATACGGTACTCGTATATTGCAAGCTTTAACAACAAAGCCCTCAATATTTTTCATAAATAAACGTTGTTAAGAAACTCCAAACAGAAATCGTTATCTTAGCAAAACGTCAAATTGTTTTTAAAACGAAGATAGAGAATTGTATTTAACATTATATTTTGTATTTTTAATATTCCATTCAATATAACAATAAAATATATTCTACTACTACTTGTATTTTTCCCCTCTCAAACACAAGTCAACCCACAAATATTACACCCTATTTACCCGAGTGTAATTTTCCCAGGCGCAGCATCCCTGGAGCATCTGCCACGGACACGCGCCTGCGCCCAAGCCAACCACCCGAGTAACGCTACTGTCAAAACACTGGGAGAGCGAAGGCGAGAGCAAGTAATCCAGTCAACTGGGAGCCTGCAGCCTCCGCCGAGTCCTGCGGAAAACTCAGTGTGCGATGTGGGGCCAACTGAAACGGAAATAAATCTGCAGTAATTCGCAGCAAAAGCGTGGCAATTGAAAACCCAAAACAAAAACAACATCAGAAACTGGGAGACGGATGAAAATACAAGAACAACAACCAAAAGGAGGCGGAGGAGAGCGAGGACGAAGGAGATACAAAACAGCCGAGCGAGTGCAGTCGTGTGAAAATTGTTGTATCGAAAGTGCATAAAATGTGGCCCACAAACAATTAGCGGAATAAGCAGAGCACGGAGAACAAAACAAAAGTCGGACTAACTAGAAAGCAAAGCAGGATGTCAAGGACTTGAGCGCAGGGGGAGGAGAGAGGTTGCTCGACAGGGTGAGACTAACGGGACTTAGGGCGCATCAGAATTCGCAAGTGTCGCCAAGATGCGTACCTACTACACGGCTAAGGATATGCGAAAATACGGCGATTTGAGCTTTGAGTAAGTAACGAAATGGGCAAACCCTACTGTCAGCATCAAAAGGATTCCCCTAGAAGAGAGGTGAGGGTTGGAAAGGAGGTGGATTGTGGACCAAGAGGACAGGTGTGTCATTGTGTGTCATCGCTTGTTTGCTTGAAGCTTTCAAGCCGAATGCCATTTCAACGCTCATCCTTTTCCCTTCGACTCTTTAAGCCCTTCGATGCCTCCGCTTTCCACTTTCCGTGTGTTTGCTTGAGTAAAATGCAATTTCAAGTGTCAATTGAAAATTTGTTTTTGTCCACAATCGGATGGATTGGTAAGGAAATTCTTTTGAATGGATTCCACCTGGCAGGGGGTGAAATGGGTTGCTCTGATGAACAAATCAGATAAAACTTTAGGTAGTGGATGCAAGCCCACTTTCGAAAGGTTTTATTTTTTTGTTTACGATTTTTGAATTTTTGGATTTTTTTTTTATCAACCTTTAGAAAACACCTTTATTGGCTTATAAATTTAAATTTTTCTCAGTGTCTCCTACACTGCACTTCGTATGTTCATTTTTATTGCCTACTTTGTTGGGCTTTCTTCAGATGCATATTCATGATTTAGCCAAGACTTAAATTGGAATTCATTGAAAGCATCACATTCTTGCCACAGCAAACCAACTACTGAAGGGTGTGTGATGAGTGGTGGATGTTAGGACCTCAAAAGTGGGTTGAGGGTGGTCTAGGTGGGCAGCGGATTAAGGACTTTCGGCTGAGTGGCCACTCGGAACGCTTCTCTTGCCTCGGGCACTCATTATATTGTTTGTTGCCTTAATTAATGGCTGTCAGCATAAAAAACTGCTAGGCCTTGTAGAGAATACAATGAACCTACCAGAAGTTTGCAGTAAACATGGAAAGGTCAAAGGGTGATGAGAAGAAGTGAATTTCGAAGGCAATGAACCAAACTTATTCAAGCAATAATGGGGTGATGGATGGCCAATAAAAATAATTTCATTCAACTTTGTTATCAATCTCGTAGCATTTTCAATCTTTATATCATTTGGCATATCTGTCAAATTTCTTTATGTAACATTCTTAAAATAAACAAATTACCTCGGATAAGACATAAAAATCAAGCTAACATTAATATTTTTATATTCCACAGAAGCAAATATCTGCTGGACCCGAAGTTTATGACCAAGAGGGACCTGCAGCAGTACTACCGCTACTACAACATGAACAAGAACCGTGGTCAGTTCAAGAAGATAGTGATTGTGATCTTCTGCCTCTGCATATTTTCCTACCTATGTGTGGACTATAATCTCAGGACGAAGCTGCTCCGTTTTCGTGATGGCTTCGATTTCATGGCTCGCATTGAGGACCATTACGGCGGAAATCTGACGACGGCCTACTTTGTGGACACTCCAGGCTGCCGGATGCCACACTTTGAGGTCACCGATGACACTATTGCCCAGTTCATGTTCAAACCACGTCCGTATAGCTGCAATAGAGCTGTTGTGCGGGCCAGCGATACGGAGCCCGGAGAGCTGCACCTCAATCTGGACGCCAGTGAGCTTAGTTCCCACTACAACATCAGCGACCTGTCTTCCGTTAACTGCAACTTTACGGAGGTGACCCGAAATACGGATTCCAAGAACTCTTACAGTCCCGGTGTGAGTTTTAAGCTGGATAAAGTGATGAAGCTTCCGACTAGCTCGGAATTCATTTGCATGTGGTGCTATGATTCCTCGGACAAACTTTTCTACAAGGATTGTCATTTCTTTGCGGTTAAGAAGCCACGGATTAGACCCCCGATCAAGGCTGGAAGTGATAGGGTCAGCTTTAACAAGAGTAAGGATGAGTTGGAACGCCTTTCCGTTATGATCCTGGGCATGGACAGTTTATCGCACCTTAATTTCCTACGTCAGATGCGTCGTACAGCGAGTTACATCCGTAAACAGCTGTCCCACGTGGAATTGTGGGGATACAACAAGGTGGGCGACAACACCTTTCCCAACATAGTGCCGTTGCTGAGTGGGTTGGATGACCAGGAACTAAATTTGGCCTGCACTCCCAAAACATTGAGATCCTACGACAGATGCTCTTTCATTTGGAAACGCTACCAGCAACTGGGCTATCGCTCCATTTTCGCCGAGGATGTGGCCCTGCTCTCGGCGTTTAATTACAACCAAAATGGATTCAAAAAGCAGCCCACGGACTACTATTTGAGGCCCATGATCATGGAAATGGAGAAGAATTTAGCCTTTAAAAAGGACCTCAACATGTACCTGTGCATGGGCAGCCGGAGAACTGCTGATGTGCTGCTTGAATACATGAGGAAACTGGTGCCCAAGATGAGCAATGATCTCTTCTTCTCATTTTTCTGGACGGTGGCTCTCACCCATGACTACTTTAACTTCCCATCACTACTGGATCAGGCCATGTTGGCACAGCTGACGCAGCTCCAAGATTCTGGAGTGCTCAATCGCACGGTAGTAATGCTGTTGTCTGATCATGGATTAAGATGGGGTTCCTTTCGACGGACCTACCAGGGTATGATGGAGGAACGTCAGCCACTGATGATGATGTTGTACCCGCCTTGGATGAACGATCGTTATCCGGAGGCCATAGCCAATCTCAGATTAAATGCCCGCCGGCTAACCACACCTTTTGATGTCCACTCGACGATGTTAGAGCTTCTGAATCTTCGGAATCTGAAGGCGGATCAATTGCTACGCAAATCAGCGGAACTTGAAGAACCGGACAGTACGCTGCCCAGGGGCATTAGCCTCTTTCTGCCCATTCCGGCGGGGAGGACATGCGAGCAGGCGGGAATTGCTGCTCACTGGTGTACCTGTCACCAGCGCCAAGAGCTTCAGACGAACGATGCACGTGTCCAGCGGGCGGCACGATATTTGGTCCGCCTGATCAACAACCGGCTAAAGGATAGTTCCCAATGCAGGACCCTCTACCTGAACTCCATTCTGCAGGCCCTGATTGCGGCGCCGCACTCGAAGATTGTGAAGAACATATCCACAGACTATGCAGTGGACATCACTCTCCGACTGCAGACGAAGCCCGGACTCGGTGTCTTCGAGTCCACCGTGCGGATGACTGGCTATACAACCGTACTTACGGGCACCATCAGCCGACTGAATCTATACGGAAGCCAGAGCTACTGCCTCAACGATCCGGCCCTAAAGATGTTCTGCTATTGCCACAGATAAAGTGGCAATGCAATTGGGTTCTTTCGGGATGGGGTGTTTGACGTCAAAGACTTGAAACCCATTAAGCGTAGCCTTAGCCTAAAACCTAGTTTATTTCTATGAAATAGCCGAAGTTTGTATAAATACTAATCCAATTTTAGCCTTTGCCGTAAGAAGCTCCCAGTCTTATGCATCTATATAGTTATGGTAGTGTAGCGGAATTTGTTTATTTCCCATTAACTTAGAGGACAATAAACTGAATAAACTAATAATCGTAATATCCGCGAAATTACTTTATGTGTATGTAAAATAATTAATAAACTATTACCGATAGCAATGGGGTTAGCCAACTTATAAATGAATAATCTAAATGGTTATACTATATGTGGAATGTAAATGTATTAGGGCCTATTGAGTTGTTATAAATACAAAAAAAATTTAGCTATTTAATTTGCAATATACTAATATTTAAGTAATTTGACTGAGTTTCCACTTAAAAAAAAAATAAGTCAATTAAAAAACTTTTAAACAATTGCTAAAAATTTCAGTATCTTTTAAAAAATTTTTATATATATTTTTATAAGTTTCTTAATTACAATTTTTAACCAATGCACAATTATGTTATTTGATGATTGACAAATTAAAAATAAATAATGAACCAATTCAAATAGTCAGTGTTATTTTTATTTAAAAAATATTAAGTACTTTTAAACGTGTTTCCAGATTGATAACGAAATTCAAAAGCCGATAAGCGATAAATATATTTCCTCCATTAAAATACCTTAGTATTTTTCCTTATGGCTTATCGATGGTTGCATCGATTTTATTTAGATGCTATTGCCTATCGTTATCGTTCTTATCAGTTCAGTTTCTTCGTTTTATTTTTGTTCGTTACAAAAATGCATTAAATTAGTAGAGTTTATGTTTTTCGTGCACTCATTGTAGTACGTCACAATGCCACCCACAGAGACACTGCGTCCTGGCGAACGCGGCGGAGCCGGAGGATCGGGAACAGGAGGTCCAGAACAAACATACATCATCAGGCAAAGCAACAAATACTATGAGCATCGCGATTCCCAGGCCACGGCCATGTCAGTGGACTATTCTGGTCAGTGGGTGCTCCTCGCGGGACGTGGATACCTAGCCTTGCAGCGTTTGGGACAGGAGGATGGATCTTTGCGGCGCCATGAGAGACAGTCCAAGTACGAGGTGTCTGTGGCAGAGTTCGCCATATGCCCCAGTCGCAAGGAGTATTGCGCCATAGCGGTAAGAAATCAAGTTGAATAACTAAAGAACTATGTTAATCGACTCTTACGAAATCTAGACTAGTCAGCACATTGATATTGTGCGCTGGGGCACTGCAGAGCCCCACTATGAGATGTCCTTGCGCGGGCACACTCGCACAGTGACCGACATCGACTGGCACGGCAAGAATCCCAACCTGCTGGTCAGCTGTTCCATAGACACATTCTCCCACATTTGGGATTTAAGGGAACCCAGGAAACCAGCCCTATCCTTGAATGCAGTTTGCATGTGTAAGTATCTGTAAAGTTATTTTTGGGGATCATCATTTCATTCCATATTCTTTTAGCTGGTGCCACCCAAGTGGGTTTTAACCGTGTTTCGGGAAACCTTTTGGCTGCCGCTCATGATGGCGATTTACGCATTTGGGACATTCCGCAAGGGCAGCTGCCCCACACACTACATCACAGCGCATTTAAATAGAGTGCACGGCATCAATTGGAGCCACAAAAGAGAGACCTGTTTGGCCACCGCAAGTCAGGATGGAACGGTGAAGTACTTCGACGTATGCAATCCTCGCAGGGCTGAGAAGATAATCACTACAATGTCGCCAGTATGGAGAGCAAGATACACGGTAATCTATTTAAATCATGGATATTGGTGGATTTCTTAAAATTCAGTTCAACATTGCAGCCCATTGGCAACGGATTAGTAAGCATTGTGGTGCCTCACTTGGGTCGCGGTGAGAATAGTTTACTACTCTGGAGCAACAGTAAGCAAACGGATCCTATTTGCTCCTTTGTGGGTCATACCGATGTCATACTTGATTTTGCCTGGCGTCCAAATCGGGAGAGCTCCACGGAAATAGTGCGTACTGAAAGAAAAATTAATTTAATGTATTTAAACTATGATTTATCTTTAGGAACTTGTTACATGGTCCAGGGATCGTACCCTGAGAGTCTGGAAAATTGACGACAATATGCTGAAGCTTTGCGAACCGTCTGCGGAGGAAGAAGAAACCCGTTTTGAGCCTGACCTTAGTGAATTAAGAGTGCCCACTCCTCCAGAATTCCTGCATCCACGTTCGATTTTGGTTGCCGCCTCATTGCCCATTTCCACTGGTGACGGAGCATCCAACACGCTGCCGATGGCCCGCTCTCCTAGTTTTGGAGGCGGTTATTATCGAAGAGAGGAGCCACACATAGCCAGATCTCTGACCGATCAACCCACATGCTCGCTTCACCACGAGTTCTCGCTACTCAACACAAACATGCCTCATGTGGAGGTGGACACGCTAGACGCTATTAAGCGTTACGCCTGTTTCAAGATTTGCGCCGGGGGACACACCGTTATTTTACAAGTGACATTCGCGACTTCTTATCCTAGTCCCAGTGCACCGCCTGATTTCCAGTTTTGTCAAGGTACCACTCTTTCCAACGATGTGAGTGGCGTGTTGCTTAAGGTGCTTCGTTGTAATGCCTTGCAGCGGGTCAAAAAATCCCGCACATGTCTAGAACAATGCCTACGTGCCCTGGTGGCGGCTATGAAAAAGAAAGTAGCAGCGGTTGGTGGAGCAGACCGTAGCCAGTTGCTCCTACAATCGCCTCGGTTGGAAGGAGCTCTGTCCAGCACCCTGCACGATGCCTGCATTCCATATCCCAGAACATCTGGGGTACATTTCAATGCCATTGGTATGCTGACCACCTTCGCCCAGCCGGTACACAACAAAAGGCTAACCCTGCGCCAGCACACATCCCTGACACCGAGGACTTTCTCAGCAATAAATGGCAGTGGGCTGCTAGGCAATGTAATGGCAACTGCTCAGCGGGACGCAAATGCCTCATTTTATCTTCAGGAGCGAATGATTTCGGGAAAACCTGGAAAGCAGCGAGCCATCCGGCAAATGAACGGAAGTCCCGTAGTTCATGTATATGACACAAGCAGCCTTCTCCATATTAATCGCGGCATGGCCAGAGAGTTCTCCTTAGATAAACTCAACATAGCGGAGACTTGTCGTAAAAATGGAGAAATCTGTCGAAAGCATGGGCGATTGGATTTGGTGCCCGTTTGGCTATTAGCAGAACTGATAGCCACACCTCAAGTCCCTCATGAAACTCTTAACGAGTTGCTGTTCTACAAGGATCCCTTCAAGAAATCTCTATTAGAATCACTTATTATGCATTATGCCACCTCCGGCGACATACAAACTGCAGTCCTTTTAGCTTGTTTATTTGACAAGTGCCCTACGGGTGGAAACGCTATCATGGAGATGGCCGTTCGTCTTCCACCACAGCTGAACTCGCAAATTTCACCCTATCACACGGTACTACCGCTGGACGTCAAATCTTCTTCGTCATCCAACACTTGGCAACAATTAAAGCAACTTCGGAGCAACTCTTGGTCAGACTCCTTTGATCTGGAGGTGAAACAAGTCCAGTCTGATGCATATCCTTGCTCATTAATCAGACGCGCCAAAGTGCCACTGTTTGATCAATTTAAGCGCGCTTACGCCGAAGTTCTCTTCGGTTGGCAGTTGTTATCAAAGCGGGCCCTGGTCCTCAAGCATACACAGAATATGCCACCTCCTGTCCAGGGTGTGGAATTTGTTACTGAGTGCGGTACGTGCGCCAAGCCCAAACGAACCCCAAAATGCGAGCCTTGCAAGCGACCCGTACTTTTCTGTGTGCTTTGCCGGTTACCTGTAAAGGGAGCAGCCAACGCGTGCCTGGCCTGCGGTCATGGTGGTCACATGGATCATATGATGCAGTGGTTTGAGGTGAGTTCACAGGCTTATTTTTAGTATTTGATCTCCTCTTTTTAAATAAAAAGACTTATACAATTTGACACACATTTATTATCGTTTAAAAACTTTGTTTATTTTTATTTCCATTCAGAAACACGAAGTGTGTGCTACCTGTGGATGCAAATGCTTGGAACGCACGTCGGAGCTTCTAGCCTTACTCAGTTGATCGGACAATTGAGTGACAAGTGAACTTTTTGATTTAAATGTGCTAAACTTTCTGTCATCATTGTGAATATCAAAATAGTTAGGTGTTTTTTAGTCATTAAGAGAAAGATTTTTGTACGATTTTGCATACCATTTAAAAATATATGACCATTCACTAGCTAAGCTACGGGTAAAACTATATGGAACTATACACATGACCAAAGTTATGCGATCAAAACCAAAGATAAAAGCTACGACTCTTGTTTTTCAAGTACATACATTTATTTTTTATTATAAATTTTTTTTTCTTAGCTTATATCTACGATTTACTTGTAGCTTTTGCATTTGCAATCATCATAATATTATTTGTGTTGTTCGTCATTATCGAAAGTTTCTTTTGTTTTGGAAATCATTTTTAAATAAGTTTTTACAGCTCCGTTTCTTTTTTTTAGTAAGCGTCATAATAATAAAAAAAAGAAAATCTAAGAGAACAAAATTAAATATGCCGCACTTTTGAACTGCTCGCAGATCTGTGCAAAAATTAAATTAAATAAAAAAATCCTATATTGCAATTTAGTAGGCAAATCTTTTTAAAGATAATACATTTTTGATATAGCGACATAAATATTAGATATAAAGCCATAGTTAAAACAAATCACGCACAAACAAATAAACAATAAAATGAAAGGCATAGAAAAATTTTAACTCTTTTGAGGAATGAACTTGGCTCAGAGCTGGCTAGCAGGGATGAACTGCATTTCGGACTTAACTACAAGCGTGTATATTTAAATGTGTATGTGGTCCTAGATTAACTATCTTGGATGGGGATCGGTCACGGTACAGGGTCAGAGTGGTAATCTATCAGTACCAGGCGCTGGCCAGGTTGTAGTTCTCTTGATATCATTTCAGCTGGTCGCGGTACGTTATGATAGCCTTCATCAGCAGACGCACGTTGCTGAACTGTGAATTCTTGGGGCTGTTTTTGATGAACTGCTGGCAATTGCGATACAGCTCGGAGAGTACTTTCGGAGCATGTTCGCGGGTAATTGGATCTGCCATGTTGATCGCCAACAGTGCCTCATTGAGGTATCTGCAAAAAAAACGAGTAAACGGTTTAAAATTATAAACAATTGAGACCACATTCCGTTTTTCTAAACTCACCTTTGCTTAAGCTCATTGTGATTTGTCATGTCAGCGGATATTTGCTGAATGAGCGACAGTAAAACCTTCTGTTCCAACCTGCAGCCCTCTGGAGCGAAAGCCTGATTACTGTCCGTGTGCCGAAGAGTGAACTCCACTAGGCCCAAGTCGTTGGCCAGCAAAGCCTGATGGAAGGCCTTGTTGATTTGTCCAGCCAGCAAAAGCTGTTTAATGCTGTCCCTAAGGTCGTATGGTGGTGCCGGCGTGGCTGCTTGCGAACGCATCGCCAGGTTCTGGCTTTCCATGTGCTTCCGCAGCTCAGTTCGGATAGTTTCCTGGACTTGTCGCGCCAACAATATCTCCAAGCTCTTTACCTCTCTTTGCGTCTCGAGCATGGCGTCCGTGAGCTCATTTCTATGCTTGTTCAAACTGCTTTCGACTAGCTGCTTCAGCATGGCTAACTTGTTGTTCAGTTCCTCGGAGTTGGCACCCAGCGCTTGGGGCTGAGGCATGTGCTGCAGGTAAGTGTTGAACTGGACCATGACTAAAAGCAGAAAGCCAAATAAGCAATTATATAAAACTTAATATTAAAGTCAGTATTTAAGTGTACTTACAATCTTTTATACCCACGCTGAAGGCGTCGTGCAATTGCTTGAACATATTCTGCGAGGATTTTTCATATGCTGGAATCAAGGTGCTACTCATGGACTCAATAAAGGCAGTCTGCAGGCTGGCTTGGACACCAATCAACACGGACTTACCAAAAGTGTCCAGAAATTGCTAACGAGTTGAAAGTAAGCTAATTAGGAACACCTTAATAAGCGTTTTTAGATATTCATACCTTGCTTTTGCACACCTGAGCTACATTCTCTTTTACCGTCTTGTCAAACATGCTCAGTTTCTGCACGATCTCCACCTGCATCTGGGCTGTGAGCTGATCCATTTTTGCGTTCACCTGCGGGAATAGTTTGCGCTGTAATTCCATGTTAATGACGTTGCCAACGATGTCCGTAAAGTGGTTCATCACATACTGGTTCAGCACTTGGATCACAGAGTCGCGCAGTTCGCGATTCTGACTCTCACTGTAGGAGGTATTTATTGATTAGAACTTTTAAACTTCATCATCGTTTCTCAACTTACCGCGCTGCCAGAAATTCAGTCAACTTCCTCTTATGTTCGTTTTCGTATCGCTTGAGGTACTGCTCCATCAATTTGGACAGCTGCATCTCGATTTTATATGCTAACTGACTAACATTTTTAGGATCCAATGATGCCGCTTGTATGCTATTCTGGGCCACAACCGACTCTTGTTGCTTTTGTAGCTTCATGACTTCGTTCTCCAATTTGTTCATTTGCTTGGACTGAGCCTTAACCAAATCTTTAAAAAAATCAATAGATGGTTAGTTCTAATAAAAATAAAATGAATTAATATGTCCTTTTGGAAAAGGTTACATAAACATACCCAGGAGTAATTCGATCTTGGCATTCAGCTCTGCATTTCCACCCGAGCCATCGCAGGCACCACCTACGTTGTTGTTGTTGCTGCTGCTATTGCTAGTGTTAAGAGTCGTGGCCGTGTTGTTGTTGCTGTTGCTCCCCACACTAGTATTGTTGTTGTTACCGCTTCCAAGTGTGGGCGGAACATTGCCATTGTTGGTGTTTTGCACCGCCTGTGACATGATCTGTGCCGCATTCTGGAGCTCAGCAGAGTTGGTCAGTGATGGCAGCTTAACGATGGGCCAAGTTCCATCCACTGCCTCCAAGGGCGATGAGTTAGGCAGCTCTTCCTCGTCGTCCAAATTCTCTAGCTCCGCCTCGTAGGCATCAGCGTCTTCCTGCGTGGCCATTATCTCCTGTACTTCACGACTCGGACTTGAACCGCCACTGGCCAAATTTTCAGCTACATTGCGCTCCGGATTTCGATCAATGGCAACAAATTTTTTGCGAGCGTCAAGCTTTTCCTTGAGCTTCTGTTGTTCTCGGTCCTCGATCAGGGTGTTGTTCATTAGCTTACGGAAAACTTCAGCATCGGTGTTTTCCGTCTTTGACGTAACTGTGGCCAGCATACGCAATGTTTGTAAAACTGCCGAGTCAATGGATCTATTCTCTCCAAGGATATCAGTTCCTGAGGAAGTCGTAGTGGTTGCGGCTACCACCACTGCTGCTGAGGTGGAGGTGCCGCTTGCACTGAATGCATCTGGTGTCATGAGATTCACCTGCGGGGGATAAACGCTGCTTAGTTGCGGAGACTCTGACTTTACGGCCTCCTTGGCGGGGTCCTGTAGGATAGCTGAAGGAGCAGCAGCCGCTGCTGCAGCCACAGCCACTATGGCAGATGAGCTTCCCGTTGAAGATCTCTTGGCGGACTTAGCGAACAAAGCGTCCAGCTGGACAGTACCAGCGGTACCACTGTTGGGGGATTCCGGCTCTTTTTTGATCAGTAAATCGTCCTCCGGCGTCTCGGATCGCTTGCTGCTAAGACTGCGTCGCTCCGGTTTTTCGGCCACGCACGGCTGGTATATGATTTGACATTCTTGGAGGCTCTTTGCCTGCACCACAAACATGTGCAGTACTAGCGCGTTGGTGGAATTGCTGTCGTCGTCAAAGTCATCGGGCTCCTCGATAGGATAGTAGCTCTCGATGGAGCTCTTCACACGACGCATACTAGCGTTTACAATAGAGAAAGAGAGAATCCCCGAGCTTAGCTTAAATTCGGCAACGTTTTGGATACGTTTGGAAGTGTCGCTTCCTTCTCCTTCGCTATCACTGTCTCGATTTCCAGATCCTTCGCTGCCAGAGTTGCCGATCTGCATCACATAGACAGCCAAAGAGTCCAAGCAAGACAACACCAAGTAGTTGGCACTGCGGTCTATGCCTGCTATAAAGTTTCCAGGCTGCACTGACGAGGGACTGCTAGAAGCTACATTGATAGTTTGCAGACATTCCCATAGCGAGCAGTTCCACAGCTTTATTTCGGCATTGGCATCACTTGTAGTGATCACGTGCTGCCAGTAAGAACTAATACAGGAAGATGTGTTTATTTTAATTCCAACTAATTAGGCACAATCACCAATGATAATGAAAATTTAGTTTACTTACTCTTCAACAGGCTTGTTGATATTGTCGAGAAAAAATAGAGAGCAGACTTTCTTTCCATCATGTGGCTTCCACTCGTGCAAACAACGATGGTTGCGCACATCAAACCAGTAAATTTGGTAGAAGCGAACCAAGCCATCTGCGCAAGCTGCAGCCACAGTGGTTCCATCCGGGGATAAAGCGGCGCACGTGATCAGCGAGTCCTCCTCAATCTTCAGATACCCAGTTTCCAGAGAAGACGGTTGAATCTTGCCACGCTGCTCAGAAATAAAAACCGTTTATATATTTCTAAACGAACGAACAAAACAAAACCAACGAACCCCATGCTCAGAGACAATCATTTTGACTTGGAAGCACTGGAACTGCGAACTCCGGGACCAAATGAGCAGCTGATTCTCATCGTCTTCATCATTGATCGGAACAGTGGCGTTGCTGCTGCAGACATAGGGACACCAAGCGACCATGTCGTACTCCGGAACATAATTAGCAATGGGATCCTCTACCTTCAGCACGAGATGGCAAAGCAGATTGCCTTCGATTTGATCGACTTTATAGACAAACAGCGAGTTGACATCGATCACAGCCAGAATGCGTTCGCGGTCTGTATGGGCGAACTGGAGATCTAAGACCTCACCGCTCATCCCCTTGATTAGGGCCCGCATGCTGCTGGCGATATTGCAGACGCGCACCATGCCTTCCATGCCAGTGGCTTTGTTGTTGACTGGGGACAACATTCAATTAGTTATTCGTAATAAAATAGTAAAAGCTTATCGATTTTAAACAGCTTTTTCCTAGGATTCTATAGACTTGCGAAACATTACTTCTTACAGCTACCACTAATAAGAAAGCTTTCCTTGCCACTTTAATCCAAATTGGTAATGAAATTCCTATAGGATATACAAAGCTCACCATTAATAGCGTAAGCCAAGTGCTTCCCATCTCGGTGGACAGCCACCAGGTGACCCGGGTAGTAGTGCTTGCGCTCCCACTTGTAATCGACAATGTTTTTTAGCTTGACCTTGGAGGATCCGCGAGTGTGGACGCCACCTGAGGTAAGAACCTTGGTATTGTTGGTTCTGATGACACGGCAGCATTGCTTCTCTTGAGGCTGAAAGTGGCTGCAGTGGAAAAAACGAGGAATTTATAAGCAAAGATCACATAATATTTATCCGGTTGTACGCACATGATTTCCACCTCCTGGGGCTCTGCCCCATTGCCGTTGGCAGCTATAGGCTTGTCCTGGTCGCCGCTGCTACTCATTCCGGATGCTGCTTCAATGGCTGTAGCACGGATGCTGATGCGGACGTCTACTGGCAGTGGATACGCGGAACTTGCTCTGCCACACCTTGACGATCTGGGGACAGACGGCGACGGGGAGGAGGAAACTAGGAGCGTCTTACGAAAGATTGGCAAGTGTGCAAGCGCGAAGAGCGCGATTAACATTGACACATCGGCTTACTGCAGGTGGGCGACGATATGGCATGGGGGTACACATTATTAATTTCGCCAGTTGGATGCCCAACAACGATTCGCACTAACCTGCCCTTTCAAAATGCAGCAGTTAAATCCGGCTCGTTTTCTCCTGTTAAATGCACCCAGCCGATATTTGGAAAGACAGGCCTGCAGCAATCTATCGCTTACCTTGCGAAACTAAACCATTTAGGTAGCTCTTCCCCGTAAACTCACAAATTTTCGCAAATTTTCAATGCCGCAAAACCCTAGAGATGTGAAGCGGCGTGTGCATGAGCAATCGATAACCGAGAGCGTCGTTATCGGCGCCACGGACCAGTGCCAGGGATGGCCAATATCGACAACGCTTTTTCGAAATAAATGAAACAACATACGTTGCACTTTTCGTTTTTATTGCATTTTAACATCAACTTAATACATTTATCTTTATTCATAGAGATGTATATCCATCAAAACAATACACATTAATTACGCAACCACGTAATAATATGTTTACATAGTGTTTCAATATCACTTTTTCTTTTCATTACATTTTGTTTGTTTTGTTTTTCGTGTGATTGTGTGTGGTAGATCTTTGAAAAAGTTTAACATGTTGAAGAAAAACTCATACATCTAGTGGTTTAAGTATGCAAAAGAAGTGATATATGCCGGTATATCTGTTAAATTCGAAGTTAGCATATACGTACACATTTAGTGGTCCGGGTAAATTAAATTTGTCTCCTGTTTCGGTCTTATTTCCTCTTCAGTTAGTCGTAGAAAGAAAAAACGGTAAATGTACATAATATCAAGTAGTTTGTGTTTTCTTGTACACTATACAGATAGAAAATATATTAATATGTATATACTTTTTGAAAAACCTAAGCTTAGCTTTCAAGGAAATTAATTTGTTGTCGATATTTTACCTTTGACTTTTCTAATACTTAAACATTAAGCCTGGCTTTTATTTTTAGGTTCGTTTTTGTGATTCTATTTTTCCTTTTTTTTTTTTTTTTTGTTTCTTGGTTAGTTTTCATTGCCGGAATGAATAGAAGGAGATTTTCGAGACACAGACAAAACATTAATAAATAGCAAATTGAAAAGTAAAATGCCTACGGAGCAGGAAATATTACAGCTGGGATTGGACCACTTTGTGGCAGTTTCATTAATCACTAGGGTGAGGGTGATATACGGGTGGCTGTCAAGCGAAAAAACGGTTTGTCATTTACTCGTAACAATTAGGAGAAGCGCATATACATATATCTCTAAATATACATATACATTTTATATATATAAATTTATCTGCATAAATATCTATAGAGGCGGCATTATTGTTGTTGTTCTCGCATGATTTGTTTGTGTTCTTGAGATTTAACTAGCCTACAAATTAAATTAGCAACTTCAATGCATAAACGGACGCGGTATCAGATCCATCGTTGGCGTTTTCTATCAGTTTAAAACTGAGCAAGCTCTTGAGTAAACAACGTTGAAGCCTGCAAATCTTCAAATGCGTAAACAATTTTAATATAAACGAATTTAATGTATAATTTGGTTGCTTACTCAAACATTTGCCCAGTCTTATCGCTGTGCAAACACCCCGATTTGTGAATTGTGCTTGCAACATACAGTAACAACAAAATAAGTGTTAAACATAAAGGGTGAATCGATTTTTTTGAGTGGAAAAATAAGTGAATAGAATTAATTTAAAAATTTTTTGCCCAAAATACGTTTTATCTTACATTAAATTGGACATTATTATTTGATAGGGAATACTTCTCTTCATAAATAGAAGTGTACATTTTAGTTCTATGAACACTAATAACCAATACAAATACTGCTGTCTAATAGGCAGAAAAAGAAAGGTAATTTAAAGAAAACTACAGTAACATAAGGAATGTTAAAGTGGATTTGGAGATTAGTAGATTGGAGATTAAAAATAGATGTAAGGACACAGGTTGAAAATGATCTCACAAAATGCAAAAACAAATCGATTCACCCTAGTAAACATGATAATTTTTCGCTGCTCAGACATTGGTGTAACCAGCTCCTGCCGAACCAGAGGAGCCACCGGTCACGTTCGCTGTCACCGGGGCGGATATCGATGAACTTGTTCGACCAGTATTATCACCGGCACTAAGTCCCTCCAGCTTGAGTCGCATCTCCTCCTTGCGCGTTTGAACGCTTAACAGTTCGTCGCTTAAATCGTTGCAGAGGTGTTGCAGGGAGCTGTTCTGCTCGCGCAGTCGTTGCAGCAACTCTGTGGTGTTAGCCTTTCCCTCTTTAAAGGACACGTGACGTAGCGAGTCGCTTATGGCATTCACCCGCTTTTCAAAGATTTCTGCACTGGGAAGCTGACCAGATTGAGTGGACAAGCCGACAGCTGGTGCCGGAGGTGGCGGCTGCTGGGGCGGCGACTGCGATCCCCGCGGCGTCTGCGGCTTTCGGTAAACTTCAAAAGCAGAAACGCGCTGTTGAGCCTGCTGAAGAGTAATCCTTGTTGGCGGCACCATTGCCGCCTGTGGAGGAGGTGCAGCTGGCGGCAACGAATGAAGTTGCTGTTCATCCACCTACAAATTTATGATTGATTAGTCAGGCTGAAAGACGTGTGGGCGTATTATATTGTTAAGCTACTGAATTTGGACACATAAAACTAGTGAATTACAGCCAATTAGATTGGAATGCTTTACGAGTTGCATACATTTAGGATTGGACTTACGACGTTCGCGGCGCCTTCGTCGGCAAAGTGCGTGAAATCGGCAAACCCTGTTGAGGTTTGCATATCGAAGCTGGCCTGCGCAGTGATCTTAACAAAGATTGGGGTTGCATATTTATACACTTTTCACAGGTTATAGGTAATAAAAAAAAACAGCAAACAATGGTAACAAAATAGACAACTTCGAATGCCCGAAGTTTTGTATAACCTCGCAAATAAGTTTTACCATTTTTCACAATGCATTATTTTATTACAATTCTTGAAGAGTGAGGATGCAAAAAACAAGATCGGACCTTAAAAACGGGCAATATGCTCTATCTATTTGCAAGGGTACACCATAAATACTAAAAAAAAAAAGGGAGAAAAGGAAGGGGCAGACAGACATTTTTTGTTCTTCCGTAGTCTAACGTAGCATTGCAAATGGTAGTCAAGGAAATGGGGATAATATCCCCCGCAAGGCTTTATTGACCAAAGCAAATATCACGACACAGATTAAAATACACAACTTAAGTAAACTGTTGATAAATAGCCCATAACTTACCTCCGCCTGCTGGGCACCGCCCGTTGCTCCCATTTTAAACTTGTTTAAGTCCAGACTACTGCTTCGCGCATGGCGATGTGGCCTCGGTGGTGGTAGGGGCGGTGGCTCCTTCTTGGATGTCAATGACGATGCCACGTATGCGGCCTGTGGATCCGTTAGCTCGTTAGGTTCCACTAGATCCGATGCTCGGTTCACGTTGAGGTGGTGGTGGCAATGCACTGTTTTTGGCCGGCAACTTCTTGGCCTGAGGCCGCTGGATGGCACGCAAATCGCTGCTATCGCGATGAGAGCCAGTTACTCCCGATACTCCGGTTAGAACAGCAGATCCAGATGACTGGTTGTTGACTGTGGACGAAGAAATGGCCTTGGGACTATCCTCGCGCAGAACGACAACGCCCTCGTTGTCGTTAGATGACTCAGCGGAGGATGCGATGGCGGTACCTGGACATGGATTACACAAAATATTTTATATAAAAATATTACATTCAACTATACTGTTTGTTTACTCACCTATGGGTGTCACTCTTAGCGGCACAGGGTGCAGAATTTGCGGGTTAGAGACCACGTCCTGGGCAGAGCGCTTCATGTCGAATAGGGCTGGTTTAAGACCAGGACTAGATGCGGCAGGAGCGGCTGTTCCACCAGCTACAACAGGTGCCGCCCCAGTGGTTGAGTGCGCCGGAGCAGCACTTGTTGTGGGAGATTCGCTAAACTTTGTCCACTGGCTGGAGGCGTTGCTAGAGTCTACAGCACTTGCTGTAGACGTAACAACTCCCGTTACTTGTTTTTCAACGCTAGGTGAGTTTGAGATACTGCGGTTCTTGACCAACGAATTCTGCGGTGTAGCCTCACGTCTGGAACTGTTGCTTGCCTGCGAGGACGTGGAGATACTGCTCAAATTCATGATGTTCTTATCGCTGGGCACGTTGGGACGCGGCTTGCTGGTGGAGCTGCCACCGCTGTGATTGCCGGCTATAATTGTATTGTCCGTGTGGTCATCCTCATCGTCGTCATTTAGGTGCAAGAGATCAGCCTCAGGCGGCTCCTGAGGCAGCGTCGCTGACGACAAGGAGTTAGCTCCCTGACCACTGCCAGCCACAGCCGCTTGGAGTACGTTGGGGTGCAGACAATGGGGAAGGCTTGTGGGCAACGGAATGTTGTTGCGTCTGAGAACAACCAGATGCATAGCAGCCGTGAACTCTGATAGGCTAAGCGCTCCATCGCGGGTAACGTCGCACAGTTGCCAGATATGTCGCAACTCCTCAACGGGAATACGACTCTTTTCGAAGAAGTTTCTGAAAGAATTATATACCGTTTAATTAAACGTAACAAATCTACACTCAACAGTTTGACTAGGTTTAACATAAAGCGAAATTTCAAAAGTAAGTTAATAGACATTGAACTGAAATCTCACCTTGCTGCCTGGCCTGATAGCAGACCATGCGGGTCCCTTTGCACTGTCCTGAACTGCTTGTTATAGTACTCCCGCTGCTCTGGAGTTATCTGATAGATGGTAACCAATTCGTTTTCGTTGTCCTCGTCGTCGCTGCTGTGGCGATCGGAGGACTCCTCCTCTGTGCCCAGCAGCTGGCGATGCTCGTCACCCAGCAAACCCTGCCAGAGGGTATCCTGCGCCCAGGGCCGCTCCGCTACGCTGTTGGTGGGCGTGGGGCTGTCACTGTTAGTGCTCCAGGCTTCCGGGGATCCTCCACCAGCACCGCCCCCTCGACGTCGCTAAAAGAGATAAGATGGACGGGAATCGGTCAGTGCTAAATCTATTTGCATGTGTCACATGATAAGATAGGAGTACGAACCCCGACATTCTCGCGGCTGCTGCTGCTAACAACCCCACTGCCATCAGTGCCGCGTCCGTGGCCGGTTGCTTCGTCAACGGATTCGTTCTGCTCCACTTCGGAGTCAGTGCTGGGCACATCAGAGGTGTCCTGCAGCTGCTCTTGCTGTGAGTTGCGACGCAGAGAGTTCCTGCGATCTGTAGGCGGCGGCGGTGGCAAGGCAGTCAATCCGTTTTCGACAGCTACCGGAGCTGTGATTGCCTCCTTCCAGCTAAAATGCGGCAGTGGTAGCGGAAAAGTAGCTAAAATCAACTCCTGCCGCAGGGGCATGGCCGCCTGGTGGGCGGCAATTAGTTTCAGGCATGAGTAGAACTGCGCCCGAGAAATGTGCAGTGCCGTAGACGGAATCCCCGCAAGGCCGGTGATCTGTAGGCCCACACCCCAGATAATTAATCACTCACGATCACACAAATTGGACCTACCTCAATAACGGTTTCGTTGGCGATGTCCGCCGAGCGAAAGAGCTCGGTGGCCTTTAGCATCGGCACCTTGCCCGTCTTCTCCACGTCGCAGCATTGGAACAACTCACTGTAGAAGCGTGTCTCTGGCTCGGTGAGGGACACGTCCATACCTACCGCCTACTTGTTGCCGCCTCCGGTTTTGTTTGCCAAGCCGCTGGTTAGCGAACCACGCCCCGTTACTCCGACCCGGACCCGGAATCCGATCCGTTTGTTTACTTCCACGCTTAGCCCAGCAGGCCAGTGCTAATCCCCGCTACCCCGCGCAGCTTTCCTTAAAGTTTCTACTGATTTTCTGCCTTTCGCCCCCAAGACGGAGTTGGAGGAGGTGGAAGATGGGAGAACTCCACAGGCAAAGGTTTCGCTAGCTTCTTGGTACCGCCACGGTCACAGTTGTTAAAGCACTCCACGGCACTGGTCAACGGAGAACTCCTGCTTCCGCAAACTTCTCGGTTCGCAATCTATTTCGCTTTTTGTCCAGGTTTTTTCGCAAACTCTTTTGCACTGTGTGTGCTGGCCCTCGATATCGATAGTTTGCGATATCGATTAGTCAGCTGGCAGAGCAGCCCTGTACCTATTTACGTGCCGCAGCCCTGGGTACTAGTAAGAGTTCAGTTCCGCATGATAAAGGATTTAGAAGGTGTTGGACATCTCAATATTTTAACTGATTAAATTCAAACAGTTCAGTTATATTGCAAAATGTTAATTAAAGTGTTGCCTTTAATAATTCAAATACATAAAATATTTTTTTTCATTCAATCTTCAAAGTAGATAATTTTAAGTAGCCCTGTAACAGTGACTCTCATCAATAGAGTTCTCCTGCGTCACCTTCATTTCTCCACATTGATCCCCCACAAACATTCTGTTATTGTTGTCTGCGTCTGAAAGTCGGAAACGCAATTAATTAAAGGATTTCAAAGGCTTAAAATACAAATTAGTTATTCCTAGCACATAAACAGTAAAGGATGTTCGCAAGAAAGAAGCCAGAGCCAGCGAAACGAAGGCAACACGATTTATCCCAGGTAAGAGGAAAATAAACAGACTAGATCCGTCTATTTATTAATTATGAGTCATCATCTGCACTCTCGGTTTTCACATTCAGTTTGGGCTTACGGAAATCCCAGATGACTTTGATCCCAGCGCTGGATACGGAGACGATGATGGAGGTGACAGTGATCTAGAAGCGGAACTAGCGGCCATAGCTGGCGGTGGAGGATCCAGACCAAAACCCAAACCTAAGGCACAGTTGTTGCCTGCCAGTGATTTGGACAAAATGATTGCCGACAGCTTGCGTGATGTCAGCGACGATGATGACGATGATAATTTGGAAAACGATTCGGATCTGCTAGGTGAACTAAGCGGAATTGGTGGTCTGGAGGAGGCGGAAGAAGAGGAGCCTGCAGCCCCACCACCAGCTTCCGTTGAAGAGCCCGTCCAAACTTTCCTGCCCACCACTACTGTTGACACGCTAGGCATCATTAAGCAGCGTTTAGAGATGTACAAGCAGGCCGAGGCGAATGCCAAAGCTGCCGGCGACTCGGGCAAGGCAAGGCGTTTTGGAAGAGGTCTTAAGACTCTGCAGGATCTGCACAAACAGGTAGCAGCCGGCAAGTCAATCAATGTAGATGACATTCCGCCGGAAGTTAGCCTTAAGCCTGCTGGCGGGCAGGCTCCTTTAGTACCTGCAGAGGAATCACCAGCTCCTTCCACTCCTGCTTCTCCTCCTCCTGTACCAAGTCGTGCAGCTCCGGCTCCACCTACCCCAATTACTCCGGTGGCACCTACTACATCTGTGGCACCCACTACGTCTCAAAACCCCCTTGTGGCTCAAATGCGCAGCCGGCAGAACGAGTACAAGGCGGCAGCACTGCAATCTAAGCGTAGCGGTGACACAGCTACTGCACTTCAGTTCCTTAAGGTGGTGAAGCAGTTCGATGTCGTTGTAAAGATGTGTGAGGATGGCCAAGAAGTTGATCTCAGCGATATGCCGCCTCCTCCAGCTGAATTTCTAGAATTCCTAAAAAAAATGCAGGACGGAGGATCTCCAGAGGTTGTCGCAGAACCTACACCGGAGCCACCTCCTGCACCTGCTACGCCTCCATCCGCTCCAGCTGCTGCTAAAAACGTGTTGGGGGCGCTACAGCAACGTTTGGAGAAATACCAATCCGTAGAGGCGGCAGCTAAGGCAGAAAACAATAGCGGAAAAGCACGACGCTTTGGAAGGATTGTGAAGCAATACGAAGATGCCATAAAGTTATACAAGGCGGGTAAACCTGTTCCTTACGATGAACTGCCTGTGCCTCCCGGCTTCGGACCCCTACCCACAGAAGATACTGCTCCAGCCGCGCCTACTCCATCGCTGCCCACTTCCCCTACATCTCCACCAGCAACGGCAAGTACATCCGCCGGAGGAACTCCCTCAAGTTCCAGTGCTACCACACCTACGGCCCCACGAAAAGCGCCCTCACCTCCTCAAGCCAAGGAATTAACAACGCGAACGTCTGGCAACCAGCAGAAGAATAATCTAGCCGAACAGCAAATGAAACTGCTTCTCGAACGTCAAAAGGAATTTAAATTGGCTGCTATAGAGGCCAAGAAAGCGGGAGAGATTGACCAAGCCAAGGAATACCTCAAAATATTTAAGGGATTTGACTCACTACTTAATGCAGCCAGTAGCGGATTGCCAGTGGATCTTAGCACTGTAAGACTTGTTATGTTTTTTTTTCCTTTAATATGCTTATGCATTCCACTCCACTCCAGCTTCCCGTGCCACCTTCCCAAAGAGACAATCTGGAAGCCTCATTTGCCATAGTATCCGCTGAAGAATGCGATCCTAGCGATGATATCTGCGAGATTGGTGTTCGCATGGAGGAGCAACTAGCAAAGCAACTGATGATGTGCAAAAATACTCGAGATCATCACAAGGCTATGGGAGATGTTGCAGGCATGAATCGGTTTGAAAACTTGGCCTTAACAGTCCAGAAGGATCTGGATTTGGTGCGATACTCCAAGAGAAAGAATGAGACCCTGCCCAAGTTTCACTATGAAAAACGAAGTTTTAATATTGTGCATTGCAATACAGACCTTACTGACTGTGAGTTAGAAATTGTTGTGCTAAGGGGAATCAATTACAATGTGGCCAATCCCAAAGACGTGGACACCTATGTTCGTGTAGAGTTCCTTTGCTCAATGTAAGTTTCTTACTAACCAGCAATCGATTCTACTAAATATTAACAATCTCTCCTTTAGGACGAAACCTTTAAGACTAAAACCAATGTTATTAGAGACACCAGCAGTCCAGACTACGACGAACGCTTTAAGGTTGACATTCAGCGGGGCAATCGTCAGTTCCAGAGGATCTTCAAGCGCCATGGCGTCAAGTTTGAAATATATTCCAGGGGGTAAGTTGTTTGTTAATAATAAACATAGCACAGTTATTTAATCCTTACTAAGTCGCTTTCAATGCATATAAAACTCTACTAACAGAGGTGGTATGCAATATTAATCAAGCCCATACATTTTTTAAGGTCTTCAAGCTATGGTGTGAGAGGGGTAGAATATAGTGACTATATAGTACAAGTACATAGTACTCATTTTTAAATTTTCCAAAAATTGTAGTTAATAAAATGCTAAATTAAAAAACTTCAAATTTTGAAGAGATAGCAAAAGTATTAGATTACAAAAATCGGAATAGTAATACGCACACTTAAGTATTTAATTTGATTTACCATACTTAAGATTTACCTTGGTTCCCTAATTTTAAGTTTTTCAAATTTGATTTGAATAATTTAATTTTCTCCTGTAGTCAGCATGTTCCTTTGGTCCCGTAAACTGTATCGTACCAGTCACGGCTTCAGCACACATATATTTCATCATATATGTTTACCCATTGAAGTTCATTGATTTTCATATGGAACATTTTAATAAAATATTTTTTAAAATCTTTACGCCACAAATCCCAACAAACCGCAAAAACCTCATTCAATGCTACGCGTTCAATATCGTGCATATAAAATAGCTGCAGTATAGATTGTTGTGGACTAAGTCGTAAACTGCCCCTGTGTTGTTTCAGGGGATTCCTGCGATCGGATACTTTGATTGGAACCGTAAATGTTAAGCTGCAGCCGCTGGAGACCAAGTGTGATATTCATGACACATACGATGTAAGTAGTATATTAAAAATGATTATAAATAATATTAAATTAATTTTTTTAAATTCAAAAATAGCTAATGGATGGTCGAAAGCAGGTGGGAGGCAAACTGGAGATCAAAGTGCGCGTTCGCAATCCCATTCTTACCAAGCAAATGGAGCACATCAACGAAAAGTGGCTTGTCTTGGACGCTTAGGGTGAACACGATTTATATTAGAAATTATTTGCTTAAAGCAAGAAAAAGTTACTAAGTTATTAATTTGTATATATCCCCCACTGGGAATTAAAAATATCTATATACGCTTTAGCCGTTTCCACTAAAGGATAAAGGCATTTATATATTACGAACACAACACAGATAATGTACTATAAATATCTTTATATATATATATATATAATGTATGTATATATGATATTGCCGGCGTTAAGGCGAAGGCGCAAGTCCAGAAGATTGTGCCGGTGAAATCAGTCCATTCCTAGAGAGACAGATAGAGAGTAGATAGGTCCACAAGCGCCTAGCCGAAACCTGATTATGTTTGCTTTCACTTTGTTTAAATATGTTCTTTTGATTCATAAACTGTTTGTTGAACTACAACTCCAGATATTCGACTATTTGTGAGTAGGGGCTGGTTTCATTGAACACATCCACTCCGCGAACTTTATAGAAACCTATAGATAAAAATGAAATGGATAAGAAAGAAGGGAGTTTCCCATCAAAAGTTTTCTCCTACTTACCATTGACGGATCCCTTGTCTCCTGGGGCGTACTGGAACGACGGATACGGAAGGTGCCATCCGCGGGAGATGAGCAACCAATCGGCGAAGAGGCCATTATTGTCACGTTCCTTGAACCACACCTCGTAGCTGAGAAGGCACTGTGTGGATTTGGGATGTTCCATCCAGCTGATGAACACCTCACGATGAGTTACCTCCGCGATGGAAAGTTGCTGCGGCCGACGCAGCTTTGGCCACGATGCGGAACACACTCGAAGCAGCATTGCCCAGGGCAGTGGGATGCTGGCGGAGTTGATAACTAGCTCGCTGTTGTATTGCCAGATGGGACCGGTCTTGTAAAGTCTAGGTGTCTGCGCCTTTCGCATGGCTTCCCTTAAAGTGGCGTTGGGATATGCTGGACTTCCTTCCTGCTGCCACACGTAATAAGGATCCGTTGTTTGCGGCACTAAGAGCTCCGTGATAAAGGCCGACTCATTTGCTATTGACATGTTTAGTGTGTATTTGTGATGGAAGGCAGTCATCTTTGGGCCCGCCTCCTCGGGACTCAGGAATATGGTGGCCATGTACTGACCAGGGCCGCCCACTCCATTCGAGACTGTACGAAGAACTTCGACGCTATGCTTGGTATCCATGTTGACCAGTTCCACATCTGCAGCCCGGTTGCCCAATTTGGCTAGCATTCCCAGGGCAGCGTAGACGGGTTTCTGAATGAGCTGTGAATGCGGTGATTGGGTCTCGTTCATCCGAAAATGGGCTAAGAGTGTGCGCTGCGTGAACTCGTGGGGATGGTAACTGAGAAAGGCGTTGTCGTGACTAATCGACTCTAACTTGCTCAGTGGACTGGCGGCTAGTTTGGCATGCCAGAACTGCATCACCATGGACATTAGGGTAACTGCATACCGAACATCTGCTTGGAACTCTCTCGGAGTACTCCAACCAGCAACAGGATCAGCCTCACTAAGAGATTTGGAAGGTCGTTATTAAGTATGCTAAAGATTACTCAAGAATTTAATTTTAAATTTAAATGGTTTTCATGAGGCTAGTAAAATAAATTAAATTTCTAGTTTAAAACCGAACTAAAATATCATACTCATTGGCCACCGGCAGTTGTTTAAGACTTGGATACTCCTCGTAGATTTTTGCCATTAAAGATAGAGAACCATTAACGATTTCCGTGGCAGTGCCCTCGATGCCCTTTCTATGAAAGGTGAGTACATCGATAGGACAGTACACAACTCTTTGGCTGCATAGCTTCAACAGATTCCAACAAAGCGGATGATTGCTTAAGTCCTTAAAGAGCCCCGCAGGACCTCGCAAGGACCGATACATGGGCAGCTGCAGCTTTCCGTCTGGGTTGTCCAGGTTTCCAGCTTTACTTAGACCTCGACGTACGGCTTGAACGTAATCCAGGTAAGATTCAGCCGTGAAGTTCAATTTATTATACCCATGAAGGTCTGGTTCATTCCAGGTCTCGTAGCGCCAGTTAACTAATCTTGAGGAACCATGACGGGCTGTCGGATAAATTTATATTATATGTATTTCCTTATATGTAATATTTTCTTACCTATCTGGTGGTTAATCGTCGACTTAACCAAATGTTCCCAGTAAAAGGATTGCTGCATAGGGTTTTCGATAAAGACCCCACCCAGATTGCCCATCCACTCCACCACAGGAGACAAGCGCAGTTCCTCGTGCAGGAAATCAATGAAGTCATCGAACTTGGAGAAATCATAAATCGGAATTCCACTGGGGTCGTATTGCCAGAATTGAATCAGCTCAAGCAGCCAGTGTATGCGAATGTGGGTCACAGCACCCACGGGCAACGCGGCAATCTGTCGAAGGTTATATCGGAGAGCAGGGTCTGCCAGGGCGAAGGTAATTCCAACGTGATCGATCTGGCCGGCGGGACAGAAGCCCACGCCCGTCCAAAAGTGTGGCATCGGATGATAGACAACATCTCCGCTCGTATAGTGGGCATGGATCCTGACAAAAGTCGCCAAAATCAGGAGCAGCGGCAGCATTCCGTGCTATGAGCAATGCGCTCGACTTTCTTTGCAGGATTAATGACGATTTTTGTTTTGGCTTCGATTTGGCGATGCCGCTGTTGATAAGAGTGGCTCTCTCACCTTCCCTCCTATCTCTCGGCGTGTCTGTATCTGTCGGAGTGAGCTAAACCGAAAGCTAAAGCCGTGACGTCAGGCAATGGCGCACGGTGGGTCAAGTAGAAAATGAATCTCATTCCTAACCATAAAATTCCCTAACCAAATAAGCTTTATGAGTTCCTGCAGAAATGACTTATATTCTGAAAAGAATTCTAATATAAAAATCGTAATCTTTAAAAAAATTCAGTTTTTATTTTTTTACATATATTAGTTCCCAGAGGTCAATCTCCTGATTTGACCCACAGTAAGGCGTGTGCCACAAGCAACAGCGTGCCCGTTTAGCACTCTCTGGGTGGAATCTCTCCCTAAAAGGTAAAGTAGAGCTGGGAATGACACAAAAAAGGAAAAGCAACAGCACGAGCCACATTGAATTGCAATCCCTCATTGGGGGTGGAAAAATCCGTAAATATGTATGTGCGAATTGATGATGGTCCTTGTGTGGGTGCGCTGGGGGCGGAAAAGGTGCGAAAAGATAATATTTCACGCATCTCAGCGATAATACGCCCATAACACGCTCATGTCACATCCGAGGGTGGACTGGTCCTCCGCTGGTTTTATATGAAATTGTTTCCTATTCGTTTTTATATTTATGGGATTTGTTTTGCGGGGATTACACAGGGTTTAGGAAAACCCTCATAAAGTAGAACACAATACCGGACTGAAATTGAAATGTCGTTTTGAAGAAATCGTTTAATATCTTTAGGATTTTCGGAAATAACATACATATTAAGGAAGCAACAATACACAATTTGGGAGGGGAGAAAATCTGAAAAAAGATCATTGGAGAGGTTTATAAAAATCCCACTTATTCTAAAAAGAATAAACTACAGGAAAATGGTAAAAATTATGTTGAACCATATAAGCAATGAAAAAATATATTTCAAAAAAATGTAAATATTTTATTAAAATTTATCTTTAAAAATATTATCTTCAATGAAATAATTGATTTACCTGTTGGCCCTTCGTTTTTAATATTCAATAAACCACAATGTGAAGCAATTAATGTAATGGCACTTGAGGTCTGACCCGTGACCCCAAGTGGCCCCACAACACAATCAGATAACCCAGACCCCACTTCTATGAACAGTGGTCAATCCAGTTAGTCATATCTTTTCGTCCTGTCAGTGGCTAGTTGGCCATGTCCCCGAATACTTGGGTAATAGAAATGCCTACGCAAAAAACGCGATCACACCCGTATCCGCGAAGAATCTCGCCGTACAGAACGCCCTCCTTGAACAGGAATGCCTTCACTAGAGATGTCCCGACCATAGCACCATATGGTCCATCAAAAAACAATGATTATCCCGTTTTTGAGGATATTCGCACCATATTGTCGGTGCTGAAGGCTAGTGGCTTGATGCCCATATACGAACAGGTTTCAAACTACGAAGTTGGTCCTCCGACCAAAACCAACGAGTTCTACTCCTTTTTCATAAGGGGCGTGGTACACGCTTTGACCATATTCAATGTCTACAGTTTATTCACACCAATATCGGCGCAATTATTTTTCTCCTACCGAGAGACGGACAATGTGAACCAGTGGATCGAGCTACTCCTCTGCATCCTGACCTATACGCTTACGGTTTTCGTATGTGCCCGGAATACCAAGAGCATGATACGGATCATGAATGAAATCCTTCAACTAGATGAGGAAGTACGTCGGCAATTTGGAGCTAACTTGAACCAGGATTTCGGGTTCTCCGTAAAGTTTTTAGTGGGTATCGCCATCTGCCAGACTTATATTATAGTGCTGAAAATTATGGCTGTCCAAGGCGAGATCACCCCCACATCCTATATACTGCTGGCGTTCTATGCTGTCCAGAATGGTCTGACAGCCACGTATATAGTATTTGCTTCGGCTCTGCTCAGGATTGTGCACATCCGATTTCATTTTATCAACCAACTGCTGAATGGATATACTTATGCACAGCAGCAAAAGCGTAAAGGAGGCGGGGGGAGGCGACAACATGGTAATATCAACCCCACAATAATGGAACATTTCCCGGAGGACTCGCTCTTCATATACCGCATGCACAACAAACTGCTGCGAATCTACAAGGGCATCAACGATTGCTGTAACCTGATTTTGGTCTCGTTCCTGGGCTATTCATTCTACACTGTCACGACCAACTGCTACAATCTATTCGTCCAGATCACCGCAAAGGGCATGGTCTCCCCCAATATCCTGCAGTGGTGCTTGGCCTGGCTTTGTCTCCACATTTCGCTATTGGCGTTGCTGTCCCGGAGTTGTGGTCTGACCACTAGGGAGGTGAGTAATTATATCAGAGATAAGTTTATAAATAATCATCATGAGTGCTTTCATTCCAAGGCCAATGCCACATCCCAAATTCTGTCGAGGGTATATGCCAAGTGCAGAGAGTATCAGAATATTGTAGGTAAAACTATGGTAAATGAAATTAGGTGACGACAAAAGTTATTCTTGTAGATTGATAAATTCCTTACTAAGAGCATCAAGCAGGAGGTACAATTCACGGCCTACGGTTTTTTTGCTATAGACAACACTACGCTGTTCAAGGTATCCTTACTCCTACTTGATTTTATTTACTATTTTTATCATATTTTATTTAACAATTTTTAGATATTTTCGGCCGTTACCACGTACTTGGTCATCTTAATCCAATTCAAACAGCTCGAGGACTCGAAAGTTGAAGACCCTGTTCCAGAACAGACTTAAACGTAACCTACAATATATATTTTATTTAAATGTTTTTCTATTTTTATTAGCATTACAAATATTACGACAATTTCACTAATCGCATACACGGGAGTCGAAGATATTGAAAGTTCTTGCTTTGTCAAATTAAAATGATATAGGCTACCCGATAATACACTTGCCTGATAATACACTTTAAATGCATTATGTTGATTCTTTGATTCGGAATTTAAACGTTTAAGAAACCGACGCCGTTAAATACGTTGAGTTTTTTTTTTACCATTAGAGGGATACAAATTAAAAAGAATATGTTTATCTATCTTCTCGGAACGTAAGGTTTTTGAAGTGTCTCCTTTTCTAGTACTTATTATTAAATGGTCCTAACAGTTCAGCACTTTGGATTTGCGACGCGTTTCCCCAAAGAGGAATGAGCAAATGCGGTCCAAAAGAAACGCCCCAAGAATATCCAGGACAAGAACACCGAGCAATGTTACGCGGAACTGAAAGAATTAAATTAATATACATTTCACAACAATAACAACAATAAACTTACATTCGTTGGAAAATTGATTATCTCAAAGAATTCCGTCAGTTCGGGCGCCAGGCCCGTGGACAGAAGAATTACCAATGTCGCCGAAGCTCCGATGGCATACATCAACATGCGATTTGAGCGCAAGCTCTCCATGAATGGATGGCCCTGTTTAAATTATGGGTTAGTAACATGTTTAGAGAGTTCTGTTGGTGGGACATACTTTGTAATTGACCGCAATGGTGGCCACTTGCAAGGATAAACAAATTATATAGACCGTACTGCTCACAATGTTCGGATCATATTTAGTCTTCTCTTCAGGGTCCATGTCAGTGTACAATTTAACCTTGCCCTCCCTGAAAACAAATTTATAAATATGGTAAACACATTGGTTTTATCACTTAATACCTGGGTGGTGCCAGAATGTTGGCTTGACTGGTCAAGTAGTAAAGCGTTCCAAAGTGCACGGCAAACTGACTAAGTATAGTAGAAATCGTGTAGAAATTGAATATGTTTGGCAGTGGGGCCACCTTGGATAAAGTTTTCAGCGGCTGGAAAGAATATTACAGATGAAATTATTTAATAGGAAAAATCGCAATTGTTTGTTTACTCACCTTAGCTCGGGTAATAAAGAGGAAGCAGGCGGCAATGAAGATGCCCTGCATGGTGGCTTGCGTATCGCTGAATTTTATACCATCGATGTAGAGCACAGACTGGCAGTAGGCTTGAATGAGGGCGTTCAGCGCAAGAATCTTAAACATCTGGAGAGTGGTCACCAGCGTGCAACGACCCTGCTTGATTATGTGGTTAACTAAGTACGGAGATACGGAAAAATCATTAGTTGATCTTCAAAAAATTAAAACCATTTTACCCACCGCACATTATTGAAGAGGACTTGCTGGTAAATGGCGCCGCAATAGAGGCATCACCCAACTTTACCATAGTTTGCTCCTCCAGGTCGCGGAGAGTACTCTGCAGGCGAGCTTGTGTTTGGTTGATCTGCTCTTGACGTCTTCGCAGAGCTCGCTCTCTTGGTGTTAACTGTTGATTGGCATTCGCTGCGGCCTGCGCTGCTGCTGCAGCAGCCGCCACCTGTTGCTGTTCCTCCTCAGTACGCTTACGCCTCACAGGAGCACTGGTCAGCAGAGATACGCCCACGTTGGCGTGCTTGAGGGCACCCACATCGTTGGTGCCGTCGCCACACATCAAAGTGCAGTAGCCTAGTTGCTTTAGCTGTGTAATCACGAACTCCTTTTGCTTGGGGGCAAATCGGGCACAGACCGTAATCTGTGGTAATAAATCACGCATATATTGCTGCTGGTTTTGCTGCAGTAGTTGCAATCCCTCTCCGGTAATGCAGAGATCGTGCGTGCCCAGTAACAGGGAGATTCCCTTAGCACCACTCTTTATATCCAGCTCGTAGGTCTGATCTCCATCAATTGATACCCACCTCCAGTGAACATTTTCCTTTCTGCTCGGGTGGGGTCAGGATGAGCAGCTTCTTCCGAGTAAAACGAAGTTCGCGTGCCACATGGCAGGCGGTAAGCGGACTGTCACCCGTGATCATCACTACCTTGTGCGATGATTGAATGAGCTCTTTTATTACCGATTTAGAATCGGGCTTCATGGGACATGAAATGATCACGAATCCAGCAAATGTTAGGTCACATTCCACTTCTTCCCGCTTAATTTCCCGAACTTTTTGAGACCCCAGGGTTCCGAACTCTTTGATTCCTAGAGCTAATACGCGGGCTCCGCGGCGGGCGTACTCCAAATAAACCTGAAAGCAAATATAAATTAATAATAACTTAATATACTGTTCCTATATAAGATAAAAAAGGATAAACCCACTTACCTTTTCGTAGTCCGAGGGCACTTCACGCAGCATCTTCTGAATGACCTCTGGAGCTCCCTTAACCGCTCCTATGTGCTTTACTTCGTTGGAGTACGGCATCAGATATCCAGCTAGTACCGACATTCGCTTCAGCGCTGATGAAAAGTGATAGCGCTGGATTATCTTTAGCGGTTTAAACTGAGGACGCTTAGGAATAACGCTGTCCATCTTGGTTAACGTCCAATCGACTGCAGCTAAAGTGGCTTTCTCCAGCGGATCTCCCACTAATCCGTCATCTAACAGGGCCAGTGAGTGACAGCAGGCGAGCACCTGAACCGTGTTCGCTTCTGCGCTATCGATAGGCACACAAGCTCCATTAGGAGCTAGTCCAGCAATACCCTCGACCATGAGATTATCTGTGGTCAGAGTTCCCGTCTTGTCGAAACAACAAATCTGGACCTTTCCGGCAAAAGGAATCCTAAACGGTTCTGTGCAGAACACGTACAACTTAGTCAGCTGAATCAAAGATGTATTAACGGCCAATGTCAACTCGATAGGTAGATCAGGCGGAATTATGGAAGTCAGGATGAGCGTACACTCAAGGAAAAGTTTGTAGCGATTGCGCTCCGGATCCTCGCTGCCCTTCACCCACACATATGATGCGGCGGCAACAGCAAAAACCATTAGGAATGCTATGAAGGCAAAGGTTTCCACGTTGTTCTCCGTCGCACGATTTGCTCCGAATAATATCGTTCGCAGCAGTTTGCCTTGCGATGTGTTGAAACCAGTGCGAATCACATAGCCAATGCAGCCGCCATCAGGAGCACGAAGTGATTCTTTTGTGGGAGCAGTATGTTGAACTACTTTAGTGCCACCGAATAAAACAAACAGTTTTCCATCTCCCCTCAGCGTCCATTTCAACGTCCAAATTATCTAGGGATTCCAGTGACTCCTTCATCAGTGGCACCGATTCGCCAGTAAGCATGGATTCATCCACAATGCAGGAGCCTCGCAGGATGACCAAATCACAGGGCACAATGTTGTCGTTTTGTGAGCGCGTTATTGACACCAAATCACCGGGCAGCAGCTCATCGGAACCAATTTGTCGCCACTTGTTTTGCCGGAAGGTGTAGATTAAGTATGGCTTATTTCCCATCTTTCGGATCTCAGACATATTCCGCAGCTGCTGCTTGACAATGGTACACTCGAAGGCGACCAGCATGAAGAGCGTGAAGAGAGAGTAGTACCAGTAGTCGTCCATGCACCACAGTCCCACGGAGAAAACCTGGAACACGAAGAAGGGCGCCGTGGCACGTTCTATGAATAGTTCATGGAACTTCTGGAACCACCATTTCCATTTCGTTGTTGCCGTAGGTTAGTGTGGCCTTCTTGATGGATTCCTCTGTCTCCAATCCTCTGGATGAGGAGTAGTTCCTCAGAAGTCCATTTACTGGGAATTCGACTGCGCGGAATGTCTTCCGATCCTCGTTCCAAACATACTTGGTCTTTTGGAAAATCAAAAAATACTGGGTGGAGCCGTCTTCAAGCTTGGAGGAGCGTACGGGTACGATCTTGGAATTGCCGTTGTTGGCAGTAGGTACCACTTTGGCCAGCACATTGGCACCAGGCAGCTTTACGCGACGGCAAGTAAGAAAAGCCAGCACATGAACACTCCAGTAACAAAAGAGTAAGGTGAGGACATGAAGAAAAGCGATTGCTAGAACGGCGATAAAACCCACGTCATTCCAAGTGGAGGAATTCTCCATAGTTGTACGGTTTTCGTTGGAAATCAGTTTGTTCTTGGAAATATCAGCTTCTTCGCCACCATTAACGTAGATCCACAGGTAGAAGGCGGATAGGTAGAGCGGTACAAAGGGCAGCACCACTCCGGTCAACGGCGTGGGGATTCGCACATGGAGGCTCACATATTGCACTAGGTCATCCAGCTTGGACGGCTCCTTTGCTCCGCCGGGCAGTGAACGCATTTTTTTGCCGTCCGTGTCTCCGGCGGCTCCTCTAGGGATGGCTGCTCCTGCTGCCTCGGTCATGAGTCGAGTGGGTGCTCCTTCTAATTCACGTTGCCTGTGTGTTGTTTTTAGAAAATCTAAAGAACTTTCTACAGTTGAAATGTCATAGCGGCAAAAAAATTGTGAAAAAACTGAAGCAACGTTGACAGTTGTCAGCTGTTTTTCTATCTATTATCGATAGGCCTAATTCAATCAATTGTAGTTATCGGGTTGTTATCCAAATTTAAATATATAATTTTGATTTCATTATGAACATTTTTAAATTTTCGAAACATCATATAACTTGAAAAGTAATTAAAGTTAAAATATGAAGAAACAATATTTGTAATTTTGAAATTTCCTTAAACCGTACCAGTGAATTAAAATGCAGACTTAAAATTGTTTTATTTATAGTCACTTAATTAAACCAAACACCTGTAGATTTATTTCATGGATAAAGAAAATAGGAAACACTTAGCAGTCTCACGCAAACACGCACATATGGAAGTGAAATAATGTACGGTTGTTAAGGGCACATCGCCTCACTCATCCACGCTGTCCATAGGAGATTGCACATTCGCATTAGGTCCTCCTGCGGCGGCATAAGCCTTCTCCATAGTGGACTGTGATTCCCGTTTCGGAGTAGTGCGCTTGTGCTGGTTAGTAAAGCTCACAGTGATACGTCCGCTACCACGGACAGAACACATGGGCGGGCGCAAGAGAGGGGTCGTCAGACGATTGTTTGCCATCGACGATGGCGGATACTGTAACGTATCAGGCTTGGGGTTGCATTCGCTTCCTTGCGGACATCCACCACCAGGGCCTCGCGCACTGAATTCTCCTGGAACTGTTTGACACGCTCTCGCATGGCGGTCTCCCGCTTGATCTCCTTTTCGATTTCCGCTCGCCGCTTGATGTCGTAACGCTCCAAAGCCTTCTCGTCCCGCTTTTTGTTCCGCTCCACAATTAGATCGGCGATTTCCAGGCGTTTCTGCATGAGTGCCTCTTTGTCCAGCTTCTGGAACATCTCAGGCCAGAAGCCCTTCTCCTTCTTCACCAGCACAATGCGGGCCTCGTTCTTGAAGATGCGGCAGAAGCTGTAACGGGAAAATATCTGTATTACTTTAAATTGTTCAATAACCTTGGGTTGGGGCAGTTTATGAAAATAATTAAAATTAAAAATGTAATTTTTAATTGCTCAGAAAACATAGTATGCCAACTTACCTGGCCATTTCGTCAATCTCCTGAGCCAGGTGGCGCTCAAAGAAAATGGGTGGATTGTTGAACTTTAAATATTGTGGGAGAAGAACAACGTCCGGCTTGCGGGTCACCAGTCGATTCAGTTCGATGGAGATCTTGATGTCTTCCTCTGTCTGGGAAATCTGCACCATGATAAGTTGCTTAGTTTCTCTGTCCTTTTCCGCTGATGTTGCCGTGGTTCTTCTGCTGCTGTTCCTCGACTGACAATAGACAGGAACTTATGTTTTGAGACTGGCCGTAACTGGGAACCTTATGACGACAACTACGACAGGGCCAACTACCCCCCCGACTTGCACCGCATAATGGACGTATTTCCCCTTCGATTTAATTTGAATATTAACCGGGGTTCGAACTTCGAACAACTAAAATGAGCCGGCTGCGTTTCCCATCGATCAAACAACGATTGGTTGTTTGGATCCCCCGGTCCGGGACCCAGGACTCGCTCAACTCCCTGCCCACTGGCCCACCTGTAACATTTCCTATGCATTTGCATTTTCGGCAAGACAAGACACGGTGGCCTAGACCAGGAACAGCTCATTTCACCTGGCTCCCGCTCCTCTGATTGAATTAGCCGCGACTCCTGCACGCGAAACGAACTGCTATTTGCATAGGAATAGTCATCCATCAACAACAGCTCCCAGCGACATTGATTGGCAACGGGTTACGGTTTTTTTACGGCTATGACGCCTTTACCTTTTATTTGCCTTATTTAATTCTTTTTGGGAACACGTGCAATGTAATGTAATGTAAGCATGTAATTGTAATTCGGTTTGTTTGGAATAAGTACCTGTCGTTCATATCTAAAGTTTTTATGTTCGACACTCGTAAGGTGCATGTGCCTGGATATTGTTCTGGCAATCTTGTCGAATTGCTCTTTTATGATTTGGAATAAATTCAGAACATTTTCGATCCCAAGATATATCAATTTAATTGCTTTACATATTCTCTAGCCATATTCCCATATTGCATGTCGATATAATATTAAAATCTTATCTTTTGTTGAATCATTATAACAACCAAAATATGAAACAGGATCAGATTCAATCGTATACCTAGATACAGAAACAGGTATCTAGTTTCTTCCAGGCCTGTTGGAGGTTTATATTTGTTATTTATTTAAAAATGTGCACTTAAGATGTAAGGTCATCACTTTACAGAAATATTTTTTTAATTTGTTTACCCTTCTTTTGAAAACGTAGTTTATGTATACTTACTAAAATATGTTACTATGGTGATTTCTTGCTAACAAAAATTGTGGAGCAGACTTTTTTTTTTACCACGATTGTTGATGCACAGAATTATTGAACTATTAATCAATTACCTAAACATTTCGGAACCTAAATAGTTTCCCAAATGAGTTCAAGGGTTGAATAGTTTGTAATTAGCCTTATTTCACAGCATTTATTGAACTCTCTGGCAGGACTTTAGCCACTTTGCGTGGCTCCTTGATCGTGGTCTGAGGGCACTGCATTTCGCTCCAGCCGACCGGAACCATTGGTATTCGGGTCTTCCGGAAATCGCTGGCATATGCAATAACCACGCCGAGCTCACTTTCAGCGGTGGTCAGGAGGAAGGACTGTTCTAGTTGGTTGATGACTCTGGCAAGGATGACATCGCCCGGCTTAAAGGACTTGTAGATGTCCACGCGATCTTTCTCCGTCTCTCGTACATCCTCCTTGCGCAGAAGTCCACGGTAGCTGCTCTCCAGAAGAACATTTCGCACACAAAAAATTGAGCACTTGACAAATTTGGGAGTTGTGACAAGAACTCTAGCTGTTACCACGTCTCCAGTGGCTGGTATGGTTAGGTGGAAGCCTGGTTTGTGCACACTGACCAACTGACACTGCGATAGGGATGAAATCAGTATATTAATCAATTGAATGCTGAGTTAACTCACGTTTTCCCCGGAATCTTCAATATTCACAATACCCGACTTGGAGGCGTAGATGTAGCCATTCTGTTCGTAGGTACCGATGCCCAAGACTATATTGTCCTCCGTCCTGCAAAGTCGTTCTCCTGGGAGACAGACTACAGTCTCATCCTTATGATCACTCATTTCTTAGCTGGAAAATGATTTTAATTTATAAAATAACAAAATAACAAAGCCAGATCAACAAAAACACATGTACAAGCCAGTGTGACCAGGTCCAGTTATTGATAGCTCGCTAAAAGTACTTGAAGAATGCTAAAAATAAGAAATCATAAAAACTTATCAACAAGATTCTACATTTAATTGATATTTCATTACTTACAATAAATAAATTAATTTTAAAACTTAAGCTACTTAAAAGTATAACAAAGCAGTTACTTGCTGCATTTTTTTTGTGGGTGTGCAAAACTAAATCGACACTTTTGTGTGGTAATTAATAGGACCAGACAAATAACGCCTCTTGCTTTTACCGGTGCCGCCAATAGTTTTCTGTTCTCCTTGGGCATTTTTATTATTTTGTTGTATTAAATTATTTGCACGATGCCTTCCAGACTGCAAGCCAACATGAGCTATCGGGAGGTTATCCCGAGGAATCTCAGTCCGGCAGAATGGATCGAGGTGAAGATAAACACGGGTGAGAAACGTGCAAGATCACTGATGAATTTCCGTTTGACCCATCTTTTTGCCCGTAGGAACCCAGAGCACACTGCAGGACCTCAAGACTTTCGAAACCTCAGGTGGCTACTGCTACAAAAGCAGGAAAAACGTACAAACCAGAAACCGCTTCATATATTGGTAAGATTCTATGAAAATCTCAAACTTCATATGTCTTAGCCAGATACTTCATTGTAGGCGCGCCTACCAAGATGTTTTGGAACTCTCCGAGGTCAGCTTGGACATCTCCCTGCAGAGGAATCATTTGCGCCTGCGATTCACAGACTCCGCCGTACTGAATGTTTCTTTCACGGAGCAGGCCAAGTCTATGACTCTACTGGTGGTTACTGTCAGCAGTGTGCATCGCTATGTTTTCCCCCTGAAGATCGTTGGACAGGATGGAACGAATACATCCTCTGAGAATCTGCTGTCCCAGTCAATTTTCTACGACGTCAACGAGAAGATCAACGATCCCAACACCTTCTATGTCATGGATAGCTTTGGGACGATGCCAAACGTGGCGGTTTCATATCTCTCGCAAGACTCCGAGACAGCCTACTTTGCGGTAGCCTACCAGAGCAAACTTTTGCTGTACATAATGAACTGTGAAACTGGAAACACGGTCACCCACGAAGTCAAGGAACCGCATCTTATGCCTCGGTTCCTGTCTAATCTCAAGGGGGCCCTCACGTGAGTTTCTGAATAACATGTCTTAGCTAAATAACATATCCTTTACCATTTAAAATTATTAAAGTGGCCGGTCAGATACGCAAGAGGCAGCTACATCCATGGCTTTCAGCGAAATCGAAGAGGCTATTTTCATTCTTGTTCTGTACCGAAATAATGAGCTGCGACTGTGGTCATTGGATAGCCTGCAGACGATAGCTAGCATTAATTGCTCCGCCGGATCGGGGCAGGGAGGCTCAGGAGCTCAGGGACGTAAGTATAAGTTGACATGAAACACAATTTGAGGATAAACTAATCCCTAAAAATATCAATTTAATGTTTCCTATATTATTTACAATGTATTTCAGCTCAAAGCAATCAGCTACGCAAGATTAGCGATCAGAACTTCTGCTTATTCCTTTCCAATGACATTCGATCTGAGTTCATTTGCGTGAGCATCGTGCACGATGCCAACGAAGCCAGCGAAATCAATTTGGTGCAGAATTCTGTATTGGCGCCAAAAATGGATCTGGTCGACTTTGATGCCACATCCTCGCATATTTGGGCCCTATGGAGTAACGCTGAAGGAGATTTCCAAGTCTCAGCACTTTATTTAGGTTCCAATAATGCAATCAAATGGGTTTCTGCTGCTCTGGAACCTCCACCGGATCGCTATTGTCTCTCCTTGGAGCAGGGGCTAGATCCGCGTGAGACTTACTGTAACTACATCTTTCATCCTGGTCGGTTTGATCGAAATGTGATTGCCAAAGCATTATATGTGGGTATAAGAGTATATTATATAGTTTTAATGAAATATTTAAATAACCATTACACAGATGTTCAGACGAGTTAACATGCAGTTTGATGTGAAACAGCTTTCAATGGCAATGCTCAAGGAACAGGTTTGCCAGGCCGTGGAAGACGAAATCCAAAATGAACTTAAAGACTTTGTGGTCACCGACGAGGAGTACTTAGAAAAATCCACACGTCTATGGGACCGATTCTACTCCTGTTGCGAACAGTATCATATCAAGTTCTCCGAGCCGACAGGTCTTGCGGTTCTCGGTGGAATGGATGCAGTGTGCTTAGTTAGAAGACAATCTTTTGCACTGCTGCGTCCTTGTGAAGTCCTCGAGCATTTATTGCTCATCGGCGAGCACAATGAAGAAGTAGCCACATATGTGGCTCCACTGTTTCGCAACGATCCCGAAATGGCCAACGGTTTTGTTGACCTTATGAATGTGGTGACGCTTCTGGATAAGCTAATTTCGGAGGATATTAAAACCGATTTAGATAAACAGCTCTACCAGCGGAAGTCACCACTCGAGTTGATATCAAATCTGGTAGCTAGGATTACGGTTGGGGATGATATTGGACCGATGTTGCCATCAAACTGTGTGAAGCAAATTCATCAAAAGCTTCATGAAATTCCAAATCTAAAGCCCGCTCTAGAGACGCTGCTCGATGTGCTGTGTATGATTGATCCAGATGCGCCGCCACATGGTAATTATATTTAAGATTTACAGTTTCAAAAATGTAAATTAGAATCTACTTTTTTTGTAGATTACTCCCTTTCTACGCGATTTTTGCAGCCGTCTGGTGCTCTAATGGGCAGCGAGTATGGACTTTCCATCTTGTCCGAAACCGTTAAACAAATGGCAATGATTAGGTAAGTTACGTTTAAAGGCAGTAATACATACATAATAATTAAAAGATTAATAATCTAAAACATTATGTTTCCCTCCTAGGTTTTCTGTTTGCAGAAATCTTTTGGTATTGCAGTACATGGTTTATGGTAAAGACGGGATGAACAGCAGTAACATGCTAACAAACATCAGTTATCTTAACTCGTATTATACCTTGCTTTGGATTGCCGAAACGCCGATTTCATCGAATGCACCTGCTGGATTGTAAGAAAAATCTTTAATTTTATGGAATTTTGTTATTAAATTCAAACCATTTCTTTCAGCGAGGCTTCCATTCAACGTCTAAGTCGGGCGCAACTGTTCAGTGGCTATACACGACCATATTCTAGCCATTTGCGCAATCACAGCAATGACCAGACCACTCTGCTAGGGCTATTCCTGCAATCCAAGGGGCTATTTAGCGCTCTGTCCATGTTGCTGAAGGCTGACAGCATGCAGTTGGAGTCGGACCAATCAAATCTTCGCCAGACTCTTCTCCAACTAGTTGGTTACATCAATAAGATGCTGTGCGTATGAGATATATATACAATGTAAAGATAAATAATGGGATCTTAATTCATTTTTTAGCTGGCCAGAGTCTCCGATTTACGTGTTTCCAGAATGGTTGTTCGGGACTTGCCATCACATTATTGTGCAGGACTACGTGCGCATCTTGTCAAGCTGGTGTTCTGTGAAAGCACATGCCAGTAAGCTAATCTTTCGTTTTACTATGTTCTTTTCTTTCGTATGTTATTTTACATTTTATTTTGCAGGACGCTTTATGCTAGCAGTTTCCCTGTTGGATTGTGGTGAGGCTTATAAAGCCGTGCCTCTCTTCCAGCAAACAGCAAAAGGCGTTGTGGAGGACGACTTCCTCTTCGAGCATGTTTTAAAAAACACTCCGTTGTATAGCAAACTGCATGAAAGCGTCAGTCTGGGTGAAAAGGTCTCCGCTGAAGACACAAAACTTGCTACCGTTCACTATTACTTGAAGGTAATACAACTTTTTGAGCAGCATTCCGCACTGGATTACATTATCGAACTGGCCCAAATGGCCATGAGTGGGCTTGAGAGTGATGATCCTCAGCTGCCCATGTTTCAATCGATTGTGTTTAATAATCATTTGCAATTGGGTCACTACGAGGAGGCTTACTACGCCTTAATCTACAATGCCGACATTTCAAGGCGGAAGGATTGTCTTCGCCAATTGGTCATAACACTGTTCCAGAATAAATGCCTGCCCCTGCTCATGCAGTTTCCCTATGTGGGATTGCAGGACGAGTTTGAGAGCATTGTAGAATCCCGAGCAAGGTCAATGAGTATAGATCAGAACGACGTTTATAACTTTTTGTATGCCTTCCATACAAACAGGGATAACATGAGAAAAGGTTTGTTTTTAAAATAATTTGTTTTCTTCAACTGAACTTAAAAATAATTTATTAATGCAGCGGCCATGGTTATGTACGAGCAAGCCATGCGCTTTCAAGTAGACAGCGATGCCCCAAACGCTTTGGAAAAACGATGCTCCTCGCTTCTGATTTGCCTAAACAGTTTGCACTTAGTCGACAGTCAATACAGGTGGATTGTCAAGCCTGCAATTGGCGATGAGAGAGTATCTGCCATGGATCAAGACAATGACGATGGTGAGCCTTCGGCTGATGAGGATAAATGCGGTCAGGACGTGGTTGTCTTAGAGCTGGCTGATATCCGAAGGGAATTAGTGCACGCCGAAGCTTTACACGAGCTCTCACATTTCCGCAAAGATGCCGCTGCCTATGAGCGGTCGTCACCAGAGGAGTTGTCTTACCTTTTGGCTAGTTGTGGTTTATATTCGGCCGCTTTGAAACTCTCCCGCGGGCACTCATTTTCCGTACTTCCCATATTTGAGAGTTTGACCGTGGCTTGCGTCGCTGCCACTGAGGACAAGGCCGTGGATGCCTGGAATTGGCTGCAAAACAACGACATGGCAGGTAAGAAATATAATTAAATATTTAAATCCATCATAAAGACACGTATTTATCTTATTTCTTGTCCCAGATCTGCCTCATCGAAGTAATGCTGCAGACATGGCCTGGTCATTGCTTCAGAAACTGATTTTAGATAACGAAGCAAAGGACTCAACATCCATAAGAAAGTGCGTTGTCCAAAGGCTGCTAATTTTAAATGCTTTCGTTCCGCAGTGGCTGGTAGAGTCATACAAGTTATCGTATTCCCGGGAGCTTCTCCATTTGTTAGTCAAGCACAACCGTCTCTTGGAAGCTGCCGATCTTGGTTGTGAAATGATTGCAGGCATGCTGGGAGCTGGCAGCGAATACTTCGACTTTAAGCTCTCAGTGAACGTAACAAATCCACAGCTTTCCTTCCCCATCAATACTATTGATCTACTGCTGCACGCACTAAAGATTAATGGCAAGGAGGATATAGAATATGAAATGGTAAAATAATGTATAATTTGCTTAGAAAAATTAATGGTAATTTTTAGAGCAATTGTAATATCATATCCTTTTTGATTAATTACCCTAATGAAAATTCAAAATAATTGCCATTTCAGGCTCATATCAAACTGGAGGAAGAGGTTCACAGATATATCAAGACCATAATGCGCACCACCGAGGATAAGGTGGGTTTGGCCATCCTGCAGCGTCGAGAGGAACGTCGGCAGCAATTACTCCAATAGTTTGTTTATTCGGTTTATTTTATAAGTTTCTTGAATTAAAGTCTAAAATATGTGTAAATCTGAGCTTATTAGAAATCGTCCGTCATGACCAGCTCAGAAAGGAACTTTTTATAGATGTTCATAAATTGAGCGACGAAAGCTTCCAGGTGAAAAATGTGCTTAGCACCAGACTGCATCCGGTGCTCGTACTCTGTAGCAAATTCGAGCGTCTTTGCTTTGATGGACATATCACAGTTGTTCACTAGCTGCTCGACCAGGCCTCGGAAAATGAGATTGGGAGGTACGCCCTGAGTAAGCAGTTCGTACAACCTTTCCCGAATCTTCTCCAACTTGGCAGGTGTTTGCTCGCTGATGATCTGGGCGGCGGTCTCACGAAGGAACACCTGCCAGTCCAAGTCGGGAATCTCCTGGTTAGCAGTGAATGGTGCCTTGGCTACCTTAGCAGCCTCTAACATTAGCAGAGCTCGCCTGAGATTACGTTCCGATTTGTCCACAACCCGCTTGGCAAGCTCAACAGGCAGGGCAAGGCCCTCCCGCTTGCAGGTGCTCTGCAATATGGATACGATCTCCGTTTCGTTTGGTGCGGCAACACGGATACCCAAGCAACGCGACCGGATGGCCGGAATGATGCGAGACGTGGAGTTCACCGAAATGATGATCCGGCACGTGGCCACGTACTTCTCCATGGTCCGGCGTAGGGCGTGCTGAGCATCCTTGGTGAGTTCGTCGCCCTCGGAGATTACGATAACTTTGAATTCTCTTTGTCCGCTGATTTCGATTTGGTGTGTCTGGGCAACCTGCTTTATTAGATCAATCACTACCGTCCGGTCGTACATGCCGGCATCAGAGGGATTGACCTCCAAATGGTAGTTGCTGCTGACCGTCATCACTTCAATCTTTCGGTTGGAGGGTGTAGTGAACGTCATGGTTTCGCTCCTCAGGCGCTCCACGCCGGATCCGTACATTTCCCTCAACAAACACATGATGCGCGTCTTCTTTCCGGCACCCGAGGGTCCGTAGAACATAAGATGCGGGAAATCGCTTTGCTTGCATAGGTTTCGAAGGTTCTCCGCTTGCTCCTGTTTTGGAAACACCCAACAAAAAAAGCCGGTCAAAACATGTTAACCAATTTTCAAAGCAAGTTAAAGTTGAGTCCGCCGCTCATTTACCTTGTGGAAATCCAATTTGGAAAGTTCACGCGGACGGTATTTATCCACCCAAAGTGCCATTACGCCGACTCATGCAAGGATTAAGGAAAAATTAACAAAACAATCTCTGCGCGCCTTTTTTGCACAAATGCTGCTAAAGCTGGAAGCAAAATCGATTTTAAAATCGATATTTCGATTATTAATACATTTTCTATTTATATTACTGTTGAACTAGAAATCATCAAAATATTTTATAATATTGATTTTTTATTTGAATAATATTGATTGTTTTCCTAACTATGTTTGAATGATTTAAAGAACGGAAAATAGTTTGTTCCAATGTCACTGTTCCACACCTCTTAACATTTAAAAAAATTGCTGTTACTATTGTTGCTTTAAAAAAGCTATCAGTAAAATTTTAATAAAACATCCAAAGAGAGGGAAAGCATCGTATTACATAAACGACAACAGTCAAAATAATAAAATTATAATAATAATTTCACATCGACTGGTTTTAAATGAATCTAGATGTAATCTGGCAACGTCAACGGCAGCGCCGTTATTCTCGCGGAATTTTTAAAATAAAAAATGCAGATAAGTGTTGTTTAAACATTTTCTGCAGAAAAATCGTCAATGCTACCTGGTTAGCCAAAGGAAGGTTATTAAATAAATAAACGCAAAATAAGGCGTTAAATAGAAAATCGACTACTACCTCTCTGGTGTGACCAGTCGTTAGCGGTTTCATAACCTAGACCACAACCATGTACCTTTACTAAGCGATTCGGTATTCTGCGTAGAAAAAGCAGCGACCTTACTGCATCCATCAGTTTTTTTAGTCGCAAAACTTAAGTATCTTAAAAGTAAGAAATCTATAAAATTGCACAAAATTTCGCGACAAGAACGCATGGAGAACGGAGTAGAACACAGTGTGGACGAGGCAGGCGAGAACCAGGTGGTGAGCAGCTCCGACGGCGAAGGTGATTGTGATGGTGATGGTGAAGTGGAGGGGGAGGTGTTACAGCCGCCGCCGCCGCAAATAACAAACGATTGTGATGGGGAGGGGGTGAGAGAGGCGGAGCATGCACCAGCGATGGCAGATGCCGTGGACGCCACTCCGGCCTCTGGACCACCGCCCTTGGATGGAGCAGCAGCTGTTGCCACAATAGAGGACAACCTTTGTGACAAGGATGTGGACAGCGATGCTGGTGATGAGGACAATGACGATGAGGTAAGTTAAAATACTGTCTGAAACATTGCGATATTCAATATCTGTATCTAAATATACCCTTTCAGACCAAGGAGAACTATGAGGGCTTCAATGGCACCGGACGCACAGTCACCCTACAAACGCTGATGGCAGCCAATGTTCTACAGCCGGGCCTCGGGCTAATGACCATCGAATACCTGGGCCAAAAGTTTGTTGGTGATCTTCTATCCGATGGCAAGATCAAATCCCATGAGACTGAGACCATATTCCTTACGCCCAGTGCCTGGGCTATGCACTGCAAACGGATTATCAATCCGGAGAAGAAGAGCGGCTGTGGGTGGGCATCGGTGAAGTACAAGGGGAAGAAGTTGGACGCCTACAAGAACACGTATCTGCGCAAATGCGCCTTGCAAAAGGAAACACCGCTTGACGATTGTGACCTCGGTACGTAAAGGCCACCTGTTTTTTTTTCTATAATCCTTACTTACTCCATTTAATCCGCAGATGCCGAACGCAAGTCTGACTCCCCGGAAATTATTGTCAAGCGAACCGTTTTTGCACACAATACCGTATCTAATCGCAATGTAGTTCAGTGAGTAAACCAAGTGCAACATGAATTCAAGGGGGTGGTTTTTAAACAGTATAGGATTACTTCAAACTTTAATTGACATTTTCAAACGATTCGTTTCTTCAGATTACAATAGATTCAATAGTTGTATAAACTTATATTTGATTAGGATTATGCAGTTATAATGTGAAGAAATGTTGGTTGCTATTACCTCGTCAGTCTTTTGTTAGTTCTCTACCTAATACCTTAAGCAAAGATTATTGTAAGATTGTAATATAATTGTCTCCAATTTTTTTTCACTCACAGCGATGCCAACATGTTAATTGAATCAGTGCCGTTCACTTCGGTGGGCAAACTGCAGCCTTTCCTCATCACAGTGAATTCTTCTGCCCTCCTGCTGGCAGACTTTCACTGTCATTTAACGGTTCGCGAAGTGTGCGGCTATCTGGGTGGCACATGGGACATGAACACACACAGTGAGTCCGGCTCTGCTTAGGATTCCCTTTACATATGCAATGCCTACATGTTTGCTCATTTCAGCTCTATCTATAACCAAGACATATCCTTGCCGGAGTACACGCTTCGATAGACAGCGAGCCGGCGAAGTGGAGCGAGACATACAGAAGATGATGATCCAGGATCAACTGCTGCTGGTTGGATGGTATCACTCGCATCCCAAGTTTCAGGCGGAGCCCACGCTGCGCGACTGCGACTCACAGTTAGATTATCAGATTCGAATGCGAGGTGCCAGTGATCTTACCTATACGCCCTGTGTGTCTCTGATTATATGTAAGTGTAATTCAACGTCGATATTTTTAAGCAAAATACAACGCATTTACATACAAATTTCTTCCTGCAGCTCCTTACTATGATGAGAATCCTACCCTGGAGTCGGTTGTCAAGTGTATATGGATCGTACCGCCTAACGAGAATAGACAGTCTATGGAGTATGGTCGACCAATGCTAATGCAGTATTCGGTGCTCCCGGACAAGGAAATTCCTGAGGAGGTGCGCTCCGAGATCCAGATGTGCGTGGACTACTATTCGCAGTACCGGAGTGAGGTGGTCAAGTTCCGGAACATCTATAACAACGACGTGACATACAACGAAAAGTTAAAGAACACGCTCTATCCGAAGTTTCCCTCTAAGCAAAGCGATAAGGCGCTGTGGAACTGGATCTGTGCAGTGCTGGATTGCGAACAAGAGGACGACTTTATTCCACCCAAAACCATAAAGATCATCGACAATGACGAGCTAGAAGTAAAAGAAGAAGACAAACCTGTGGTTCTGATGGATCTTAACAACGAAGTGAAGATCAATCCACCTAAAGAAGAGCTCTTCAATGAGGCTATCAGCACATTGGATGACAGTGCACGCAAGGCGGAGGAGGAATCTAACGCCCAGGCGGATCAAAAGGCGAGCGAACTTAAGGTGATGTCGCTCCAGGAGCAGCTCTGTATGCCTTCTGGCCTGAATATGAACCCGGTGCGAATGCTTTCACCTTTGGCTACGCCAAATCCGACAAGTCATTCGTCAGTGCTGCCAAGCTTGGTGCCTCCAACTTTGCCAGCAGCCGCCAGCCAGCTGCTTCCACCACAAATGCCTGCAGCTACGGGACCACCAGTCATCCCACCAGTTGTTACGACTTCTGCTCTGACTTCAGCTTTGAGTGCTTCACCCAGAGACAGTCCCATCACTATCCAATCAAATTCCGCCAGTCCCGCCAAGTTTGAGGTTCCGGTAAGAGCGTCACCATCTCCCGCGAAGTCGGACACCTCGTCGCACGCCTCCACCTCTCGTACCCGTAACTCTCCGGCGCCCAGTCCGGGTAAGTTCAGTGTCAGCGATATTGCTCGGAATAGTCCCAGCATCACGCCCAACAAGTACGAGGCAGCCGCAGCTGCTTTAGTGCCTCCAGCAGCCGCTTGCCTGCCAACGGCCAATGATCTGATGGCTGCAAGCTTGGCACAGCTGGCTGGGCAGCTTCCCCCGAATTTCCTTCAGGGGGATTTGGCTGCCCTCTTTCAACAGCAGCGTAAGGACTATGGCAGCTCCTCTCTAAATCAGCTGGCAGCGGCGGCAGCCAAGGTTGGTGGTTCCAAGCAAAGTAATGCCACTGCTGCTTCAGGTTTGAGTGATCCCAATGTGGCAGCAGCTGTAGCTGCCTACTCTAATAGCTTCAATATGCCGCTACCGACGGGAGTAGGAATCGGAGGAGGTGGAAATAGCAATACCCACATCAGTAGCAAGTCCAAATCGGAGCGTTCATCGAAGTCCTCATCATCTTCTTCCTCCTCGAACTCTAGCTCAACATCCAATTCGTATAAAACGAAATTGATGAAGGAGCTAGACGAGCTAAAAAACGATCCACTTAAGATGAGTGAGCTCATCCGTTCGCCGGAATACGCAGCACTGCTCCTCCAGCAAGCAGAAGCTCTGGGAGCTACCACACTGGGAACTCTTGGTTTTGGATCGGACTACAGCTATCTGACTGGAGCGGGATTGGGAGTTCCAACTGCCAATGCTTTGACTGGTGGTCAATCGTCAAACTCTTCTTCTGGAAAGTCCTCAAAATCTTCACCAGCGGCAGCAGCGGCGGCTGCTTTAAGTGCGGACTACAACAATCTTATTCAAGCTTCGAAACTGCTTGGCTACGATTCTTATATGCAGCAAAGTAAGCAGAGCAATGACCTCAATGCGTTCCTGCAGCAGCAGATGGCAGCAGTGGCTGCCGCTTCGATTCCACCGCCTCCACCGGCTGCCTCCAGTGGCAGTTCCAATAGTAGTTCATCCAAGAAGCAGCAGCAGCAACAGTTGCAGCAACATCATCAGCAACAGCAGCAACAACAGCAGGCGGCTGCACAGGCAGACTACACGGCCCTATTGCAGACCTACACAAAGTTGTTTGATCCCAATAACCAATTTGCGGCAGCGATGTCCTCCAATAAGCACATGGCAGGAGCCCATAATGAGCTCTCCGCTCTACTCTCTTCAGGAGTGGGAGTGGGAGGAAGTACGGGCGGAGGTGGATCGAAACAGAAACAGAAGGATATTCAGAGCGATATGCTGAACCAGCTACTCCAGCTGGAGAAACAGGATTCAGAAATCAAGGCGTTGCTGTACCGTCAAAATAAAGCAGCTGCTGACTTGGATGCTCTGTTTGCCACACCCTCAGGAGCGGTTGTAGGAGCTGGGTCCTCAGCGAATGCCATGAAGTCGGGTAGCTCTTCAGGCAATGCTGGAGTTTCCGGAATTTCTTCACCTTCATCCCTATCAAATCAAGCTGCTTATTATAATGCTTTGGCGCAGGAGAAGATGCAGGACTATGCTGCCTTCTTCCAGCAGCAACATGGCAAATACGGCATACCCGATCCATTGTCTAAGACCACACTGGCGGCTAATAACATGTTCATGAGTCCATCGGCTTTGTTTAAGATTCAGCAGGAATCGCTGTCAGCCATGATGATGAAGCCACCCAAGTCGACGACGCCTTCATCGGCGCGTACTCGGGAATCATCGGCCTCTCCAGCTTTAGAGCGCCTGACGCCTACGAAGTCGGCTAACAGTGGTGGAGGTGGTGGAGGAAGCAACTCAAACTCCGCTGGCAAATACAACTTCAGTGCAGTGGACCTTGCCATTTCTAGTGTGCCCTCGAACACACCATCGCCAGCGCCCTCAGACGGAAGCAGCAGTTCTTCGCATCGACGACCTTCACCGGACTTAAGCCGCCTCTACGGAGAGCTGGCACCGCCAGGAGCGCTTCTTGGTAGCGGTGGTGTGCCCAAAAAGCGGATGGAGTTCGCCTCAGTGGCGGATCTGGCTGCACCGCCGGCTAAGATGCCCAAAAACAGCATGGGCGATGATATCCTGAACCTGTCGCACGATTAGGATAGCTGAAATGGAATCCTTGCCAGCGCATTCGCAGCCGCAGTATTTTCCCAACAGTATATATTCCCATACGTAATGCCGCGTAGCATCCATTAACATACCAGTGTCCATCATTTTAATCCCCCAATCAGTAACATTCGGGACAAATATCTTATTTTATATTTTTTGTATTCCTTATTTAAGTTGACTTCTTGGTAAGTGTAAAGTTCGTAGGTCAGAAATATTAACCTGGCTGCCAGCAATTAACAAACATTTATTTTTCATTACCTTTAGTCTTGGAATATTTTCTACAAACTAGATGATATGCCGTGCATATCTCAATCGAATCAATCATTATGATCCAAAAAGATTTCGCCAGTCCTACGAGTGAATCTCCGCTTTTACTCACCTTACGAGCGCTGTATGTCCTTAAACGTTTAATTTAATGTACTCGTACTAATTTAGGTTTAATTACCGCATAAAAGTACTTTAAGTATTTTAATATACAGACAGCGCACACACATCAATTGTATTGTATTGCCTACCGTATTAACTATAACTTTGAATCTTTGCCGCAATAAATTAAACGACTAGTTACTTAGTTTACAAAATCCTGACTCCTTGTTTTAGTGGAATTAATTGCTTATTTTTCAGTTCTTAAATAGCTCGGGTATATTCATATAGATATACCCCCTTTTTAAACCAGTAAAACCGCTATGCAAAGTAAGTCTCAGTGGTGCGATTTAGTTGGTAACCAAATCAAAACAATCCGCACGCATCAACAACTGGGGGCAGGTGTTTACCAGAGAACGTCAAGGGTGTCTTTTTTCGGCACCCGAATCACACTCATACATTTCGAGTGTGTGTCGCACTCATGAACAACAAGAAAAGAGCACACACCCTGAGTGCACAGATCGCTTTGTGCGTTTAGGGTGTTTGCGTTTTTGACACCCGCTCAATTTTAGGCACATGAGTCTAATGCACAGACACCCTAAACACTCATAGCAAATGAAGCGAGTGTCTGAGGCACCCATGATTTTGGGAAAAGTGAGTCGGGTGTCTTGAAAATGAGTCGAGTGTCTTGAAATGAGTCGGGTGTCTTGAAATGATTCGAGTGTCTTGAAATGAGTCGGGTGTTTCGGGTGTCTTCGACTGATCTGTGTGTTTCGGGTGTCTTCAGCTGTATTGCATGAGCAGGTCATTGAGGGTTGACCGAATAATTTTACATGAAAGGAAGGAAGGAAATCCCAATAATGGTCCCTTAAAACAGGCCAAATATTTTGGGATTTTCCATGTCAAGCCATCTACCTGTTATTCGCAGTGCAATTGACTTATGATCTGTATTCTTATACGCATCTGCAAAAAACGGGAATACATTTGCAGGTAGATGGTTTGATAACAACACGGAAAATCCTAAAATATTGATGCAATGTACGTTTTTTTTTGGGTTTTTTAAGACTTTGTCATTAAATATTTGTAATGATTATAAACTCTTATTTTTTAATATTAGTTACTGAAGACGGCAATAATTTGTATTATTAGAAATATACTTTTCTATGATTAAATTATTGGGATTTCCTTCCTTCCTTTCATGTAAAATTATTCGGTCAACCCTCAATGACCTGCTCATGCAATACAGCTGAAGACACCCGAAACACACAGATCAGTCGAAGACACCCGAAACACCCGACTCATTTCAAGACACACGACTCATCTCGAGACACTCGACTCATCTCGAGACACTCGACTCACTTTCAAGACACCCGACTCACTTTCCCAAAAATCATGGGTGTCTCAGACACTCGCTTCATTTGCTATGAGTGTTTAGGGTGTCTGTGCATTAGACTCATGTGCCTAAAATTGAGCGGGTGTCAAAAACGCAAACACTCATAACGCACAATCCGATTTGTGCACATTCAAAATGAGCTTGTGCAAGACACTCACCCTTATTTTAGGGTGCCGATCACACTCTGAGTCCCGAAAAGGCACATATGATTCGAGTGCACTCATTGTATGGGTGTACCCTTGCCGTTCTCTGGTGTTTACCTCTCCTATCGTTCGGCACATTTTAGGGGACTGGCCTTTTCTCCGAGACTAGTTTCTCCGGCCAGTATTCAAAACACTCGCTATCGCTAGTCGCTGGAGAACAGGTGGCCTGACTAGATCGAGCTTATATAAAAGGGGGTCGTCTATGATCCGCGAACTTCAGTGATACTTTAAACCGCCGGAGGATCAGACATGTCGCAGTACAAGGTATTCGTTCTATTCTGTGTGACAGTGTATTAAATCGAGATATATAGAAGGACTGAAAAGTGCCGTGAATTGAGACTCAGTTACAGAGTTTTGAAAGTCAATTGGATGTAAATAATTGTGCGGATTAGAGTAACATTTTCAAAAAATGTTCTTATATACCAAAGTTATAGACTTAAACTAAAACACTGCGTGGCGTACAAATTTTATAAAATTTTCCAAATCAGGTTAATCGGGTTTCCCCGGTGTGGATATAAATATCAACTTCACGACTTGAATAATTTTATAATTTTACATATGCCGGTTTATGTTGTTGTTATTTAGATAAGACATATTTATACAAACTTCTTATCTGCTTTCTAGGTCAAAACATCTTTAAAGCTTATTTTATCCAGTGTTTGCTTATAAAAATCTTATCAGTAATCACAGTTACCAAAGTTCTTTAAAGTAAAATCTAGAGATTATTTATAGATTAAAAGGGAATTTAGATTCTCATATGGATTTTTGTTTATATTTTAGTACCAGTCAGGTTTCGGGTCTCATTTCTCCTCCGAGGACGAGCGGTATCCCAACTCTTTGCCTGTGGGGCAAAACTCCCCTCAAGTGTGCCCTTACAAACTCTACGCCGAACAACTGTCCGGAAGTGCCTTCACAGCTCCAAGAACTGAGAATGTGCGAACTTGGCTCTACAGGAAGTTGCCCTCTGCCGTGCATTTTCCCTTCCAACCATTCAAAGGAGCCAAGTTCTTTAGGCAAAACTGGGATGAGCAGCCACCAAACCCAAATCAGGTAAACATAATTTTTCCGTATTAATATATAAAATAAAATTTATAATATAATCCTTGACTCAGCTTCGTTGGAAACCATTTGATTTGCCACCAAAAGACGGAAAACCTGTGGACTTTGTGGATGGTTTGCATACGGTTTGTGGCGCTGGTGATCCTAGATCTCGTCATGGCCTTGCCATACACATTTACTCCTGCAACATATCCATGGATAACTCTGCCTTTTACAACAGCGATGGCGATTTCTTGATTGGTAAGAATTGTTATTATCATTTAGAAAATAAACCTAATTCAGTTTATTTCTAGTGCCCCAGCAAGGCGTATTAGATATAACCACAGAGTTCGGAAGGATGTCTGTGGCTCCCAATGAGATTTGCGTTATACCTCAAGGCATTCGTTTTGCTGTTAAAGTGGATTCTCCTTCCAGGTGGGTGAACATTTAAGAGCTATGATATTTACAACTTTTAATATCAAAACGTTATGTTTATTTCACTTAGGGGCTATATCCTTGAGGTCTATGATGGGCACTTTGTTTTGCCAGATTTGGGTCCTATTGGAGCTAATGGCCTGGCTAATCCCAGAGACTTTGAAACACCAGTGGCCTGGTTCGACGATCAAGATGTAAAAGGTAAGTATAAACATACATTAAACAATAAACTTTAATACAAAACTAATTATTTTTGTAGACTTTCCAGGTGATATCAAAATTCCAGGGAAGCCTCTTTGTGGCCAAGCAAAATCACAGTGTTTTCGATGTGGTGGCCTGGCATGGCAACTATGTGCCCTTCAAGTACGATCTATCCAAGTTTATGGTGATCAACTCGGTTAGCTTCGATCACTGCGATCCCAGCATATTCACTGTGCTCACGTGTCCTAGTTTAAGAGCTGGAACAGCTATAGCGGACTTTGTGATCTTCCCACCCCGCTGGTCAGTGCAGGAGCACACTTTCCGGCCACCTTATTACCACAGTAAGTTTGAATTTTTCTTTAAAGTTATTATTATGTTAAGTTAATAATTTTATTTTTTGTTAGGAAATTGCATGAGTGAGTTTATGGGTCTAATCCTAGGCAAGTACGAGGCCAAGGAAGATGGCTTTGCTGCTGGAGGAGCGACCCTCCATTCGATTATGACACCGCATGGTCCGGATGTAAAGTGCTTTGATGGGGCATCGAAGGCAAAGTTGGTACCAGAACGAGTGGCTGAGGGAACCCAGGTAAGTTCTAGCATATAAAGATACAAAATTTATATTAAACAAATTTTATTTTTAAAGGCCTTCATGTTCGAATCCTCTCTGAGCTTGGCCGTAACCAAATGGGGCGAGGAAACTTGCCAGAAACTAGATGCAGCTTACTATGAATGCTGGCAGGCCCTGAAGAACAATTTCCAAATTACTGAAAAGTGAAATAATAATAACAAAGTGCACTATAATAAAACAGAATTCATTAGTAAATGTTTTTATTTGCACCATCTAATTTTAATTCTAATGACGAACTGAGTTCCAATGTTTGAGTTAATGTAAAATGTAGGTAAGGAAGAGGCAGATCATAGCTTTATAACTGGACGGACAAATTGGACGATAACTTACTTTACTTATAACAAAATGATGTTATCTTCGGACTTCTTAACTTTATATTTTTAAAATGATATTAAAACACATATGTACACATGATCAAAGGAAGTTCAGGCCATCATTAGAATTCGAAAGAGTGTCGGCAAATCTACAACACATCAATATTAATGGACGCCAGTATACTACATCTCAAAAGCTAATGATCAAAGATCTTAAAGTTAATATAATTGAATCCTTATAGTCTAAATGTGATACTCGGGGCAGATCGAGGGCTTCGATTACTGAACACTTGGCTGCTGTTTAAGCGGCAAACACATAATTGATTGCAGTTAACCTGCGCGGGTTCATGGATCCTTGGAAACTCTGAAGTGCCGTGGGAATTGGTCACATTGTCGTCTGATCGGCGACTATATAGACACTTGGTGTCACAATTGCAGGATCCCAATCTATAGTTTTTCGGAGCAGGAGTGCAATATGGATGGAGTGATTGCTCCATACTTTCTCTTCCCACGGAGCAGTAGTTATCCAGAGTATCCACCGTGCTAATGAGATCAGGTGTAAGCTCGGTTTGCTGGCGATTGGTCAGCCAATAGGTTCGCATGTCTCCTTTACCCTTTATTTAAATATTCATGCTATTATACCTTTCACACAGATATTCTTTTTAAACTTACCTTAATGCTCGTCAATCCCCTTTCGATGCAGACATAGCTGCCAATTAGCTGCAGTAACTGGTAGGTGGCTTCGGATATGTGGATCTTCATGGAATCGCCGGTGCTCTCCATTCGAGAGGCTGTGTTAACAGTGTCTCCGAACAGGCAATATCTGGGCATCTGCTTGAAGGGTACGACATGAACAAGATTTTAAACTTAAAGTAAGTCTTTTTCCCCCACCTTTTGTCCTACCACTCCTGCTGCGCAAGGACCCGAGTGGATTCCAATACGAAGCTGAACAGTTTCCGTGGGCTTATGCCGGATTTTAAGATTTCCCACCGTTTCTAGGAGATGTAGAGCCAATGAGGCAATCTCTCCGGCATGACGATTTCCATTTTGTAAAGGTAATCCGGATACCACCATATAAGCATCACCAATGGTCTCAACCTGAAATACAAATTTCTTATAAAATATCTTTAGCTTATACCCTAACCCACCTTATAGACATCGTAGTTGGATATTATGGAGTCGCAGCAGGTGTACCAATCGTTAAGCATTTCCACAACCTCGAATGGTGTACTTGTGGTGCAGAGTTCAGTGAATCCCACAATATCACTGAACAATATGGTGACACAGTCGAAGCACTCGGCCTCCACAGGATCACCTCGTTTTAGAAGCTCAGCTACAGGTCTATCAGAGATTGGGATTCAAATTTTATATAACCATACTATTTAATTTATCAAATCACTCACCTTGGCAGCATCTGGTAAAGTAGCATGTCCGTTTTCTTTTTCTCTTCGTAAAGCAAATTAGTTCGTTCCTGAACTAGACCCTCTAGGTTGTAGGCATATTTCTCCATTATCGAGAGCATATTGTCAAATATATTGGGTTTCCTAGATTAGAATGCAGGAAGTCAAATATTTTAAGGTTAAATCCCCTATCCCCTTTTAAATACTAACAATCCAGCATGAAGTTCCTTGAGATGCATGCGAACCAGTCTGATATCAGGCCTGACCTCCGGATCTTCATCCCAGCACTGACACAAGCACTTTCGGATATAGTCCGGTATGTCCAAGTGGGTGTGTGTCAAAGCTGGTCGAAATACGCCGTGCTGCAGTAGTTCTGGGCATTTGACAAACTGAATTATTTCTGCATAGAAAGTCAAACATTTAGAAAGATTTTTGTATGGCTCAACTGGCAACCTCACCCTCTTTCGAGTAGGCCGTATCACCCCAAGGACCTTTGCGACCAATCGTCTCGTACAGCAGAATCCCAAAGGAATAGACGTCCCCTTTCTGAGAGCCGCGTGCAGGTCGGTAGGAATCCCTTAAAAGCTCCGGCGCCATGCAGAGAGCACGTTTCAGTTCCAATTCACTTCTGCAAACGTCAAAGGATAAAGTGTTTTTCTATTTTTGTGGAATCGTATATATATTTTATGCAAGCAATTTAGAATGGTTATATCTTTGAAAAACTTTAAAATCAGATGGGTAAATATCGGAGCAATCATTTTACCTATTGGGCTCTTCTTGACCAGCTTTAAGTTCGTGTAGACCAAAGTCAGAGATTTGGCAGACCCAACGCGAGTCGATCAGGCAGTTGCTGGAACGAAGGTTACCATGGGATATTATCTCCGAGTCATGTAGGTAAATCATTCCCTTCAGGATATCGGAGACCAGCGAGGAGACGAACATATGGTCCAGATGCAGATCTTCGTTGGCCAAGACATCTTCCAGACTGCCCCGTGCACAGTAAGTGGTGAAGATGATGACGGATCCATGATCGGTGGTGGCACCAATAAAGTTTATAATATTCTCATGGCGCACCTATTTTTAATATTTTTATTTATATTTTTGTTTATATCTGTTAGCTATTAGCCTTACCTCTCTCATAAGTTTTAATTCCTTACGAATCGATCGGGTGATGTCTACGCTCTTTTTGTGAATCTTTTTCATGGCCACAATATTGCCACGAAAGAGAGCTATTCCATAGGATAATATAATATAATTAATACTACTTATTAATATTAATTAGGAAATAATATATTAAATTTGTATGACCTACCTATATTAGTGAATGACCTCTTGTTGGGTTCGCCAACCACTAAAATGCTTTGCCGGCAGATTTGAAACTTAAAAAAAATATTTTTTTAATAGAAATAAGAGCTATGTGATATTTTAACATATTATCCTTACTTACAATATTCTTATTAGTTGGGTTATTGTACTCGCCGAGATTAATGACGGTAACTTCCTTCATGTCCACCTTCCACAGAAGACCAGCCAAAGTCTGTTCATAGCGATAATGCCTTGAGATAAAAAATATTAAAAAATCAATAAAAATATTTGTAATTGCTTAAATAATTATAATTAAGAATTACTCATACTTAATCAGCAGAGCAATGGCCACCACAACGACAAGGGCACATAATGGCCCTGATACCAGGTACCGCCAATCTAGTTTCTTTCGAGGACACAGTTCACCATGGAATCCGCAGAGAGGTTCTGCTAAAGGAGGACGACCATTAAGCCATTGGATGGGTCTGTCATTCTTTATGTAGCGGAATTCCTTAGTAATCATCAAAATAAATTACTATAAATATTGTATTTTATAATAATTATGGAGAACTAACAGGTATTAGGGAGTGTTTGTCGTAGGCAAAAAACCCAACTGGCTGCATGGACATCTTGGCCAGGGAACTTGTCGAGACTCCACTTCCTACATCGTTCTGCAGAGTAATGACTGTGTAGTTTCCCTCGGCATCGCCATTAGAATCAATGTAAACCTATGGTAAGTAAGGTAGAAATAGTAATTATAAAGATTTCTCAAGCTTATATTTAAGTAAGTAAGTAAGTTAAGTAAGTATCCCTTCCAGGTTAGGGTGATGTATAGTACTTACATCAAATCCCTGTATTGAGTGATAGGACCTATTGAAAATGTGACTCATTACCAAGTTTCCATCGTAGATATCACCTCCCAGTTTCATGACTTCTGTTATGGCTCTAACATAGATCATGACACTGTCGTACAAATGTAGTCCATAGATGGGGACCTAGTTAATACAAATACTAAGTAAATCTCTAAAATGTATTTAAATAAAATGTAATATAACAGAAAATAAATAATTTTCCTCCTTTTTTCCTACCGATATGTTGTCAAAGACTCGTTGATGATATGGCACTAGAAAGGGAGTCTTTCGAGCATAGTCTTTTATTTTTGAACAAATGTCGCTGGAAACATAAATATATACAAATAGATTAACTGTTTTTTACAGTGTAAAAATGTAATATTCATGCAAATGAATAAAGTGAAGGAAATCAACTTGAATGTAAAAAAACCAAAAAAGATTTTCAATTTTTAAGAAATCTCCTACAAAGAATATCTATTAACCATGCCTGAAAGTAAGCACTACTTTTACCAAATAAAAAATCCCAATGAACTTGAAAAATCATTAGCGTAAAGATCGATTAACATTAGCTAGAAAGACGCAACGAAAGTACGCACAGTTAGATAACCAAGAGTCAGATAAATTACCGAATATGGGGGTTTTGTGGATATGTCATGCTTATTTTTATAACTGAACGAAATGAGATTTTGTCCAGTGATTTGCTCTTTTCTTTTCTAATATAAGGATCTAAATAATCTGGAATAGATGGTGCATGCATTAGAACTCTAGCCCGGACCACCGATACCCACAAGGCACTTACTACGTTCCATAATGTTAACCCGCCGATTCGAGTCGTAGATCTCGTCGTCCACGGATACCACAATGTAGTCCCCACTCTCCAGTAGCCGTCGATTCTGGAGGCCTCGCACAAAGTCCACCATGGCAATGTGCTCTCCAATGAACACATAGACTGTTTGGGTTATACAAAAGGGATATATCATAAGATATATATAGAAATTATTATTACTTACTGCGAGTTGTGGAATAAGTTTCTTCAATGATTTTATCGATCTGCGAAAGGGTCTTCGTGGTCGGTATGTAGTCGGATATATGTTTAAAGTGACTGATGGTAAAGTTCCTTGCCTCCGCCAGTTCCTAATCCACAAAATCTTAAGTAAGTTAAAATGATAATCAAGTTTATCAAACTCACCTGAATGGCCCGAGCCACATCAGAGCCCCAAATGGGTTTGGAGCTGACGACTATAGAGAACTTGTTCCAGTGAAAGGCGTTTAAAAGACTAATAACACTCTTCGAAACCTTGGATTAGGTTATTAGTTAGCTATTAGTTATTAAGTTCTTTTATTTCGAAGTTAGTTACTAGATATTACCTTGGAAGCTGGAGCTAAGGTTCTGGCAAAGGTATGAAATGTACTTTTGTTTGAGACTATTGAGTCGGAGCATTTCTAAAGGGTAAGCAAAAGTAATTATTAAGGGTTTGAGAAATGAGTTTGTTTAACAATAAGTAACAAACTATTCTTGTCTGTATTGGTACTTCAACTTTGTTTTTCTGACAAAGAAAATGAATAAACAATGAAATCTCTGCTAAAGAGTTGAAAAATCTAACAGTAACTTTTCTATTTCAGCAACAGAATTTATTTGTCTTCTGGTTGCTGGTCATGTTTTGCCAGCACATTTTTGTTACACTTTTTTATGGCAATAGGCAAATAAATTGTGAATCAATCCCCCTGGGAACAGTAATCCCCGTTAACTCTCACAAAATGGTCTGTCAGATGTGAAAGCTAAAGTCTACAACTCTTGAATCGAACACTGGTGACCCAGATTTGAGTAATGGGTCTACTCACAAATGATAGCATCGGTGTGTTCCAGGCGGAGGCCAGCAGAGCCTCCGTGGTGCAGCTCTCGTCCGGACCGATGAATGCGGTTACGCCCGTTTCCCGCATCTGTGTCATCGCCCTGGAAACGGAAAGGGAAAAAGACACGGAAACAGGAAACCGGAAAGGGACAATTTCAGAAGGTAACTGATGCAGGAGTAATTTAATAATGGTGTAATTGAATGATTTACCTCAAAGGCTTTACACGGTAGGCGCTCATTTTATGGCCAATGTCGACGGGTTTGAAGGATAACTTCTTGCCCGGCAACAGGTTTGGGTTTTTATTCACATCCTCGATGGCAAGGGGCAGTCCGCCCAGCGTCACCTAAGGTGTCACAAAAAAAAAGGAGTGCAATTTAAGGTCAGCGCTGAGTCGTGGATAATTGGACTTGAATCTCGGCACTCAGAGAAACTCTCCCTGCTGTGGCTGGCACTTAATTTATGCATGTTGAGGCAGGTGGTTAAGGGCCATAGAGAAGCATAAACAAAGCAATGCAAAACATAATAATATTTACCCTTGGTTTCCCCCTGTGGATGGGGGGGTTAATTTAAAAATTCCTCAAAAATAAAGTTCTCTATTGCAAAGGAATGCATTTCGAGGTTAATAATATTCAAGTTTTAATTTAGTGAAGGCAAAACTAACTTTATTTTTATTGAGTTTTTTGCTTGCTTAATTTGGGAAACTTCAAGGATATCTGATTTAAAATAAGTATGCTTAAACCATTTATGGATATTTTTATGCCAAGTCTCGGCTCTTCCTGCTTGACCTAGTTTAAATTAGACACCTGCTAAGTTGATGCTTAATGTTAAGCAGAGTGAAAGTTTAAAAGTCAGTTTCAAGAGTTCCAAAGTTTCTTTAAACCAATAATTTTAGTTATAAATCAAAATGGTCTCTCATTTAAGTTAGAAGTTTAATTTGGACCTCCAAATCCCAACATTAAGTCATCACAAACATCTCAAAGCCGAGCAGTTCGTTGATTCCCTGGGCATAGGCCCGCAGTTCGTGATTTCTGCTTTCAAGGTGTCGAGCACTCAACAATCGTCGGTTAAGCCCTATAGCCAAGACAAAGCTACTTATGGCCAGGATCATCAAGTAGTTCCAGAGCATGACAGCCAGGACACTGAACAATAAAAAATTGTCAGCCTCATAGTGTGTTTCTTCAGCCAGGCACTCCCAAATGTGGTAAGGGAAACGCCCAAGTCCCTGGGCCACCTTTAGGCCCCAGGGTAGCAACATCACGGGACTGCAATGCTGCCACAAGGACAGACCTGCTATACGAAGCCTGGAGAAGAATCCCCCGAAGGGACACTTGGTGGGAAGGTATATCAAACCATAGCCGTAAAACATGGCACCCATGGCGAAACCGGAAAATAAAGGACTCCAGGCCAGCTCTCCCAGCTTGCACACTAGGTAAATACGGGCGAGAGGTCGCTGGAGCTCCGGGGATTGGTCAATTTGGATTGTAAACTCCAGCATCGACAGCATTAAAGTCAGTTGGAGTAGCGTAAAAACGGAGAGGCAGCGATGTGAACGTATAAATTTGGTTATATAATCACGCATTTTCCCAGCGTTAACAATTTATCAATTTTGTAATTTCTCAATAATGCCAGACAGTAAGTGAAAGTGTTCCTTTTCTTTTCATGGTCAGGATAATATTACTCCTTCCCGTTGTCATGAAAACCTGCTGGGATATTTATAGGCCTTGAAAACGCTTAACAGATTAAAATCTGAATATAAAACCTTGGAAACGCAGCGGGAATTTCTGGCTAAATTCGAAACTGGGAAAAGAATAATTGGAAGTAACTTCTGGGAAATCTGAAAAACTTAATTAAGCTTCTTGATTTCAAAAACATCTTTAAAGCTAACTACTCTTATGAAAAACAGACAATTTTTTAATAGATTTCCTTCTAAATGCTGTTTATATCTAATTGAAAAATTTATTTGATTTGAAAACATCCTCTTACCTCACTTCCAAATCGACTAATAGCTTTAGTTCTAATAATTAATTAGATTGGTCTACCAAAAGCCATAATCCATAAATCAATCCATTTAAAAGGCGGTAATAACATCAATTAAAATCCAGATTTGCTTTGTGGTTAGTTCAATGGTAATTAATTAAAATATTCTAACAGTTTGGGAATTTTACCCAAATCATGTCTGCTTTTCACTGGCTGACTGCATTTGGCAATTACAATAATAGTAATAATGGTAATGAAACTGCATTAAAGGCAACCGTTAAAGCATTCTTATAACTTTTAAAACGTTTAAAGTTGAAATTTAATTGGTATGTGTAATGGTTTTAAATACACATGATAAGCTCTTTTAATCTCTTATTAAAAAACAATTAACTCCCAATCGGATTTCTTCAATTAATCTTTCCACAGTTCAGACTTTAAATCTGAGTCGGCGTCATGAAATCGATTCTGGGAAATTGGCATGGGCAGGAAATGCGGCAGACACCTCCGGCAAGAACTACGTTAATTATGCCAGAAATCAATATGAAAGGAGAATAAATTTAATATCAATTAATGATTCAAAAGGCTTTCAGAGTTTCTTACAATGAGTGTTTCAATTTGTTGTAAGAAAAAAAAGTCCTCCCAAAGACTCCTTGTAAGAGACTCCTGGTCGAAGTCATTTCTTTCATCTTTGACAGTTGAAGTATAAACCCTTGGTCAAAAGGATATTTTATATTCACTAAGAATTTTAAGTAGTTAAATATGACAAAGTTATCATTCGATGGCAAAAATGTAGCAAATAAAATAAACCTAATAACCAATTAATTATATTGACTCTTATGAAACTTCCTACTGCCAAGGAAAAATTTATTGCAAGTTTTCAGATTAAATAGCTGACTTGCCCTATTTTTCATTTTATAACCAAGGGAGAGGAAAGCACATGAAGTAATATGAATTAAGGATGAAGCTGTCATAGTAACAGGGAACAGTTGTTAAGATGAGGTTTAAGCTCATGGGTAGCTGCAATTAAAGTACACATGTTAACATAAAACCGTTTTCAAATACCATAACCTTGGACTTGGCAAAATTTTTCTCTGTAACTGAACGCGGATTTTAAGCGAAAAGTAGAAATACTCCCACCCAAAAGCCAAGGAGTATTCGTCGCTATAGTTTCTGGTCTTTGAAACTGTAGCCACTTGGGTTCTACTTCAGCTTTTTTGCTTTAAAAATTAACTAAAAATAGGTCGTAATAATTAAGTTACTAACTAAGTTATTAAACTTTTGTAATATACATGGAATTAAAGAGGAATTCGGAATTATTAATAACATATATTAGACTTGAAGATTGTGATGGCCTGTGGAAATGAAGATGAAAAGAAAATGTTTTAAACGCATTTAAAATGGCCTTTTAAAGTGTAAGGGAAATACTTTCCTTTATGATTGCTTTCCTTAAAAGTCAATTAAGGTGTAATTAAAAAGGGATTTTTGAAGGACAGACAGAGGAAATGCTCCCCGAAAATGTTTTTCTTTAACTTCATTTGTTTTGTGGCGATTTTTAATTTAATTTAAAATGTTTTCTTTTTTGATAGAAAACTTTGAGCTTTGCTAAATTTATTCAATTAAAATACAATTTTCCGTTTGTAGAAATGAAAAATGTGTAACTCCTCGAACCAGTCCGGTCATTCCTGTTTTATTTCTGTTAAAGCAATTAATATACTTTGCTTAATGCGGATTAATATTTATACTTGTGGAGGGAAATGTGGCGTTTGTCGTTTTTAATGCCCTAAAGGACAATTTGAGCTGGACAGCGATGGGGCTCATGGGAAAAATGAAACTTACAAGAAAAACAAATAAGGAAACATACAGAATTTTTCTGTCAAAAGTTGACATACAGTCAACAGGCAATGCCAAATAAATATGAGTGACAAAGCAACCATTTTCGGTTTATGTGGATTTAAAAACTTGATTCACACAGTTTGTTTTTTAAAGAGATATTGTAACGTGTATCGAGTTCATAAAAAAGTCAATTGAGTCAACATAATATCTGATTTAATAAATCTGTCAGATAGCCGAATGTTCAGCTTACAAAAACTGCATATATATCTTTATATATTCACATTTTTTGTGTGTTTATGACATAACCGAAAAAACTTCCGAATCGCTTGGCTTTGGTCCGTTTATAAATCCCAACAGGACTCTTGACGGATTTGCTTTTAAGCCTTCCTTTTACGTTAGTCAGTCAGTCAAATAAATAAGAGCCATCAGCAGACTATTGCAAGTATGATTGAGTTTTTCCCGGGTTCCAATTAAATTCAGCATAAAGGATCCTAGATTTGAATGGATTACTGGGATATGTAAAGGATATACAAAAATGCATTTATCTCCATTATTGTTTTGCCAGCACAGATGGCCGCTGTCAATCCTCTTTAAAAAACAATCAGAAAATCAACACAAGATGAAAACGATTTCGGTTTTATGGAAAGGCTATGAAATACCCTAAAATATTTTATGTAGAAGTTTAATTTGGTTTTAGGAACCGTTTCTAATTTGTATATGATGATTTTTTTACTATTACACCCACCACTTATTTATATTAATCAACTTAAAAACACTTTGATTTTCTGTAAAAAAGAAACAACGTACTAGCGGTTTCTATAATTTAGTGTAACTTTTTAATAAAAACTCTCATAAAATATTTAAACATTCCTAAAATCTCTCAGTAACCTAAAAGTGTCTGGCATAATCCGTTTAAGTATATAACATAACCAGCAATGTTAGAGTATGATAGTCAAATGCCTCAAGGGACGCATGATGTGTTTGATTGGGGCAGGACAATCGTCCCTTCAATCATTATGCCGAGCTGTAGGTTCCATGATATTTTTGGGACAGGATGCGTTGACTTGTGGCCCAAAATGGGATTGGCATTTGAATTGTAAATGTGACAGGTTGATGTATTATGCATGTACATACAAAATTAGCACAAAATGATAATTTCCAATTATTTTGAATAATATTTCGGCCAACTTTAAAGCAATAACCATGAGGGGATGTGTGGGCTATCTCTTATTACTCACTCGCATCTGGGAATATTCAGCGAGGAATCCAATATTTATCGTGTCCGACAGACGGCGTGTGGAGGCAAAAGCAGCAGCAGTTCCAGAGGCCAAAGGATTGCTCCACTGACAACCGAGTAGGACGTAGACGCATGAAAATGCCGCGATGGAGGCGGAAATGCCAGGCATCCTCAGAGGCAATAAAGTTTTATTTTCCACGAAACTGAAAACTGAAACTGACACCGCCACGGGTACTGGACAACTTGACAACCTAACCACGGACCACAGACTTTGGAGCACTTAATGGTCATAGATTTTCACATGGTCAAAGGAGCAAAGATTCAACAAAGAACGGATGTCATTTGTTTAGTTAAATCCCATATCCTTAATCCTTGATCCCAACAGGTTGCGTATATCGCTGGTTGAAATCCAACTTGTTGCTCCGCTATTTCGTATTCCGTTCCGGCACTCAAACACGCCCGTAGTCAATTGCAGACTGCGTTCGTGCCACCAGCTATCCTGCTTTTATAGCCTCTGTGCTTCGTGTCCTTCGGTGCGTTTCGTTTCTATTACGGCTGGGATACAGTGGCAGTGGGTGTTGGAGGTAGGCGACTGTTGGGTGGCCAGGAGGACGCGCCAAAATTAAGTGGTCTATGAATGACAAAATCAGCAGAGTCTGGGGATCAAGAGCGGGACAAGTGGACGACGCAACTGTCCGTTTGCCGTTGGTCAGTTTGGACAGGATGCTGAGGACTTTGTTTATTTGTTCCTGTTGGCAGTCAAAAATCATTCGTTTTAAATTTAGAGTGACCCCAATGATGACTTGGCTGAGCACCTGGCTCCCAGTTTCGGGTCACGTTAGCCAGCTTAGTCAGCTTTTGCTCCTGTTGAGCACATTATTTTCCGGTTCCTGATACCCATCGAGGCAATTTTCCTTCGCAAATTGCAATAATACTTCCTCAGTCTGACAGTCAATTATGTGAACAACCTTTTGTTTTCCCCTCGTCAGATTGTGTAGCAGATTTTAGAGTTTTCCGGACTAATGCTCTCGTAATGGGCAAAGTAATAGATCAATGAGCTTAAGTTTGTTTATAAAAAAAAGGCCTTTTAAGGGGGAGTCTCTTCTAGTTTTGAAGGATATTTCAATGCGGTAGTATTCCAATGAATTAGATTAAATTAACAAATAATTTAAATAAGTGCAACCCTTTTCCTGCTAATGAAAAGGACACCCTTTATCCAGGTGCGTTGTAGAATTCCAAGTTCAAGGACACAAATTTGGCATCTATTTTAGTGGTTCCCAACGTAATCCTGGCTCAGCGTGCCACAAAAGGGGTATGATGGGACTTTTAATCGAAAATCCAAATGCAAATGTTTTGCCATACAGTTTGGGAGCTATTGGACTGAGCATTGAGGCAACTGAGACTATTTGGGGGCACTGGAGTTCCTCGTTGTTAACATTAATTGCGTTGCACAATTATTTGCGTGCCTTCGGTTTCGATTTCTAATTAAATTTCCCCAGTCCTTTCTAAGTGGCATCACATAGCTTACAGCCTATAGCATTCACATTTGCTTAGCACCTGTCTTTTGGATTCATTTTCAATTGCCATGAGGTATAATTTGCAACTGAGAATTCCAATACATATCCCAAGCAGCTCAGTAAGAGCTACAGTGTGGAACAGAAGTATAAGTCTTTTTCTATGTCATGACATGACATGACATGGAACTTGAAATGTGAGTGTTATATAATATAAGACCCACGGAGAGTTCCAAATCGAAATTAGCCAAATAATGGTTGGTATCTATATTAATGCCTTTATATAAGCATCCTTTAATTGCTATGGTAATAGTAAAGCAAAGCAAAGGTCCAAGTTCAATTTCTATCCCAGCTAACAATTTGATTCCAGTTAAGCCGACTTGTAAGCTGATTGAAATGGAAATGAAATTGAACTTTAGCTCCTGTTCCTCGTCTTCAATATTTGGTTACTCCTTTGTATACCAGTCGGAGGATGACGATTATGGAACCATGACGAATCATATCCTCCTTTGTTGGGACTCGTTTGCATATGACAATATTCGTGCAAAGGTGCCATCGAGTTGGCAAGGAAGCTCCAGCGTAAATAATGAATGGACAAGAGTAGTTCCTTCTGTGCTGAAATATGGCCAGGACATGAATTTCCTTATATTTCATATCACTTAATATTTCATTTCACTTTTATTTACTCTCATATTTATTTGGGAACCAAAATGAAACCATTAAAATTAAAAATAATTCATATTTGTCACGAATTTCCGGTTGCATAAATTTTCTGGAAAATATATTTAAATGTAAACAATTTAATGCAAGCGATTTTCTTTTATAATAATTTGCGAAAAACTTTTGTTCACTCTACTGGGAATCGAATTCGCATTTCAGGAATTTGCATACGAAAGTTATTTCTTTATTTGAATTTCTGTCTATTATTGGTCCATTCATAGTCGTAAAACGCGTTTCTATTGTTGCTTTTCCATATTGATGTAGGAAAATGCGAATCTATTCTCAATAAAAATCTGTTTGTTAAATCGTAGAAAAATTTGCAAAGGTATAAATTACGACTTAAACGAAAAGTTGCCTTCTCTAAATGTTAATAATTTAATAAACAAAAACAACACGAGCCATTAAGAATGCCAACATCTCTCTCTGATTACTTAATTCCATGCAGTTGGATTGCTTTTCCCATTTGCTTGCAGCATTCCAAACAGAATGCGTAATCTGTACTTGTGTGCTCAGTTTTAATCTGCTAAATATTTAAGTATATCCACATAACAACACCAGTGAATGAACTGCAACCTATTCATGTTTATTCAGTTGGATAAACCCGCCAACACTTGCTCTAGGCTTACACAAAAGTGGCCAAAAAAGTTCACAGAAAACTGAACTTTTCCAACATAAACGCAGCATAAAACTGGCTTCCCAGGAAAAAGCTATAATTTTTAGCCAAAACACTGAAAGGAAGAATGAGATTAAGGAAGTTAATCTTATTAAATGCGATTTAACTTAAAGATTAAGTACAGAGAGTGCTGAGTATTTTGATTTATTAGTTAGTTATTAATTCTTTATTTTAAGATTTTTGTATTTTTTTTACAATGTTTATTGTAAGCTTATTTATAAAGTCCAAATTCGATTCACTTCACTGGTAATGGGCGAGAGCATCCTTGTTGATGACGCCCGCATAACTGGTGTACTTGGGAGAGGTTCCATTGAGGGCGATGAACTGCTCTGCCACTTCGACAGCAACGCGAACCTGGGCCTCCGAGGTGCTGGCACCCAAATGGGGAGTGGCCACCACCTTGGGGTGACTGATTAGGGCCTTGGTGACCGCAGACTTTGGCGGCTCCTCGGGATAAACGTCGAAGGCGGCGCCGGCCACTTTGCCACTTTCGAGGCCATCAAGCACGGCCTGCTCATCAATGATACCGCCGCGGGCCACGTTCACCACCTTGACACCCTGCTTGCACTTGGCCAGAGTCTCCGTTGATATTAGATCTAAAGAAAAATACTTTCTTAAAGACTTTCCTGAACAGAGAAAACCCTTTCCCAGCACGTGTCCAGTTTTTTCAAGCAATTAAAAAGCTTGTGTCCAAGGACTTAACTTACTTTCGGTGGCCGGGATGAGCGGCGTGTGTACGGTTATGTAATCCGCCAGTGGCCAAATCTCCTCCAGCGTCATCTTCTCAATGCCCGCTGCCTTTGCCTCCGCCTCCGTGGTGATGGGATCGTATCCAATAATCTGTAAGACAATCATGGTTCGATTAAAATTTCACACAAAGTAAATACCCAATCCGGGGATTTACCCGCATGCCCCAGGTCTTCATCCGAATGGCAACCTCGCGACCAATGCGACCCAGTCCGAGAACGGCCAGGGTTTTTCCATACAGCTCAGTGCCGGCATAGAGTTTCCTGTCCCAGCGACCCTCTTTCATGCTTTGACCAGCGGGGACAACGGGGCGGGCCAGGGAGCCAATTAGGATGCACGTCAGCTCACAGGCTGAAATAGAATTGCCACCCGGAGTGCTGAAAGCGACGAGAGTTTAGTTAAACATTCCCTAAATGCCTCGATAGACATTGGTGTGGTTGTTGGGTGGCGTTTGTTGTGACTAGACAGCATTATGCAAATTCCCCCCGAAAAAAAAACGAAATAAAGAAGATGGGAGCGAAATGTGGCAATATTCGCGCTTGCCTCTGTAGCCTTGGCAATGCGGTGGGCCATCTGACATTGACGCGACCAACCCACAACCCACGCTGATACTCGTCGGCCCTTAATTATGCGTGTCAAACGGCGTCAATTGACCCAAGTCATGGCCCTGCTTTTGGGCTGTGATAGTTGCGATAGCGACTGCCAATCCCGCGATTCAGAATGCGCATAATTATTGGGAAGATGCCTCATTGGAGACGACTCTATGCAGCCCTAGGTTCTAGGTTGTGCTAGATTTCGATAACTTTCATCATTAAAAGAAAGGTTTTTAGCACGTCAGGCAACGATATCAACAACTTTGTAAACTTCATTGAAAAACGTTCATATTTTTGTTTACTGTCCCCTACTAAACCCTTTCCCGGGCTGCAGTGCGCAAAAGGCTTATGAGGGACTTACTTGAGGACAACGACATTATGCGACGTGGCTGCAGGAACATCGATGTTGTCAACACCCGCCCCCGCGCGGCCAACAACCTTTAGACTCCCGGCTCCGGCGGCCAAAACTTCCGCGGTTATTTTCGTATCCGAGCGAACGATGGCGGCGTCAAAGTTCTGGAATGCGGGGTAATATAATAATTAGCAACTGTGTAAATACAAATATTTGTCATAAAATTCCCTTAACCATTGCACTGACCACCCTAAGTGCTCTAATTGCTGGTGTCTAGTAGCGTGATTGATACCCCTTAGCACCTGTTGAGTAATAAGTTTCGTTATCTTGAAAATGGTTTTATATGGCATAAGGGTCTGGCTGTATTAATTGGTCTGCCTGAGTTTTTCTTAGAATTTTTCGGTTTCACTTGGAACAATAGATTTAATGTTGAGGCAACATCGTCTGATCGGAAGTATGTTTGATAAGCATTTATTGATTAAACCTATAAAGTGGTGATAAGAATGTCTAGCGCTGCCTAGTTATTAGTAATCAAAAAGAATAATATGGCCAAAAAATGTAGTTTAATATGCCAAAGTTTTTTGTGCCTAAGAAGTTAACTAAAATAAACATTCTAATGCTGGAATACTGGGTAGCACAGTTTAAAATGAACTAATTTTGGTCTAATTAAATTGTTTTTCTTGTTACCAAAGGCAAACATATTTTTGTATCGAATACTGTTTTTTGGCCCTTGGAATTTGTTGTGCTTTGTGAAACGAACAACAGAAAGCATTTTTCTCTAAATCAAATAAAATCCAAAATATTTATTTATTATACGTGCTCATGCAGGTATGAATGGATTTAAATAAAAGAAAACAAATTCTGGTTTGCATAGATTACATGCATTCGCAATAGAACGTAAATTTAAACACATTAAAGAATAATAATTGATTTTCATTTAAGGGAAAATCAACAAACTGTCAGGATGGCTTAACTTTTTTTTGTTTGATTTAAGTGCTTTAAACATAATTACAATCCGATTAACTGTTGTTAAATTTATTAGCAGTGATGTAAATGAAATAAATGTCGGTCAATTTATTGCCACTAATCCCGAATGAGAGCTTATCAATTTTAATTAAAAGCACTTGCTAATCGGTTGAGATGGAAATCAGTCTGCCGATAACACTTGAGCACACTTATGCTTTGGCACATACTAACTAGTGTAGTCCTGTGTTTAACACATTACATACATGTGCTGTGCGGATTTTCAGCTTATGTGCTTAGTTACTGACTAATTGTTGTTATGCTGTCATTATGTAACACTTACATTTAACAGCATTTAAATGTAGTGAAGCTGACAAATACTTTAGTCATCTGCACGTGTTTTGAAACGGCTCTTCAATGGTTTAAAAAGCTTTCAATTGCTTCCCTTACATATCTCTTACATACTACTATAGATTTTTTTTAATTTTTTTCACCTGTGCCGTAATCCCTCAGCCACTTACCTTAACTTCCTCACACAGCTCCGCCACGGGGAGTTTCAGCTTGTAGGTAACCTTGTCAAAAACAAAAACAAATGGTCAACACATTGATTAAATTGTGCAATTCATTAAATGCAACACACTGAAGCACTTTTACATGATTACAAGTTCAAATACAGTGGAGACTAGGTAACAAATTCAATCAATTTATAATAGTTCTAATCCATATCAACTTCAACCTCAAAATAAGCTTCAAAGCAACTTAGTTACCGTAATAAGTTAAAAGTTATTTGTAATTCCTTCATCCGAGTGAACACTGTACTCGAAAGCACTTGTATGGGTGTAAGCTTTTGTACATTTTAGCACATAATCGCTTGTCACGTCATGGGCTTCAGGGAACTTACACTAATCCCATGCTGTTCCAGCAGCTCCACGCAGGATTTGTCCACTGCATCGCAGACCAGCACTTTTTGATATTAAGGGGCATATTTGCTTTGCTAAATAATATACTTAAGAATCTGGACAACCGGTCGATTGTGCTAATTTTTGCAAATTACTTTCAGACGCTCACGATCTGCGCCACAGAGCAAACAAATTGAACTGACTTTGAGAGTGATTTTGCCGGGCCATCGAACCTGACTTTGAGTGGCTACTCTCCAATGCATTGCGGTTGTTGTTGCTCTTCTTTGTGATAACCGACTGGAGAGATCAGGGAGAGAGCCCAAGTCCTCTCTCTCTCATCCACGCGATATGTTCTTTACGGTATGCGTGTAAGTTGTTTTCGAAACGGCAATTCGAATTTGCTTGCAAAACAACAATTTTAACCCACCGTTGACCCTGTCACTTGAAAACATATTTGCATTTTATTTTCAATATTTTTATTGTATTTGCTTTTATTTGCAATTTAGCTTTCATTTAACTACGTATTTTCCAAAAACATATTGTGAACAACATTTGAATGCGGAAAATGAAAACTAAAAACAACAAATCATGGCCGAGGAGAAGGCATCCTAGCCATTAAATCAAAGGAATATTACAAAGTTCATAACAAAATAAGTTGGTAAACAAATTGAAATATCATAAACTATTTACATACAATTCTTGGAAATTGCTGATTGGATTTTAGTTACTGTTTTCTCGTTTCTTGTTTTTTGTTTTTACAATATGTATATGTTTTGCATGTATAAAATATTCTATATAAATTTGGTGTGGGGTTGATATTTCCACAATTAGTTCTTGTTTATTTTTCTGGGGGTAATCGGTGTGTGTGTGTGTGTGTGTGTGTGTGGGAGGGAGCTTTTGGTTAATCATAATATATTGAATACGGAAATTTCAGGCGTGCTCTTGTCGAATCTTTCCACTTTACAAATCTTCCAGTTTAATTAGGGATTTAGGCTAAAAGAAATAAAGTTTGCTTTGTTTTTTGGATGTATTAAAGTGGCTTGAAAAGTAGAGAAGTTATTACCGCTAAATTTAATTATATATAGGCGTATTCTCTTCTTAAAGTTTCAGTATTTTCGCTATAAAATTTGTTTGCATGTGTGTGTGTGTTCCTTTTTAGTTTTTTTTTTCAAGAGTGTCAACGAATTGAAATTGCTTTGTTTTTCGCTTTTGTTTTTGTTTGTTTTTTAATCGGAAATAAGATTTTATTATTACAAAAAAATTGCTATATATTAGAAGCAAACCTGTTGTTGTTTTTTGTTTTTTGTTTTTGTTTTGCAAAAATTGATTAGGACTTGGTTTGTCCATCTGCTAAAAGGTTATGTAATGGAATATATGAATTTATCAAGTTTAGCTTTCCAAAACTTTCAAAGAATTTGAGTTGAGAAATTTAAGGCATCTTACAAAATATCTTCAACATATTCCTATCAGATCTGATGAAATTTTCATGGCAAAGTTCACCTTTCGGTTTCCAGAAAGTATCTAACAATACCTGGGATAATCTATTATCTGTTATCTCTTATTATTTGTTTTTCTTTTTATGTTCATATCTTGGATTTCACGCCAAAATGCCTGCTGATGTATCTGTATCGTTTTAAATTTTGTTAATTATAGTAAGAACGTACATATTCATGTATAAATGTATATGAATCATTTTGTTTTTGTTTTTGTTTTTGGTTTTGTTTTTTTAAATATATACCATTATCATATATTGAATTACCAGTTCTGTGAATTATGTGCAATACTATAACATTATACACATTCCCATCGACTGATCTTTTAAACTTAAGTATTCCGCTTGTCTCCTCCTTAGCTGCGAAGGATCGTATCTAGTTTTGTTTTTAACTTTATGCTAGTATTAAAAAGTAATATTTCATTTAGGTTTTAGCTAATACATAGATCATTTTTCTTTTGCCACTTTTTACAAGAAGTGCTTGCGTATCGTATGCTGCTTTCCATTATATTTAAATATTTTTTGTTCCTCGTTAAAGCGCCTCCAGTGCCTTGGCCAACCCCATCTCTCTCTCTCTGTCTTCGGGGAAAGGCTAACCATTTGAAAGTAATTTGGAAAGATCTTTTAGGTATCCGTATTTGTCGTGCGCTGTTCAAATTTGCTCTCCAAAAATTTAGTTATATCACCTTGTATCTCTTATATAAAAAGTACTAGATTTTTGTGGGTTTTTTTTGTTTTCTTTTGCTTCAGGTCCATGGGCCTGGCCTGTCCTGGCTACACTGTGCTACAAACTCTATAGCCTTTGGGGGCTTCAGCTGTAGTCCTTGGACATTAGGATGGGTTCTGTGGGTGTGCTTACAGATCAACTAGCTAGTAGCTAAACATCAACTCTTACTCGAGGTGGCGATCGATTTGAATGCAGTGCGGTTCATCATTGTTGGGCTCTAGCTCAGTTCGACAACTAATGATCGACAAATTTAGCATGGTGGTTGGAATTGTAAAAGGAGTGCTCGTTCGGAATGGGCCAGATCAACTTTTCTCTTCTCGTCTCGACATTACGTGTAGGTACTTACAGTACTTGAACAATAATTTTGACTTTAGCGGTGGCAGTGGGTAGTGGGGCAGGGGAAATGGAAGATATCAGAAGGGCGGGGTTGTGGAGTGCTGGTGTGTAACTCGATTTGATGGTTTATAAGGCACTGGTAGTTTTAAATCGCTATACCTAAACCTGGTTCATAGCTGGGATCTAGCTTTCGATCCCAACCCAGGTTGGAGGCCTGTTCGCGTGCAATCCAACTTGAACTTTGAACTGCAAACGCGAACTGTGCGCTTTTGGCAGGTGTGTGGCATGATATGGTGTGACAAGGTATCTAGGTCGAAGGTATTGCTAGTAGAAGAAGAAAGTCTACACAAGACAGTGCGTTTCATTAAAGTTCCCATTATAGATAATGAAAATGTGTGTTTAGAAGTAACTATTAGGTGTTATCTAACAAGTTTGTTTCTAGCTTTTTAGGAAGATCCAAGATTTTTCAGTCACCAAATATAAAGTCTAAGTGATGTCCAAAAGAAAATGTCAGAGTGATTTAATTAGGAAACGCACTGTACTCTTTTCAAGTGTTCAACTAGAAGAAGAATTCCTAGCAGATGTGCTGAAGAAAGTGAAAGAAGTTGTCAATTCTGCGTAGAGGAAGATAAAGAATGGATGCGAGAATTAGAGATCGGTTTGAGATTAAAGAGATTTCAATCGGTTCACAGTCAATTGAGTGTGTGTGTGTGTGTGTTAGGAGTGTGTTTGTGTTTGTGTGGCTCGACTTAGATTAAGACACGTTCACTAAATTATTAAAGCTGACACTTATTTATTTACTTAGTCAATCGATTGCATAACAAATACGAGACCAACAAATCCTGTTGGGTGGCTGCAGACTCCCCTTTAACTTTTAATTAGTTTTTTTTTTTTTTTTTTCAACTGTCGACTAGCTTAAATCTTAGGCTTAGACCATTTAATTTAAATTCACATTATTCAAATAAAATCTGATTACACTTAGCTATAGCATTTAAGACACATAAGGCCCCACTTGGCATTGGGCTGCTTCCTTGGTTTGTTTTAACGTTTGCTCTAACCGCCACTTTAAACGCTCTCATTAACTTTAACCTTTGTTACTTTTCGTGTGTGTTTCTGTTTAGTGTTCGTGTTCGTGTGTGGTTTTTAACTAACAAATTGATCTGATCATCGAATGGAACATTTACAAATGTGTCGTGTGTCTTTGGCACTGCTGCGCATTTGCTAACTTGCCCCCGGAAAAGTGTTACCCAAAACCTAAGCGACGCGGGGTGGCGACTGAAATCTCTTTAATAGAACCGATCCGTGCTCAGGATATCCTCTTCGTCTTCCTCCACGATGATCTTGTTCCGAATGGCGTGCGTGACAGCTTCGACCTTGCTCATGGTGGGACTGAGGAACTCCTCGCGCAGCGATCTTGGTGGGTGGGCGAAGGACGTGTCCTGCACGGAGTATCGATACTGAGAGTGGGCATGTGACGACTGCGAACGCGACTGACTTGTGTGCTGGGGCGGCTGTGAGGATGTGTACGAATGGGTGTATTGAGTTCGGGCCTGGGGATATAACTGCGGCTGGTGCAGCAGTGGATAAAGCTCTCGGCGAGATTGGGGTCCTGAATCCAGAGTGCTCTGGGAGGAGGAGGATAACCAATGGGTGCCCAATGAAGACTGACGTGGCAGATAGGACATGGGTGCTCTATTACTGGGCAGGGAGGATTGACGGGGCAGGCCCAACGGTCTGGACCTGATCCTGGACTGTGATTGTGACTGAGATTGAGATTGAGACTGAGACGGAGGCTGGTGTATCATGTCAAGATCAAAACTATTGTCGCGTGCTTCCATCAAACCTGGCACTCTCGCATCGATCTGATCCCACCCCTATATCCACGATTCCTACATGGCATTAAGCATTCTCCTACTACTCCCACCACCTCTGTGCGGACTGTATTCATCGCGATCGACAACGGTGGCTCCCCGCGGCAGGTCACGGGGGTCGTCGATCCGGGTCGAGGGTCCATAGCGGGAGCTGCTCATCCTCATCTGGGCCTCTTCGCGCTCAAAGTCCGGATCGTCCAGTAGGCGTCCGCCCCTGGACAGATGGCCGTGGTGGGAGGCGCCGCTGGGACCGCTCCTCATCGCCGGATATTCAAAGTTGCGCTCGTCCAGCAGCTCGTCGCTGTTCAGGTCGTAGTGCATGAGGTCACGCTCGCGCCGATCGTACCGCTCCCTTTCGCGGTCCCGCTCATAGCCACCACCGCCACCTCCGCCGCCGGCTCCCACGCCACCACCACGCTCCTGATGGCGACTCGAGGTCGGTTGTCGGCGGCTGTGCTGGTAAGAGGTTCCTCCTGCAAGACGATGAACGCAGCAATTTGTTAGTGAAGATATAGTCATTATTGTGGTATTAAGGGTAACGAAAAACGGAAAACAGAACCAGAACTAAAGCATTCAAAAAGGGGGTCAATAGGCGATAGTTGGGCGGAGGCAACAGGCCAAAGGTCTCGATGACCGGATGTTGATCAACAATGGTTACGTGTTTTGTGCGGTCTCTAGCTAAGGGGGAATACCTTTCTCTGAATTATTTTACAAGGAAAGCTCTTTGAATGTGATCTTAACTTCCTTGGGAGTATATAGGTTCGGTGCTTAGATCTTTGATAAATTATTAACTTTATAGAGGAGTTAAAAACTGACTTCTACTTTGATTTAAAGTTTTTACTTATGTTTGATTTTGAATGTTTCTATTTGTTAAGTTCCTAATATAGTTTGAATGATATAATGAAAACTTCTAAAGTTTACTATAAAAAATGAAGTTTAGTTTGGATAATTACCTAACTATTTTGTGATTGTTTTAAAAACATGTCTTTCTAATAAAACCATTTCTGTTTTTACTCAGCTAGTATAAGACTTAACTAAAAGGTGTTAATGGAAGATGAAACATTTGGTTAGTTCTTTAACTCAGTAACAAAAATTTAATATTTTTTTGCTGAAAATAAGAAACATAAAAGTTAGCAAACGAACGAATCCTAGCGTCAGTTAGGCATAGTACTAGATCTGGGAAACGAGGATGATGTCGGGAGACAGTAATAAAGATAATCAAAGGTCCATATGGCAAAAATTATGTAACGCAAACACATCACGGGGGGTTCGGTACTCACTAAACCAGATCTAAACGATTGGATGATTTGGTTTTGCAACTTTTAAATGGTGGAAACATAAGGATCGACAACAACGGAATACACATAACGGTACATATATATATATATATATATTATATAACTGAGTTGAATCGGGTTGAGTTGGGAGCTGATCTTGGAAAACACCCGGAAGAATGTGAAAATCGAGTAGAAGAGCTTGGCGAAGATCGCGGCAGCTTAAAGGCGCACAACGCCCGGTGTAACTAAAAACAAGTACAGAGATCAGTCGGTAAAACGAACGTATTTCGGATGCATGAACATCGATTGGATCGATAGATGTCGGATGCTTGAGAAAGCGCGCTGGGGGGATTCTACGATTGGCGTGCATTTTCCATGTTAATCGGTTAGTAGAACTCAAACGGCAGAGAGATAATCTTAGTCAGCTAACGTTAGTGGGGAAAATCTATGGGATTTTCTAGGCATCTCATCTGGAGATCTTGGCAAAGACAAAGACTTGTACTTGATCGTCGGAGAGGAGATGTCGGTCGGTGGGTGCTTTAGCTTAAGCTTGTTCCATTTGATTTGGTTTTCGGTTTTTATTTTCGGATTCAATTCGATTGTCTTTGGCTTTGTACTGTTGATGTCGCAGTTGTGTTGGTCTTGTTGGTTGGTTGGTTGGTTTTTAACTCGTTTTGATCTATAGCATTGTTGTAAAGGGACCGGGTATATCACGTGCTGTGAATGCTGTAAAGTGTGGGCACAAAAGAACAATAGAAATAAACGAAAAAGTTGAGGATACCGGAGTTTCTGTATAAGATAAGTTAAAAAAAAGGTGTCTAGAAAGCGGGATTTGTAAATATATGCCATGATCTGTAGCTACATACAATCGATGGGTGGAGATGTGGGCCGAAGTATGTCATATGTACCGAAGCTACTTGGGACCTGCGTCTATGTACAGAATGTATGAGAGATATTTAAAATATTACTAAATCTTTAACTGGTTTATGCTATATCTTGGGACAAGGTAGTTCTAACTAAACTGCGGTTATGGGACCATTCGATAGTTTTAGATCAAAACTCGAATCTGAAGGCGAACGGTGATACTTAATGAGTTTACGTATATATTATCAGTAAAAAGGAAACGAAATGAAAGGAAACAGTATAAACGGAAATTTACCTTGGTCCCAATCGAACTCCCTATCCCAATCTCGTTCCCGCTCTCTCTCCCACTCGCGTGCCCTCTCTCGCTCCCACTCGAGGTCCCTTTCCCGATCCTTGGAGCTGCGATCTCTGTTGAACTCCCGATCCCAATAATCCCGCTCCCTCTCGCGCTCCCTTTCCCTTTCCCTGCTATCGCGATCACGCTCCCGACTGCCCTCCCGTTCTCCGCCGGACATGCCCATCCTGGGTTCCTGCTCATCGATAAACTCCTCGCCATCTACTGCTTACATCACGAGTGCCCACCAAAGAGAGGGAGAGAGAGTGGCAGAATGAGAATCGATTGGTTTAACGGTACAGTCATGGGAATTTGAATTTGAAAAAGACAAATTTTAGAATTGTATTTTGTATAATTGTGTTTTGAGTATGTTTGAGAAGCAAATGAAAATAGTTTACTGCTGATATCTGATTTCGATTTTCGGTATGTGCATACATCATTTTGCAATGTATACATATACTGATGTGTTTTTTGAATGGGTCGATTAATCGATTATTATTTTCGATTGCGTTGGGGGTGAGACAATGGGTGACTCTGATTTCGATATCGATATTGGGTTGATTGAAATTTCGCAGCTTCTTGGGCATGGACTGGGACTTGGTGGATTCGCGCTTATGAGAATGGTAATGCGACCGTAAATGAGCCCGGAATGGATGGGCAGGTGTTCCTTTACCTGGTGGCGTCGGACCCAGACGCGCGGGATCGGCGGATGGTGAAGCCTCTTGCGGCAATGGGCGGGCGATGGGCGGTACTGCTCGTATATCTGGGTGGGTTGCCTTCCAATAGGTCTGCAAGAGATTATATTTTTGGTGACTTTTTGTTTTCTTTCTTAAGTCATAACCTATAGGGCGTAACGTAATTTTTTTAGGAGATTACTTTTATTCTAAGTCTTTTAGTAATTACACAAAGTTAGAACGATTTGACTAACCTCCAAGTACTCGGCAATGTGCTCGCAGGCGTCTTCCAGCTGATTCTCGTCTAGGATTACATCAAACATATCCGGTGGACATTGGGCTAGCTTCTCGGCGGCAACCATTTGAACGGAGAGGTTTTTCGCCTGCGATTTGCCACGTGATTTGATCAAACGCTGTAAAACCTGTAATAATAAATATAAAAATTGATAATTAATTTAAAATTTAAGACCATAACTAACAAAAGACTCACCTTACTACTACTAATCTTTAAGTACACTATTGTTGGCGCTAATGAAGTTTTTGCTAGTTGTGACGGATGATTGATTGTATCACAATCGAGCACGACCAGCTGGAGCGAGCGGGCCAGCTCGAAGATGCGCTCGATTTCCTCCTGCACCTTGCCGAGGCAGTCGCTCCGGCTGGAGGATCGCTCCATGATGGCCCGCTTCGAGGGATTGTTCATGATGGAGCGTTTGGCCAAAGAGATATCGGCCATAACCCGCGTAATGATGATCCGACCCTCGAATCGGTGCTTAAGGAAGTCAAAGAGGGCCTTCTGCATCATGTCGGTCACCTCGTAGCCCTTGAGACTGGGCCCCACCAGAACTACGGGACGCATCGATGGCACCACGTCATAGGGACTGGCAGTTTCCTGCTTCTTGAAGAACGGCTTGCGCTTCTCCTTGTTGGCCGCCGCCACGGGGGTCTTGCCATGTCGTCCTGGTCCCATGGAATCTGATTCGTCACCTGATCGTTAGTATCATGGCAAATAGGACGAGATAATGGCAACGGATGAGCGAGCTTATGATTGGTACGAGCCAGTGCGATCGATCAGTACGAATTGCTAGGCCAATTTATTAATTATCGTAAATACGTAAGACGCTTCTTTGTGGATTAGTTATAGTTAGTTATAGTATATACAGTGTTTTCATACAGATTAGCGATCCGCGTGTGTTTTTTGTGCCAGGTAAATTGTGTTGGTCTACGGCGGTTTTGGAATTTCAGGTTGTTTTGAATTTAAATTTGTTTTTGTAACCGGTCTACGCACCATTTAATGCTTTTCAAAATGCCAACTCGAGGGTGAGGTTTCTTTCCTACAAGTATTTAACTTTGTTCTACTCGATTATGAAGTGTTCTATTTGCTTAGATTTTACACAACTCTATGGATAATTGGTTACTAAATACGGGTTTTGATTTGTGGGTTTTGTTACGAAACTTTTTTTGACAGATTACAGCGTTTGTAAAGGCCAAAAACCAGCGTGTTTGGGTTTTACAGACAGATGGGAAGTATTTTGGAATGAGTGTTTTCTGATATTGCAATTTTTAGAACATTTTACTTACGAAATTTGAAGAGAATTTATTAAGAAGTTGAAATATAATAATTGATTAATAATTCTGTTGTTTATAGTTTAAAAATCTGTAAACTATTCAATTTTATGGCTCGCATTTATTAGCTTAAAAATGAAAAAGCTTTTAACTACTATTTTCAATCTTTTCCTTTCCATTTCCATTTCCATTTCCCTTTCATACTTTCATATTAGCCTGAAACTCACTATAAACTCTAGCGATAGATTTTGCGATTGAAATGGATTTCTGAAGATCGGATGAGAGACGTGGACAAACCTGTTTTTTTCTTGCGCGGTGTTGTACTGTAGGGATCTTGGGTCGCGTTGTGGTTTGGTTGTTCATTTTGTTAGTGTTGTCAACCGTTTGTGTTTGGATAAAAGAGAGTTTGAGTGCATTTAATAGTGTTCACATTGGCTAAATTAGTTTACAAGCAGACCATGAACGAGGAGCTTTGATTTGGACAAAACTAGGACGGAGAAAATCGTGGCTAATTAAGCTGTACGAGTATAATAAGGAGTGTACTTTTGTGTGTTTACAGCGGTGAGATTATGGGGAAAGTCAAAGGGATCAAGCACTCTAGACCGATCTGGATTCGGCTTTTCATGCTGGGATCTCTGGGGCTCTAGCTCTAGGCCGATATATATAGACCGTTTGCATAACTAGTAGGATCGAATTTGCATCGGATTGCCAGGTGAACTCATTACGTAATTAAGCATAAACTTGCACTCGTTTTTTTTATGGATGTCGCATGATATAATTAGATCAAACACAAAAGTACAAAATTACGGGAATTTAGCTTGGCTGACTGTTTTTTTTTTTGTTTTTTTGTTTTAGATCTGATTTGGTTCGCTTGAAATGAAAATCATAAAACACGCCTCCAATTACAATAAAACATCGAAGAGCTCGAGCCGGGCTCGGCATCCGTCTGTTTGGACCTATGGATGCCCCATAGACACACGCCGGGCCTCACTGAGGAGGCCCCACTGTGGCGATTTACAAAAGTAAACACATTACATAGAAGACAGCGAAAAATATATATAGATTGAAATTAATTCGATTCACAGAATTCAACAGATACGAAATAAAACCTCGCCCAAAAGAAATCAGGAGAATGAAATGTGTGTCATACCAGGTGTGGGGGGTGTGCTACCTCGAGATGGCTCCGCACCTGCTTGTCCGCCCGCACCAAGATTCCCGCTCGACGAGCCCTTTGTGCCATACAGTCTTGAGGGTCTGGTTTGGTTCTGAAATTGTTTTTTTTTTTCGAGAATTGAATTAGGTTTTGTTTAAGGATTACATTCCAAAAAAGAGAAAGATCTATCTCATATCCAACCTGCATGCGAATGTTGTCTAGCTTAGCGGGGCTGGGTATGAAGCCCACATCACAGCCCTCCTTGACCAGCCGGCCGATCCACCAGTTATTGTCGTACTTCTCTTTGATGTGCAGGAACTCCCGGATCTCGAACGAAACTGCACCGCCCTGCACCGGCGAATCGTCGTCGATGGCGCCATCGTATGCTACGTTGGTTCGCACAGCGAACGCCACTGGTTTGCTCTGATTTCGAAAAGGGAAATCATTAGGCGATTTTCATTTCTATTAAAGAAAAACTCAACCAACTCACCCTCGCTTTATCCAACTGGCTTAAGGCCTGACGTTCCTTTTCTCGCCGAAGCGATTCCTTTTCCTCGTCTAGCGACAGATCGGATGACGGTTGTGAGTAGTTTGAGTCGGCAGAACCCTGGAAAAGTCAAGACAAAGGGGGCCACTTAGTAATTTTCTTTTCCCAAATAGGGCTGCTTTAAAGATAAGTGAGTTAGCCCGGCCATCTGAAATTCAAAACAAATTAAATTGGCCTGCTGCCAAAAGACCAGCCCAGCCCAAATGGCCCAACAATGCAGGCCACTATGTTGGATTTTGATTATTTCTTGTTGCCCCCACATGAAGCAACAGTTGGTGGCAAGTACACAGGCAGAATACTGCCAATGGAGGAGGCTAAATATTTTGATTTGAGCTAAAAGCTTTTTTAATGCAATATTCTAGGCAATTATGATTCATGTATACAAAGTTGGGTTGGCAAAATTCGTTCATTATTCGCTGGGTAATATCATTTTGGTGAAAAGTTGGCAAGTTTACAATTCAAAACTTGGCTAAAATATTATCAACATTGATTTAAGAGGTTTAATCATTATCTTTAAGATGTTCTCATAAGTATAATAATAGTAATAGTAATAAATTTAATACTTTTGTTAAAGAGGTTATGGACTTTTAGCTTTTTAGATTTATAACATGAACTAAGGTCCATCAATATGAATAGCACCTGTGTGAATAGTTTATTGTATCCACTCTGGTAGGAGGGGTATCCAAGGCCAAATCGAGACTCTCGATGTTGGCCACCCTGAACGGAGGGTACATCCGAGGAAGAGGCGCGCTGCACCATGGGCCTGTCAGCCCGGTAGTCTTCTTCGAACGAAGATATCTTGCCGATGTTTTCGACGACCCGGTGCGAGGACAACAGCAGCACCAGCACCACCAGATGCTGCAATGCTGATGATGGTGATGGTGATGATGATGATGCTGGCTGGCAAGTTGTTGAGCTGGCAATGGTTACGTATAGTTTTCGGTGTCTTTTAAGTTGGCAAAATGACTTTATCGGGGGGATTACTTTTGTACTTGATCTCACTTAACACTTGAACTAGTTAGATTGCAATCATCATTAGTTTCTATGTTGTAAAAGGACTATAAAAGCAGTCTGACTTGTACAAAATTCCTAAAGATTGTTCCACTTGCAACTTCTACTTTTGGCAGGACACAAATTTAAATTTAATTATTGCACTTTTTGTGATTAAGATTAGCACTGACATTGGCAATATTCTCCGTTTAACGGCTTAATCATCGGGTTAGGCGCTATTCAATTTTGACACTGACACAAAAACACCGATATCCAGTGTGCGAGTGGGATAGTATGATAAAGAGAAAGATAGACAGAACAGAGAGAGAGAGGATAGCGATTGTCAAACGGTTTGGAAGCCACAGGCGAAATAGCTTTAAATTGTTAACTGGAAGGGATTTCCGCAGCCTTTTCTCGCCTTAATTTCAGCACAATTTGCATACGGCTGGCGATTCGGAATTGATTCCGCATCGGTGGGGATTTGGCCCCAGGGAAGTTAAAAATAGGAATTTATGTCAGTGGCGTCGGGTCGCGGTTCTCTGCTCACAGCACTTTTTTTTTCTTCTAGTATATGCACACAAAATGTACTGGAAAACTCGGGCGGAGGGGGTCGAATAGGTCGCGAAAACTGATTTCCGTTGAGCGTGGCCTTTGTTTTTCTTTTTGTTTTCTTCGTTGCGAAAGCCAACACGAATCCTTCTGTTTTTGAAACCTTTTCACTGGCAGCTATATCCTTTGCTTGGTATTATCTTTCACAGGATTTCACTCGATTCACACATCCTTTGATTTCGATTCGACTGGGGTCCCTAGCCTTTCCGACATTCAAACGGTTCTACTCCGCACGCAAACTGAATCGTTTCTGTATGTGGAAGGCGAAAAGTCCGCTCCGCTCTGGGAAAATCGTGTAGAGTTTTCTCGTCCGCTTCCAGTGCGTAAATGCTCCACTCGATTCGAAATATATATATATATATACTGAACATTCCCGGACACACACACCAACACCAGTGGCAGCAGAAATGTAAACAAATTTCGTTTTCAAGTGCAAATTCCGCAGACTCGTTCCACTGTGCGACTGGAGTTGTTTGTGCTGCGAATTGGGAGACTTTTTCAACCTCCCACCCCCTTAAAAACCCTTCAGAAACCAAATCTCCATTGAAATGAGCGCGCTGTCATCGCTGGTCATCGGATGCCTGGAAAATCGATAGCACCCGCACTTTTACGTCGCTGAGGCGGTGGAAAAGGGTGGTGGCGGTGCGTCCACCTGTTGGCAACCACTCCCAAAAGGGTTACAGCTGTTGGTCGTAGTGCAGTCGTTCTTAAATTAGGTATAGCTATAGTAAGTACTTAACTGAAAGATTCACGGTGTTTAAGATATAACCTTTGTTAAGATTATCTAAAGCTCAAAAGACTCTTTAGCTTAAGCTATGCAATTTTGTGACTACTTTTAATGCGATTATTATTATTTGAAAAGCTGAAAGTTTACGAATATTGGTGGAAACTAATTTTAAATTTAATAGACCTTGCTTAACTTGTATTAAAGAGACATTCAAAATACGCAGTGGACTCAAAATTAAGTTTTAGGTTAAGCATAAAGAAAGAAGCCAAAAATAATAATATTGTATCAATACAAAACTGTCCTTGGCTACAAAATAAAAATAATATTAAATAATTACAAACTTAAACTGGAAAACATTATTTAATAAGATATTTTGTTTTTCGAATTTTTGTTTCATTTTTAATACATTTCCCCATCACACTGTGCCCATAACATAAACATTCCGTTTTCCATTTCCTCACTCAAAATGACAGGAGGCGAGAGAACGAGAAGGAGAGAGCGCCCGATTACTTCCAGACGAGCGAAGAGAGAGAATGACACGTTGTTGGGGCGGAGAGAGCGAGAGAGTGAAAGAGCGAAGGAGCATGCGCAGGTGTCAATTCTCCACTTTAACCCTGCGCAGCCGCTAACTTTTACTACTTTCCACGCTCTCTCCCTCTCCCCATTTAAACCGTTAACAGGGAAGGTCGCGGGTGACGGACCGAATTTGCGTTTACACATTTCCAAAAGGTGATACGTAAAACAAAGGGGATCCCCCTGAATTGCAGATGTATTGAAGAGGGAGGTGGGGAGGCCTGTTACTCGGGTCGATTCTTTGTTTACCTTTCGCCGATTGCCCAAAAGCCCCATCAAACTTTGCAATGGGCAAAGTGCCCAACAACTAGTAATGAACTTTGGTTGCCATCGATACCCCAGCGCCACCCACTCTACTTTACCCCCTCCCCCTTTGCATGCTAGTTTTTTCTGCGGGTGGGTCAACGCTCTGCTTCTGGATTCCAGTGCAATTACCTGCCCCGAACCCCTTTGACAAATATTTTCATGGTCAGCCCGATTGTTTTCCACTTTTCCGGCTCTGTCGATGACCGCGCGTCAGCAAATTACTCCTCACCTGCCATTTGGCACTGTCAGCATTTTCGGATGGCTTAAATGGCGATTGCAATAAGTGCATTAGAGGGAAAATTAGTTTGGTTTCCCTGAAGTTTGGATAAGACATTAACACAATGATAATCTGATATAAAAATAATCTTATTGGCCAATCGCTTATTAATGATTGGGGAAGGGTCGGTTCTTTAAACTAAAAACTGTGGGTTTGAAATGTTAAGTAATATATTAAATAATTTTTGACTTTGAGCATTATTAGCGAAGCAATAATTAGTAAGGGCACATAACCTTCACCTAATAAATGCAATTTTCAAAGATTTTCTGAATCAGCCTGCCTAAAAACAACATGAAAGCTAAAGCAAGGGGAACCCGAGAATCTGTAAAGTGGTTTCGAGTGCCGCAAAAGTATCAACATTGACTATGCGTATAGCCATGCCAAGCAGATTTCGACGATGAGTAAGAGGTCTGATAGCCTCTTTGGCCCCCAAAATGTATATGAGAGAACCAAGAGAATTTCAAGAAAAACACGAAAAAGTCACCGAAATACAGTCCGTATTATAAGTTTATATTCTTAAGAACATTATTAAAAAGCAAAAAACATAATCTTAACATAAATTTACTAACTGTGAAGTATAAATAAGCAGCTATTTAACATGCTATTACTGAGATTAAAACACTCTAACTTAAGGTATCTTTAAGAACAATATAAAAAATATCCCTGCTGTAAACACGTCGTATGTGTAATCTCGCATCCTATAAACTTTAGAACATCACTCATCCGCCCTATAGCCACTAATTTGTAATACGCACTGTAGGCACTCCGTATGTATGTATTTAAATGGTCGCAAACAGCCTGACAAGCTGGGCGAGCAGTCTGCTAGCGATCGAGTGGATAAAAATATACGGATTCCGCCCGGGCCCGGGGGCAGGGCCGCGACATTAAAATTAAGTTAAGGGGGGGAATCTATCAAGAAGATCCTTTAGTTTAGTTCAACTCACCCGACGGTTCTTGTTCCTAAAGGGCTTATAGGACTTGCCCTTGTGCTTGGCACCCAGATGCAGCTTCTTCATGGTGGCAACTTAGCTCCGAAATGGAATCACGGCAACGGAATAGGAATCGAAATCGAAATATGCTGAGATGGATGAGCGTCTCGCGTGAATTGTCGCCCCAAAGCCAATTATGCAATCATTTTTGGAATCGTTTTGTGCGGTCACAGCACAGCAAAATAAACAAACACTCTGCCGTTATGGCCACTAATCGTTAAATGGCCAAGAACTAAGCACACTTTCTCACACAAACACTTTTTCTTAACGAATGGGGTCACGATGGGGCAGAACTGGAACCCAACACATGGCAACGATTTGGATTTAAGGAATGGCAGCCTGCACTTCTGGATAATATGCACAAATATCGGGCTATATAGGCGATCGGAAGGCGTGATCCACTTGCTTGGCTAGGCAATGTGGAGCAGATCGGGACGGTAATCGCAGCGGAGACGAAACACAACCGACCGCTCTAGACCGCACAATTTCGACTGACAATATTTTTGGCACCCGCACCACATCCATTGACAAAAATGCCCACAGCGAGAGAGAATCCCTCGGCAATCGCGGAGAGTCATTTAGTAATGGGAAATTCAAGAGGTGAACCGCTCGGAAAATGGTTTTCAATAATCTATTTTATGACGACTGCAGTAATAATATACACTAAGACAGCGGAAGAGGCGACAATTCTATGTCAGGTGACGAATGGGGGGTTTCTATCGTAGAATTTTGATAAATAAAAATAATATTATTGTGTTTTTTTTAAACAGTTTAATTTTAATGATCCAGTTATAATGTACAGAGTGTCAATCCAATCCAATCCCGTCACTAGTACTGTTGACCCTGGATTCCCTGGCCCAAGCCGCGCAGTTCCTCCATGAGAGCGGCCATTCCAATCCGCTGGTGGAACTGCTGAAGCTGCTCACGGTTGGGCTGTCCCACATAGAACGGAATCTTCTCGGTGTAAGCTCCGGCGGATCCGTAGGCAGGAGCCTCTTGGGCACATGGAGCTGGGGTCAAGTTGGGCTGGCAGCTGAACAGGTAGTTTTTGGGGCAAGGAGGAGCCGGGTAGCCAGGAGCCGAAGGGGTAGGAGCTGAGTAGGAGCTAGCATACGGGCAGGTAGCACTGGCAAGGGCGATGAACGCAACGATGGTCAAAGCAACGATCTTCATGATTAATTCTTGGAACTACAACTGTATCTTCAGAATTTGACTGAGGTACTCTTATAGTAACATGCGTTAACTAAACTAAAACTCGGCATTTTTTGCGTAAGATGGAAAAACTGCAAGGCCAACACATAGCAAGCAAATTAAACTGGGTAAAAACTACAGCTGATTGGGGTTGTGCGGTCTTGCAAACCAACAATCACTGTCTCCATGCAGTCTGTCCCGCTTTTAAGGTTTAATAATAAAACCAATAAATAATTGCATCCAAAGTGTAGTGCGAAAAGGTATTTTGACAATCTGACCGTTTCAGCTGTTTATTGACCTAATATTTAGGTGGGGCTAAAATAAACTAAAATGACTAAAATATTATTAAAGCAGTTTAAAGTACGATTCTAGCTTCTTCGTGTTTAAAAATAAATATTTTTTTGCATTAGGATTCCAAAAAATGGTTCGAATTTAGAATATTATACCTTGTTAAGCTCGTAATTATATTCCCAATAGAACTTCATTTAAATGTAGAAACTTTATATTTTTACTATTTCTTGCAAAAATGTACCCCTGCTTTCCCTCAAAACGCCAGTATTAATAACTAAGCCAATAATAGTCCAAATTTGGAGTTTTATATCTCGTTGAGCTTATAATTTAATTTCCAATAAAACTGTATTCACAGTTTAAAATGTAAACCCAGATGTTCCCCCAAAAATCAGTATTTTTTCAATAGCAAAGCCAAAAATGGTCTCCATTGGCCATTTTTCATGGTACCATGGTACCTCTTTCCAAAAATGCGAAATTTGGTCCATCCTGATTTCCCATAACGAAGACAAAAATGATTTAATGTCCAATAAAACTGCATTTTTTGACATAAAATGACATTTTTTGCCATTTTTCACAAAAATGGACGTACCGCTAAAAATTCAAAAAATTGACAAAAAACATGTTTTTTAAAATAATCAAAAAACTTAAACGGTTAGTTAGTATTGGTCATTAGCTGCCCAAAAACTCAACATTTTAACTGTGAGACCAGTTTTTACGAACTTATGACAAATGACCTCTAGAAGTATGGGAATGTTCTTCAAAAGTCGTATATAAAATATATTTGCCCAAGCAACGAGAAAATGTTCAGAACTATTCATTGATATCGTAATTTAGTTATTTTGCCAAATAAAAGAAAATTCAAAATACGTGGAGAGCATCTTTATCGCCACCTATCGGAAATCCGCGCAACTGATCAGTCTTTGTTAGCGAATATAAGAACCATTTAATAACTTGGAGACTTTACGGTAGTCAGTAGATTATCGTAATTTGAAAAATAAAGTCTCCAACAATATCGTTTTCTTTTAGATTTGTCGTTGTTGTTGTTTTTGTTTATATTCTTCTTTTTTATTTATTCCCCTTTATCGAAATTGATTAATAAATGGAAATTTCAATGGTAAATTTATGTCAATTTTTAGCCGTAAACTTCCGTTTGACCTGCCTTCAGTTATTATGGAAATCCTAATTGAGCCAGAAAAATCGATCGTAAATTTCAGTTTAGAGTGCATAAATTGCAAGACCATTCTTTAAAATGTATCCTATGCAAATCTACAAATGTTGTTTCCTGGAAGAATATCAAAAAATCATTCTATATGAAACTGTTTGGAATGGAAGAATAATTGGTTTTATCAAGTTTATAACCTTAGACTTGAAAGATATTATTGCCTTCCTATCATGCTTTTTGATTATTTAATTTACCAACTTTGGTTCGATCAATAACTCAGAGGCTAATGCATACGTGAGTTACTCTAATTGTGGCGTTAGTTATACAATTTGTGGATGAAAACAAATCGTTTCTCATGCGACTGGAAAGCCCCTCTAAAGTTGATATTGTTTTGGATCTAAGTTTGGCCGCAGGTAGCTCCCTGCCCCCCTCTGAAGAAAGGTAGGAGTTAACTTTAATTTGAGAAGGATCGCGACCGCTGAACTGGGACGGCCAATTACGCACATGCACCAGATACTATACATGGACCGTCGGACCTAAATTTTAATCATAGGCTTTGAGTCGATCGCCTGCCGCTGGCCTTTAAAGTGGGGCACCTTCGTTTCGGAGTGGAGTGGAGTGGAGAGATCCACCGACAGCCACGAGAGCAGAGCCGTTTTGATTGCCCCCTTCTAACGGTAAACAAATACCTGTCCAGTTTGTGAGAGCCAACCAGACATGGCCCCAAGATATACATCTTAACTGGAACTCCAATTGAAGATGCAATCGAAGGGGAATCAGTATATGGCCTTGGGATATATCTTAGCTACAATTTTTAATTCGTTATTGGTTCAGCCAAATGATCAATGAATATTTAAGCCCATTTCCAAGGCTAAGGCTTTGGTTTATTCACTAAGCCTAAAATCTCGCTCCTTTGATATTTTATTGTCTTTTACTTTTTTGTCCTCTTTTAACCTTTTTTTAAAAATGGCCAGGGATCGGTGGCTTTAATCGCCAATGGCTCGAGCCACCTGCCTTCGCTTAGACAGCGACTAAGTCTGACCCAGCTGCTCCTGCTTTTGGTCCTGCGGCTGAGGAGGAGGATCCATAGCAGACGCACACATGGAGACAAGCACCAAGGGCAACAGAAATAACAAAAACCGACAAGCCAATAACATGTCTCGGTACTTAGCGGAAGGTCCGGCGCCAGATCCATCAGGATCCTTGGCCCACGGGCATTATGCCTTTCCTTGCACTGAGAAAATGTTCTTCTGGAATATGATTTGGAAAATAATTAATTAACCCTTTAAACTTTGTGATATTAAGAAGACAGAATAAGATATTTCATGTTGAAAAAGTATTTCTTCACTTTTTTCAGTGCCTTAAGCTTGGAATATCAGTCGTTCCGCTGCAGCCTAATAATTTTCAAGGCATCTAAGTTTTTTGTGCAAGAAAAGCAGAAGCCAATGTATTGCCACACTCTTCCTGTGGTAATTTAAGACCCTGTTTCCTTGCCACCACCACCACCAACAGCAGTCGTCAATTATGAGATGGAGATGGCAAGAGGGATCCTCCAATCCCAAAATGTTGAAGAAATGCCGAGCTTTGTTTTAAATTAAATTTAATTAGCAGCAGGAGCAGGAGCAGCTCAGGCGAAGGAACACCTTTCAGGCAGCGGAACACCAAGGTGTGTGCCTCTTTATAATTCATGCCTTTGGAACACGGGCACGTGTCTTGTTTTTGGCCACAAACAGGAGCAGCTGCAAAGGCTCCAACATTGGGCCTAACAAGGCCAAAAGTAGGGGATCAGGGAGGAGAGCTGATACTGCCACATATATAAATTGGCATGGGGGATGAGATCCGTGTGCAACCAGCGCTAACAATGCCGTTATAAGTGGCCCATTAACACGGTGTCAACCGCCATGCAACAGCAATTTCCGTCGCCATTGCCATTTATCGATTTTCAAATTCCATTCAACGCGGATTTCAATGGGCAAGAACGGATAAGGAAGGGGAAGGGGAAGCGTACTCCTAGGATATAGTCGTATTGAATACGATTAATGGGGCCAACTATGGTCGGCGGATGCACAGGGCACCGGATGCCCTGAGCAGGGACATTCTGGGTTGGGCTACTTGTGGGTCACAGATACAAGTCGAGACCATTTATTAAATAAAACTTTATTTATTGGCAGTCTGAATGCAATTCAGCTGGTCGAAATTGGGGCATACACAATGGATTTCTAATCGAAAAGAATACGGTAAGGATAATCCATAGAATGGTTTTATAATTAGGTTGTAAATAAGCCATTGTGGGGTTAACTTCTTTTTTTGGTACTTTTTATAGCTTTTTTTAAATTCTAAATTGGATTTTACTAACTTTCATTTTAAAGACTTCCAATTGGTAAAACCCTTTAAAAAATATTTACTTATTGCTTATGAGAGTAGGATTTAAGACTGAAATTCTGCAAAGTAGCAAGTTGTAATACATAATCATAGAGTAAGTATAAGCTTAAAAGTTTAAACTAATAGATCATACTAGACTAGACCCTTACCTTTTGGTTCCGCAATTCTCACGGCGTACAAAAGTGCTGCGGTTGGCTCCTGAATGGAGCTGAGCTATAACCACGATGCCTTCCTGCCTCTTCCTTTTTAATGCCGATCTTCTAGCTACTGAGATCAGTTCGAACGGCTCGTTTAGCTTAGTTTCATCTGGAAGGATAGAGTAGAGAGTGGAGAGATGGTTATTAAGTAACCAAATGGCACGCCGAACAGGAAATCGAAAATAAAAGCAAGAAGAGCCCCGAGATCACACGATCATTCACTACATATAAATATTTATGTGGCTATGTTGGCGTACATTCCTCGGCTCTTGCAATGAGAATTTCAAAGTCAAGGTTAACAGAAACATTTGCCCGTTTCGTTGTCTCTTCGTCGTCTCCTTTTTCGCGATCGTTTCTTTTCCTTTTTTCCCTCTTCTTTCTCTTTTGCCCACTGAACTTCGCATTGCAAGTGCAAGTGTGAGTAGCGTATATGTCTGTCTGTGTGTGGGTCTAACAGCTCAGCTACATACGCTGGACATGCGCACTGCGCAGTTCGAGTTTGCACTGCTGGAAGTGTTGTCCTCTGTCTGTTTGTCTGTTTGTCTGCTTGTCCCGCCGCCTATGGTTGTTGCTGTGTCTGAATCCAGTCTGCCAGACGACCAACACCAAAACAACAACAACTCCCGAACCTCCTGAGCTCGTCCGTCTGGAGACTTTGCAGCTTGCTGTTCACTTGATCGGACTCAAGTACAGAGCTGTCCCGGGAATTTGGCGAACTATATCGCATGTGATATAAGAAGAACCAGAGAGTCTCTTTAAAAAAGAATATTTTAAAAAGTTTTGGGAGAAATTTTCTATATTTATGTTTAACTCTTATCAAAAAGAATATTTTAAATTATTATTTTTAACTATTTTTTATGTTTAGGTCAGAAAGCGGAGAGTTTTTAACAGTGCATGATCAATTCTAAAATTATTGTTTAAAAAATCCCAGAAATTGTAGAGGCTAAGTTCTATACTAAACTATATACTATTTGACTTTCCGTTTTATATTGAAAGTAAAGAAAGATTGAAAGATTTATAAGGGAGTTATGTTAGTGTCATACACCTTTTTAAAAAAACATCTCGTACTGGTTTCTTTTAACCAAAGTTCTTATTGTTGTTGCTACAGTTACTATAGCCGAAATGGTTGTCAAGTGTTGGCCGGCGCAGTCGTGGAATGCAATGGCCAAAAACTTGGGAATAAAGTAAGGCAAGACAAGGCTAAAATAAAAGGAGGAGATGCAACTTGTTTGGCGTGGCAGACAAGTCCCAGACATGTTCACATGCCATTAGATGCTGGTGCGCATTTTCTTTTTTTGGTATCTCATGGATTTTAGCAATTGAACAGGGTTGTCACCTGCTGCCAGGTAATATCATTTCAGAGAGTTCAATGACCTGCCACGCCCCACCCACAAGAGCATTAATACTTTCTCATTACTCGAAATTCCGTGTAAAGTGGCATGACTCGCCGAAAAGTTCGCAATCTTCCAATGCGAACTGTCCGAATCGATCAGCCTTGATGAGGGTCCAAAAGCACGGGTTAAGTTGGGGAGTGGAGGTGCAGAGTTCAGAGTCCAGGAAACATATTTACGGTAATAAGCTTTACATAGCCTTAAATTTGTATTCAAAGTAAGTTTGACAGCTAATCAGGTTAATAATAAATAACGTCATCAATTTCAAGACAGCTTCTAAGTTTGATTAAAGACATCAATAACATAAGTACAGTAAAGCTCTGCAACATCAAAATACTCTCTTTAGCAATTAAACTTAATACCAACTTAGGGCCGCATTTCAAGAATATAATACGAACAAAATGTGAGGTGTAGCCTTCAAAGAGGCTGCCCTCGAATCCGCACTTACAGCTCCCCAAGTTGCTGCACTTTATGCCTTCCTTCTCTGCAATTAAGATTTTAGGGTCCGCAACCAAGAACCTCTCAAAAAAGAAGAACTAAGGAGAAGCTCTTATTCACAGGCCATTGTGGAGAATTCTGCGGTTTGGCTCTTTGGGGCTTGAGTCTGTGGGCTGGATTCGGCGAAATATTTCCGCTGCCGTCGACGGTCCTGCATGTTAAGTGCGCTTTATATTAATTTTATAATTCATAATTGCATCATGTTGCTCACATTTCTGAGCCAAAACGCAATGGAATTTAATTAAGTTAACCCTGCAGGTGCCGACGGTCCTTTTGTGTGCAGTTTTTGCCGTTTTGCTGTGTTTTTATTTTGAAGGCCCCAGGTACTCGGCCAGAATTCTGATTAGTCACAGCCATCAAAGGGTATAAAAAGTCTTTTTGGATGTACCTACAACCTTTCCGGAGTTTCAATGAGAAACATTTTAAAAGATTTCATTGAAAGTTCTTTTCTGAATTGATTTATAATAATTAATATATATTTATATAATAGCTGAGGAATGACCCACATTTATAAGCATTTGCTAGATAGATATAGTTAGACCTTGATCCTGCCACCCTGTGAGTTGATCTCCCAGCGCTTTCTGACGCGATTTTATGGCCAAAATGGAGGCTGCATGTTAGCATAACACTAACCAAGTGGTCATGGGATGGTTGAGGGGCAGGAGAGCGATTTGAATGCCCACAGGCATCGCGTCAGCCATCGCATGCTGAGTCAGATGGGAGTGCTCCTCGCGCACTTGGAGAAGATGGAGATGGAGATCGAGGTTGGAGGATGGATGGACGTGGATGCTTGCACTTATTAATGCTTAATAAATGGCATTTCATTTCTTATTATTCCCGGACTCGGGACGAAACGTGTTGGAGGATTTTATTGCACTGCCCTCGCCGACTGCAGTTGTTGTCGTGGTTAATGCGAGTCGATATATTGGCCATGACTAAGGATGCAGATGCACGAAGGGCCTGGTTGGGTCTGGGACTGTCTTGGCCTGGCCTGGCCGGGCCATTTCCAGACGGAGTCAGTCAGTCGCTGTGTGCTAAAGTAATTATTTCATTTGAGCCAACAATGAGGCTGCAACTCTGAGTGCCGGCCAAGTTCGCCGAGATGGATGATTGACGAGTGGAAATTAAAGAAGCTGGCGGCTGGAACTGTCCGGTCGCAGTTCCAGTACTAAAAACCCGCTGCCCCATGTCCGAACAGCATCTTTTAACGACCCGCGCGTTTCGAACGCGTCCGCTTTTAAAGTACTTGGAATGTAAATGAAGCGGGTGCAACTCCTCCACTCCACTCCACTTTGCTTCACCCATCATCCGATTCGTCGTCCAAGCTCCATTTGCCCCGTTTCGAGGTCATTGAGGTGGTCGTTGCACCCACGCATGATTTCCCAGACACCTGAATGCTCTCACCACGATTTCGTATGCAAATTATTCATTATCACTCTTTGCGACTTGCTAAAACTTGACTGTTTTCAATTGAGTTTACATCATTTATTAAACAGACACTATTAAAAACAATACTAGTCATTTTTAATTTATGCAGTTGGTTTCTAATGGGTAAATTTAACAAATATTGCAACCTATTACGTAATACATAACCCGAAATGTCTAAAAATATATATATATAATAATTAATATTTACATTTCTAGATAAAAAAAAATCACCATAACGTCTCCTAAGAAGAGCAGTCACCCTTATTTATTTCCTAACATTCTGTAACCTCTTTTCAAACTACCCGCCATATATTGATCGGTCTATCGACATGCGCACTTCCACGCTAGTATTTTTCGGTATTTCCGAACAAATCCCTTGAGAGCATAACTCTTGACAGACACGTTCACACTAAAACAGAAGACGCTAGTTTTGGCAAAAGCGCAAGTTTAAAAGATAAAATTAAGATAATAGTTCAATAACAGGCACTGTAGCGCCGGAGCTAACAAAACATAGTGTTTCACCACATCAATTATTGAATATCTGGAAAATGCAGCAGCAGCCGACAAATGCGGCTTCTGGCGGAGATGCACTGCTTCCACTTCGCGCCTGCAACACCGCCGGCTGCAAAGTGGCCACAGTGGTGGACAAGACCAAGAGGAAGTGCTCCCAATTTGTTTCCGCTCCGTACATAATGCCCAAGCCATTGGTCGTCAATGGGCACACATCGATTTTTCAAGTGGGTGGCGAGATGGCTAAGATGGGCGACATACCGGCCCTTTCGCAGTTGAGTGGAGGCGATGGCGGTCAAGCTATATATCGGATAAAGCCAGGAACTCATGCCCATGTTGTTAACTATGTGCTCATCGACGAAGGCTCCGATTCGTTGGAAAAGGCTAGGTCGGGTGACCAGGAGGCGATGCGTCTGCTTTTAGAATCGCAGCGCGAAAGTGCCGTGTCCAAGTTGCAAAAACTAATAGCCAACCACAGAGGAACCCCTCCCTCCCTCACTGCCCAACATTCATCAACTCAACCACGACCTGCGTCATCTGTTCCAACTCCTGGCAGTGGCCAAGTAACCACTCCACAGATCCATCCAGACTTCTCTATTGCCAGCGTAGAAGGAGCTGTTAAATTTGCTCGCCGTGCTCCACCTTCCGTTGGCAATCCCTTAGCTCCAGTTCCTGCTGGAGCTCCATCAGCTGTTAGTGGATTAGATCCGGACTCCGTAGATCGCCTTCAGGCGGAGCTTCTCGAGTTGCGGCGCACAGTGGCGCGGTTGGAGCAGAATAGTCGACGCTAGATGACGGACTTCCTATTTCCGGAAGTTAAGATACATTTAAACCAAAATCACAGCGACCTATTTATAAATAATCTTTGCATTTAAGACGTTGCTTATTCAATAAAATTATGTAGTTTATAATGTTTATTGGGTGTTTTTTGTAGATGTATTTAAATCCAATCTCTGTAACACCTGCTAAATCCGACATTTTTGTATATGAATATGAATATTTCCTAATCCAATAGTAGAATTCTTGTTTTTTTATACCTTCATACATTCATGATTGGGATCATAATACCTTTTCCCTGGCCAAATCATATCAGTAACGAATGAGATATTAATTTCTGCCTCGCAAACGGGGCAAACATCAAAGCAATGAGGTTCAAGGTGGAAGTGCCGAGCTGGACAGGCAAAAGGGAAGATATCAGCAGCAGTCAGGCGGTGTGCGGTCGATCCCAGTTTCTGATTCCTGGAAAGGTTTCACGATCCCCAAACCATCGAAAGGGGGTTTCAGAGAGAAGGGGCATAATATCCAAATGGCCAACTGCGCCGAGCCAATTCTGCAATGGCGGTTAATCTCTCAGTTCAAGCCTTAGTTTTTTTTTAGGCAAGTAGTACGCAAATCGAATGAACAACTTTGTGCTTTTACCCTTAAACATCGCCATTTTTCGAAGTCAGCATTTTTATGTTGGCTAAAAGTGAAGAGACCGAGTGGGATCTTAAAGGGGCCGTAAATGTGGCATTTTATGTGTCATCAACGGAGGCGGCTCCGGCGCTCTTGATACGAGCGCGAAAACCTTGCAATCGAACGTAAATTAATTTTTATTGGTTGCAAATGCGGAGACCTTTCCAGCTCAGCCATCAACTTATCCCAGTCCCTGCCACATGAAAGGTGTCCCCAATGGATGTCTGTCCAGGCATCCAAAAATACTCTTTGGAACAAAGTTCCAAGGTAATGATTAAATCGTTACATTCATTGATTTTGTTAATGATAAATTTTAAGGATTAAATTGATTAGCCGGTAGGATAAGAGAGACTTTTAAGTTAAGTTGATTGGGATTATATAAGTACTTAATTTGTTTTAAGAACTTTAATGTATGTTTAAGGAGAAACTTAAAGTCTTAATGCCTTTAAAAAACGGGAGGTTATTAATTCATTCTATTTAGCTTAAACGACCAAATTGATATTTCCAAAAGAGGCGAAATCCTTGAATTTGCTACCACCAGCCATATCAATGGAATGCGTTTTATTTTCAGGGCTAAGTAAACATATAAATTTATGTGTGTTTGTATAGGTGGGCAGCAGGTACAGGCGCAACTACTTAGCCGGCGAAGATCAGGACACAATTGTGGGGACACGGCGGCCGAATCAAATTCGATACGCCAGAGCGGTCCCAGAAGTGATCCTCGCCGGGGTTGTATAAAAAGTAACGAATGTGCGCAATAATAAAAATCATTAAAATAAAAATGTTTATGAGAAGGCATAAACACGACTTTATGGAGGGAGCTGGAGCTGGGGATCGGGGCAGATGGAGTTTCTTGATGGCGTTGGTCGGCGATCACTGGCCAGAAAGTCATCTGAGGAGGACCAGAGGATTGCGGGACGTGAGTGTCAATGGGTAGAAGTACCGGCGGTTTTCGCCGCGGGACGAAGGGTTCTACTTGCCCAGACACGAGAGCCAGCCGGCCGGGTTTTTGGGATGCTAACTCATTTTGGCGGCGGCTTCTGCCGAGGAGCTGCCTTGGTACCTCAACTTGAGCCTCACGGTTCCAGCTTCAGGAGCTCGGCATAGGTATAGGATGAGAAGTTTGGGAGAACGAGGAACAGGCGCAGGCGCTCGGCTCAAAAATAATTTGCAATTTCTTGGAAATACTCACTTTTGCGCTGCTGCCTGCGCGAACTTCGCTGCTGTCGTCGCTGGCGCAGCTTCTCAAGAACCTTTAGTGGATAAAAGCTGGCGGCGGAGAGTGCAAAAAGCACTGAGAAAAATTTGGGATTCAATTCAAAATCAAGCTTAAACTAAGTTGCCTGACTAACAGTTTTTCTTTAATGGTTTCGGTTGAAGAAAAAATCTTAATCCAAATTTAAAATTATTTTCTATAATTCTGTGTTCCTGAAAATTTCCTTCAGTGCTGGGAGGGTAAGCCGAGGTGGCCGTAATGAAAATTAAAATACGAAACACTCAGTAAAAGGTCGGCTCGGTGGGTTCTGTGTGGTTGGTTGGCGGAGGAGGAGGAGGCAGGAGCTAAGAGCCAGGAGCCAATGAGCGGAACAGGGTGTCCCCTGGCTGAGGAACCCCCCTCAGATGGCTCCGGCTGGTGAGTCGCTCGGTCGGATTGCTTGTCGTTATCTTGTCATGTCAAAATGGTCTTACGAAAATGTATCTTTTGTATTCCAAGTGCAAATGAGCAGCACAGATACAAAACAACGTGCTGACCTGCCCCTCACCGTAGGGGGAAGGAACCCCTCTTTCAACCATGGACAGTGGTCAGCATTTTGTTTCGCATCTTTTTTTCGCTCAGCTCGATTTTTATTTGTTTTGCTCACTCGCAATTTTTATGCCTTTATTGTGTTTACTTTTTGCCAACGCCGCTCTGCCTTTTGGCCGCAAATGCTTTTAAGACTTTAAGACTTTTTAGTTTGTAGTTGAGCGTACAAATTTGTGGAGGAACAGGATCGGGATCGGGATTGGGATTGGGTTCGAGTATCTGTATCTTTTGCAATGACGCTTGCTCGCCCGCTCGCTCGCTCAGTGGCTGAATGCTGATGCTGATGATGACACAACATGAAAAGGTAAAGCACGCTGAAAAATATTAAATACGCTACGTCGCTGCCTCTTGACAGCGGACGTAAATTTGCTTTTGCCTTTTTACCAGCCTTTTTACCCTTATCCCTCTTTGCCCCTCCCCCTAAAAGGCCCCTTCCTGCCCACGGATTGTTTAATTGCACATGAGATCGGCGGGTCTGGGAACTTGGACTTAAAGTCTTTGGGCCTCGGAGCCTCGGATCGCGCGGCAATTAAAATAGAGTGTAAGTTAAGGATGCATAAAACGCTCATCTTTATGAAGCCCTATATTGTCATTCCCACTCGGACTACTTGGATCTCAGCTTGGACGGTATGTAATAGCCTGATTTGCCTGTGGCAATAATGCATAGTTGGGGTTTCGTATGGTTTCATGGGTTTCAAGGAATTCAGATGTACAGATAAGTAGCTGATTGCTGAACCTTCAAGGATTTCTCTTGGAGGCTCCTTTGAAAAAGCTCCGAAGTTCCATTGAAGTGGTTTATAGTCAGGATAATAAAATCTCTACTATTCTGCACTTCAATGGGAAAAGTGACAGAGAAAATTCTCAAAAATATGTTTCTGGCAGAAAAAGTTAAATTTTTACCTTGTTTGGGATATCCATCTCTATTTTTAACGGTTAATTATCTTCTAAAATACATATGTACTTATGTTATTTTAAATCGCTTTTCAACTTTCAAAAGAAGTCATTAGCCAAAAATTTATAATAAATCATTTTTGCACTTTGTTACTTTCGCATATTGTATGTTCGTGTTGCTTGAGGGACAACGTGGCAACTTCTGTCTCAGTTTCAATTTCGAAAAGTGTCAAATTTGTGGCAAACAAATGAAGTTAATTAAATTTTGAATGAGTATCCATTATGCATGTGAAGTCAAAATCAAATCTGGCATATCGCCGCCCCCACACACAGACTTGCCACAAAAACAAAACCCATAACTAAACCGAAAAAACGAGAAACAAAACGCATGTGAACGAGTTTAGAAGCTTAACTTGCTCCCATTTCTCACAATTGCCAAATTTCGGTATATATTACACTTAGAGAAAATAATTAGTATTCAGTTTTGCAAACTTTTAAAGGCACATGATGATCTACACCTCTTATTTTTGAGTTTATTTTTATACTTAAGCAAATCAGGAAAAACCTAATCTTAAAAATATTTACTGGAAAATTAATTTACTTATATCATTTTTTAAAAGTAAACTTTTAAGTTTGGGAGTGGTTCTTGCAGTGCCCCACCAAGCGAAATCAACAAACAGAGAAGCAAAATCTTCTTTCTCCGCGGAGAATAACAACTCGCAGGGTCTGCCGCAGCATCGCATCTCCGCCTTCGTCGTCTTCGTCCTACCGCATTCTAAGTTCTATTGGCACAAAGACCGAGTTTTGCTTTGCGGTTCTTCGCTTTGACTTTTCCCATGTATCCCTATACAGATACAGATACGGATGTATCTGTTAGATACGCTCCCCACACAGATGCAGGCGAAACTCGTTTTGCGATCTGGGTCCATGGGGCAAGAGCAGATAGGACCTGGACTTCATCACTTATTCTGTAGCGCCTTCTTTAGCCGGCATAGTTTGCATTTTCAAGGTCGATCTGCCTGCCCTGCACATGTATCTGTATCTGGCAGTGGGTTTCTTCTGCAGAATCACATTCTCGATATATATCTATATGTTATATCTCATGTGGGTCTAACGAGCCTCAGCCTGATATTGCAATCTGCTGCCAAGTAATCTCTTTATGGCTGTGCGCTCATTGCAACTCAAATTTGTTCAGACATTTACTCCTTCTGAAATAAAGAATCTTTTTTATTATTCCCCCTGATGTGTGGAGCCTGACTGCATGGTGCAACATTTCGCGCTGCAGGCACTCGGCTCCTCCTTCCTCGCGTTGCGTTTCCTGTTTACTGATGCGATGCCCCTCTGACTCTGACTCACCACCTCTGAATGCCCGGTAACATTCTCCAGTCTTCCCATGCTTTATGCCCCATCCCCCAAGCCCAATCCCATTCAGTGGCTATAAGGCCAAAAGGGGTTTACCACCATTATTTGGTAGCTGCAGCCAAAATAATTGTGATTGCACCGCGAACTTGGCCAACTTCTTTCGGCATTATTCATGCATTTCATTGGAAAACTTTGTGAGTAATTTCGACCGCGAGCTGGCAAATTGACGGTAAAAAATGTGAATCAATAAGAAATGTAAGTGCTCGGCGAAGTTTTGTGGCAAGACAATAATTCCTTGCAGGTATTTCCCAGCTTTTCCCGCAAGATGGTTTTCATTGAGACATTATGGTAGTTTTTTGGTTCAAGTTAGTCAGCAGAAAGCAGTTTACTGAGGGATTAAAATGCAGCTTAAATCTGTTATTGGGAAATCCACATTTTGTGTAAGAAAACCTCTTTATTTATATAAAGTAAATGAAAAACTTTACCTCAGAAAACTAAACTAAAA